GAGGGCCACGCTTGAGGCCCAAGACGCCAAAGCCCCAAAAAGGAACACAGAGAGTCCAAAATGGGCCCTCCTCTCCAATTGGGCCCAAGCACATATGGGTCTTCCCATCCTTGCCATTGGCCCAACATGGACCCTAGGGATAGAAGGTGCCACACAGAGAAAAACTAGAACCCACACAATTCACAGATGATGGGAACGAGTGAAGGGAAACATAAGATGTGGAAAACATAAAGGCACCTCAAGCTATATATTAGAACCTAGGGTCCTTCATTTTTGCTCGTGCTCTTGGATCTGGTTGGATACATGAGGGTTGGGTCTTCTCTGTCATCTCGAGCTCATGTAGTGGTGGAGATGGCTCCTATTTGCCACCACTCATTTTACCGTGCACACTTGAAGATGAAGCTTCCTACGACACACCCTACCATCATTTAGTTCATCTCCGTCGGGTGACACCTATTAGAGAATTATAAAGTTCTCATTTTTTCACTTTGTCTGAGATGATTTGATAACCCTCTTCATTGATTTCTAAACTTCACAAGAAGGTATAAAGATTGTTAATAATTTTCTTGTCTAAGAAAAGCCTTTGAGACCTTGGACATTACATGACAATCTTTTCGAATGATCAAGATTTCAACACATTATTCATACATTACTACCACGAGGTCGGAACTTTATTTTATTATTTTTTAATTAATTTAACTTTCATTATTATTTTTTAAACTTCAAAATGAAATCGAACAAATGTCCAAGTCGTTTTCGTCTAAGGAGAACCCTTGAGGCCATGAATATTATATGATAATCATTCCAAACACACAGAATTTCAGCGATCATTGATACCCATTTTCTCTACGATAATTTTTTATATGAGACTAAATTCTTTGTCACATGTTTTATATTTGGTAGTGCATGGTGATTCAATCTAACAATGCTTGGAGTGTCACATGACATAGAGGATAAGTGACTATCATCGGGACATAAGCAATATTCTCGATCATTATTTGGTAAAATAGACAATATTGATTATCATCATTAGTGACATAAAAAGTTGAAGAAAGTTGTTGACACATGATCTATTCTTTCTTTCCTTTGTGTAATCAAAGTCTCTAACAATCAACAAGCTTGTTTCTTCCTCGCTTCTACACACTCAAGGCCTTTGATGAGTGGTCAGCTCAGCCTCTTCCATCCTAGATAGTAGTGATAGTGTCATTAATCTTCTTCTTAGCAGATTTCTCTAGTGAGTGACGTAGAACTTCTGGACAAAACTTCTATGACTTTTAGTTCGATGTGGCATGTCCAAATGATTCAAAGCTGCTGGTGTAGCTGTTCAGGAGGTGACTCATCAAATGGGCATTTTTTTTAACTTTTAAATAGTTTATTTCCTTTTTTTTAGATGTAACAATTAGTTTTACAATATAAAACATGAATTGAGTTTTGAATGAATGAACTCCTTTCCTCTCTTGAAATCTTCTATTATTCTTCCAAGATCATTATAAACATCTCTCATTTGTTTTCTATTATTATTCACCATTAATTTTTGAAATATCGAGTTTCTATCATTCCACAAGTACAATTAAGATAGTCAAGATACTTTCTTATGTTTAATGCATGATAATAGGGTTATCTACAAAATACTGCTTCAATGCATTCTCAAAAAAAATCAGTTGATATTTACAAATAATTTTGTATCTCTTGTGTCAAATTTCTAGATCATACTTCATCTAATAAATGTGGTCAACTAGAGTTATGAGTGAAACTAAATCACTGTAAAATAAGTTGATTGGCATTTCCCTCTCGTTATTCATCCACATTTCTCTCTCTCATTATCTTTTTTTCTCTCTCTTTTTTGTCTGAAATTCCCTCTAAATCCACCTACATTCTCACTCTATTCCTTTCTCTTAAATCTCTCATCTTGTTAAGCTCCCTTACCATTTTAATAATTTATCTTTTTCTTTAATTTGTGATAAAACACTAAAATTGCTTTACATTAAAAGTGAAAATAATTCTCATGATAGATTATTCTTTCTCCTTGCATTCGACTTGAAACTTACATTTCTATTAAAAATCACGTAAAGTTTTGGTTATAAATCTAACTAGAAACTAGGTATTTAAACTCAACAACAAATACTCATCATCTTTTTGGTGCTATTGTTGGGGAGATCAATTTTTAATCAGTGTTAATTGCTTTAGTTTTTAACATTTCAGCAATTTTAGTAGATATATATATATATATGTATATATCTATCTATATATATTAATCATTTTCGATTTTATTTTAGTTAAATAGCCATTAGATAATTCATATAAAAATTAACATAATTTTAATGTTGTTTAATTTTTATTTATATTGTTTGAAATTTAGAGATTTGAATTTAAATTCTGCAAAATTAGGGTCTTTTAATTGACTATTTATATTTGAAATTGAGTTTATAAATTGATTTTATAAATTTATTTTATAAATTGATTTTCTATTTTATTTGCATATCATTGTGAGAATCATATTATAGGTTAGGATTATTGCTAAAATTAAATTTGATAAACTTATTTTATGAATGGTAGATGCAGCTTGCATCCTATTCTAGAAAACTCTTACCTATTTTAAATTTGTTTAGTTCTTAATTTAATGTCATTTTGTGTGATGTTAAGTTTTAAAACTTTTCTTTAATCAATTATTATTCTTTTGACATTTATAAATCTTAATTTGATCAATTAAATTATTTTTAATTATTTACATAAGAATCATTAGGTGCAACTCTATTTCTACTTGAATCACGTTAATTAGGGTGTTGATGTCATTTGAACTATAGCACCTAATTTTTTTCATGAATTTTAAATAGATTTTCTCTTCATCATTTAATTTACAAATCATAAAAAAGTCATATTCTTTGAGAAAAATAAAAAATTACTTAATATCAAATTTACTTGATTACATCACCGTGATCAACTTGAAAAATGTTCACTATTTTTGGAGTTTTTTATTAAATTATAGTTGATATATTTGTGGTAAAATATTTTAAAAATCTAAAAATTAATATTTTCTAATTTAAAAATAAATAAATTTGTGTGATTGATTATGTAATGATGTAAGCTATATACATATTCATCATACATAGCTAAGTAACAATGAAGTGAATTATTTCATGTATTTATATACTAAACTTGAGCATTTTCACCATCAAAGTGGATTCCATGTCATTTAAGCATTGTTGGTTGGCAAGAACTGCTTTTCAAGTTCTCAAACACAAAGTCCTCTTAAGTATTAATGTGGGCATGTGCTTGGTCCTTTATATGTGGACATGATCAAAGATTGACATTGCTTGATAAGTACATATTTGTCAGCATGGCTTTCTCCATTTCTAGCATGTGGACCATCTAAGAGTAGTGATTCCCCTTTGTTAGCAATGTAAAATTATCTAATTCTCATATAAATCTCTATCAGAGCTCCACAATGGGTCAATTGTCATTCAATCTTGTGACAAGATGACTAACTTTAAACCCACAAGATTCACAGTATAGATCAAACTATTGCACTATTTTATATCATAACAATTATCACATGCAATAGAGATATGTGAGGCATTTACATGTGACAAAAATGGATGAAAGAGAATGTAGATTGGCACCACTTCAGAACAAAATTCAATGTGGCAACCACGTGCTGGTTTGAATCAACCTTAACTACTGTGAGAAGGTGAAACCAACCAAGTGCCTTCATGGGTTGATGCCCTACTTTGACAGGCTATTTGAAGTAGTGGCAAAGGTAGGCAAACTTTCCTACCAACTAAACTTGCCATGAAGACTAATAATCCATCTGATTCGTCATGTTTCTTTTTTTAGGTCGTATCATATTGATGAGAAGGACGCAACACGTAATTATCTTCAGTAGACACCATTGAGAGTACACACCAAATACACAAACAAAGTTGATGTAATCTTATATCACATGGAGGTGAATCAAAGTGGGTGGTTTAACAAACTTATCACGTTTACCTTGTCGTCAAATGGAGAAGCTAATCAGAAGAGAACGTGACTTGGGAATACTACATTGATCTAACTTTATCGTCAAGTACCTCAAGGCACATCCTCTGACAAAGACGTTGAAATTCAGTATGGGAGATGATGCCGCACCTTCAACATGGAAAATCATGATCCTTGTCATAGAAATTCACTCTCGATTGTAACTTGGGGTAGTAGTCTATGTCAGCATGAAGGACGTACTCAGAGTTAACACAAGACAGCACGAGAAAGCTCGTAGGAATTGGCGTCACACACTCAACAGCACATGGTGACATGATGCAGCGTGATAGCAGCATATTAATGATGCGGCGTGGCCACACAGGTATGTGCAGGTTAGCGCGACCTGAAGCAAAATGGTGTGCGACAATGTGTGGCAGGTAAGATGGCATAAGATGCAGTGGTGCGTACATGCACAGTGTGCACGGCAGAGACACAATGAGCGCCCGCTAGTGCAGGCTTAATGGACCCATGGGAGATTAGTTGGCACAAACTCGTGATAATTGCGTGAGGTCAGTCGACATGGGCGTGCATAACAAGCGCACACGGAGCCAACAGGCATGGGCACATGCCAGGCTCACGTACCTAACTCTCCCCATATACCCATATAAATAGAAGAACATCGGCAACATCCGAGGTAGTGAGTATGAATGCTCTAGTCTAACAGTCTTTTCGTCTACTTGTTAGTTGTGAAGGAGAGTGATATTTACCCCAACCCAAGTCAAACATTGTGCTTCCATGAAGGAAATGTCCAAAACTATTCATACATTTGGTACCTCGAAGTCAGCCCCACGACTTGATCCTAGAAGAGGCTCATGACTAGGTCAAGAGTCAACAAGAGGCTGGCCTATTCAGCGATCAACGCTCACCTTGTTCGCAGAGTCCCGAATCGGTCGAGCACCGAGGAAGTAAAAAGAACAATAGGATGATAGTGGGCTGGGCCCAGATCGCTTCGACACCAGCCCCCCCTCCCCACCCATGAAGTTTTAATGAAAATAGGGGAGGGGAGAGGTGACGCGAGGGCCGCTGAAAATGCTTCTGGCGATGATGGCGTCGTCGTCGCTGCTTTCCTCCACGTATCTCCCCCCCGGCGCCACCTCGTTCCACCGGGGGGCCTTCGGGGGGAGGACGCGGGGGTGCCGGCCTTCCGTCGCTCTCTTTCCTCTTCCCTACGTGGGCCGGGAGCGGCGGTGGGGGATGGCCCCCGTGGCTCCTCGGGCCGACGCCTCCGAGGGTCGTCCTTCCGCGGTCAGTGGTTCCTTCCTCTCTCTCCTCTGCTCAATTTATCTCCATCTCTGGGCGAGGGAATCTCTGTGGAGAGCTAGCGCCGTGGACGGAGGCGCTGCAGGCTACGGCCGCTGCGATATTGATTTGTGGATAATACGATGGCGATGTCCTTGTGGATAATGCGATTTCCTTCCTGTCTGCCGGTAGAAATATCCTGAAGAATGCCAGCGTGTCGTATCCCGTGCTTCTCGAGGGTGTGCTCTGGCATGTTCGTGGAATGGAAGAACATTGGGAACATTGACGATTCTACAGGCCAAACGTGGGTCGGCGAGAAAGCGTAGGTTGTGGAAAGGTTTTGCCCGAGCTGGAGACAATTCTATGATTAGGATACTGAGGGGGATACGTTCCTGGGGAAGCCCAGCAGCTTAGGGGTGAGATACGAGCGACTCGCCCCGGTTAGAGAGACAGAAAGGGCTCTTGAATCTAGACCCCGGACGTGGATGCCGCTTCCAGACTTCCTCGGGCTTAGGAGAGAGAGCCCACCCTGCAAAAGTTTCTTGGGAAGAGGAAAAATAGTGATCAGAACGAAAAGGAGCTTTCTTGAGACTTTTCAAGTCTTCCTGCAGAGAAGTCCCCTCCTTTTGTAGACATGGATGAAATGGTGTAATCCGACATACATCCATGCATCTCCCTCTGATGTGCATGCTCTCGGCGTCCCTTGTGAATGGGAGAATGAGATTCAGCGTCGCTCGCCGGTTTGCACAGACTGTATAAAATTTTGACATTTTCAATACTTCCACACGAATTTAAAAAAAAATTAAATCCAACGAGGCAAAGCCACAGAGTAGAAATATCAGACAAAAGTTGGCGTAAAGGATATGAAGGTTGAGAAAATGAACGGCTTGCACACGTTCTTTAATGCCCAGGGTCACCAAGATTACCATTATGTATGTCCACGGCGCATTCGATCTTATATGAGCAAGTTGGTGTATGCCTGAGCATGATTTTGATCAGTTGGAAGAGGGAACTGAATGTCGATTATAACCTTGTGCAGGAGATTCCTGGGCCTTGCAACAATCCATCAGCACCAAACTTAGTGCCACAGCGTGGGATGCAGATATTGGAAAATATAATTGCAGCCTTCCTCGTCTTTGTCCAAATCTCGATTCCACTTCCCCTGGCGGGATTGGACTCGGGGTTTATTTCTTCATCAGAGGCTGTTCTTTATTCACCAGATACCAAAGTTCCAAGAAATGGGGAGCTGGCTTTGAGGAGGGCAATCCCAGCCAATACAAACATGAAGGCCATTCAGGTCAGGCTTTTTCTTTCTTTGGCCCAGCATCGCCGAGAATGTCGGTTGTTCTGCTTCTGATAGAACCATGGCTCTGTGGTATCTTTCTTCAGGAGTCTTTGGAGGACATTTCGTACTTGTTGCGCATTCCTCAGAGAAAGCCTTTTGGTACAATGGAGGGCGACGTGAAGAAAGCTTTGAAGGTTCTGTCGACACCTTGTGGCACCTGCTTTGATCATTACACCCTTGGTGCTATGCCTTTTGGTACAACTGATTTACGCTTCACCTTATTAATGCAAGTAATCTACATCCCATGGGTCTACACTAGTCCAGACTTAAACACCCCGATGCATAAATCTTTTCAGCATTGATTTTGCAGTTTAAATCTCCAAGAATTTGCAGTTTTTACTTCTTTCTGCCTCTTGGAATTTATTTTTTTGACACACATGATCTCATCTCCCAACTCAACGCAGCTGTAGACTGCCCAGTGAGAATGCCTCCAAGAATTTGACGTCGTTGGCTCTGTTTTTCTGGTTGAATGAGCATTGAGAATACATATATCGTTGATTGTAACATGCACCCTATCGGGGCATCCGGACTGAAAAATGATCTAGGGACCGAAATTTTTTCCCTAATCCTTGGCAAACATTTCCAATAACTTCCACCGGTCTGTAGGTTCATGAATAGCCTCGGATGTTGGATGCATCATTGCAGAGGACTGCAGATGTCATCGTTAGTTTTAGCATAAACTATCCATTCTATACATCGGCTCACTGAAAAGAAGCCCACAATCCAAGGTTTGGATCAGGTTGACTTTTTAATAGTGCTCAAGTTTCTCTGCTTAGGAAGCAGATGGCGCCTGCTTTAGTGTAGACAAAGGTTACACGAATGTGCAGTACAAACCATCTTTCATGAAAATTGTACGTCCACTTCTTGTAGTCCTTTGTCATACTGCTAGATATCTTGAGTCCCTCGCGCCAATTATATTATATTGGTCGAGATGCTCCTAATGTACGCCAAACCTATTCGTTATTTTTTAGCTTTTCTCGGGTCCAATTCATTTTTTTTTTCAGTATCTCCACTAAATAGGGATCAACTATAAGTTGAAACCTATTGGCAATATCCTAAAATGACCCTTTTTCTATAACTATTTCTGTAATTTATTCCAATGCCCATGCCCTGACTGGATCATTTTCTTCCCAGATTGCAACAGATGAAAGGGCATCCATCTTGGCCGGTATACCAGCCGACCTTCAGGAGAAAGGTTCGCTGTTATATGCATCTCTGTTAGATGGCAAGGTATGCTAGATTTCAGAAATTCGCCACCTGTTAAATTGTTTCAACATAGCTTACACATTATTGGCTTAATAATCAAAGGATCCATTATATCGTATTATCATCAATCAATTGTTTCGGTGGTTCTTGTTCCTTTTCACTGTTTGAAATTAGGCCGAAGAAGAAGGACAAAATCTTAATTGTGTTTAGATTCTTCAACCGATCACAGAGAGGGCACCGATGTACCTTCCATCCAAACAAATCTTCTGTTGATCTAATTGGGCAAAATACTTGAGCAAAGCTGTCAATGAGTGGAACAATTTCACGGAAGACCATTTTCCTAAGATTCCATGGTTGGCAAGTTTTTACATAATCACATCACTTGTCTGGGGGTGAATGGGTAGCTGATAAGTTGTAAAGGCTTACCCTTATGTTTTTTTTCTCCTATTAAGTTATATTATAGACTTGAGGAGCTCGCCTGTTATGCTGGAGCCGCATGGCCGGCAATTTTGTTTTCTCAGGCATTGAAATAGTTGATGTATCGAATTCATGGTATGTTTCGGATCACAGAACACATGAGAAACTGACTCTCTCCCTCGAATCATGAGAACGAGAACATGGAAGGGCTCTTAGCATAGAGTTGTGTATGTGTATATATAACCGTAAGCTATCAGGTATTCACCGCTCATTACTAAATGCAAGTTTCTGTGGTTTCAGGGGGGCTTGAAGGACCTGTTACAATTTGTAAAAGAAAAGGACCCAGATAAGGTTTCCGTCAGTCTTGCATCTTCTCTGGACACTGTTGCAGAACTGGAGTTGGTACAGGTAAGTCTTGTTTAGCACGGAGGATGCTGCCCCCCCCCATGGCTGGTGGCCTCTTTGACTTAATTGACATGCGAGGAGTTTGGCTACCAGTTGGTTATGTAGCCATGGTGTTGCCTTCTTGCCAAAGGCAAAGTCGGAACCATTATCTCCCATAGGTTTATCTGCTGCTTAACCTCACAAGCTTTTTCTTTTAATCTCCATGATTGTGGCAGGCTCCTGGTTTGTCTTTTCTGTTGCCTGAGCAGTATCTGAGATACCCCAGGTACGACCTTCTCTTTGGTTTGATCATTGTGGGCGTGGAAAGTTTCTACAGGTCGGCTTGATTTGCAGCCGATCATGGTGCTCCCGTGTTCTCATTCATTCGAGCAGATCTTCCTTGCTTGACCGCGCACCGCGGCGTTTTCCAGGCTCACGGGAAGAGGACTCGTCGAGTTCACCTTGGAGAAGGGCAATGGCTCCACCTTCTTCCCCTCCACCGGCGGCGAACCCAAGAGCACGGCCACAGTCCAGGTTTGTCGGAGCCGTCATCATCGCCTCGTGCTCTCCCCGAGGTTCTCATCTCTTGGAATGGCGGCGGATTGACGTGATCAGTCGTTTTCTGCGTGGGGGAGCCTTTTTACTTTCAGGTGGTCATCGATGGGTATTCCGCGCCGCTGACGGCGGGGAACTTCGCCAAGTTGGTCGTGGACGGCGCCTACGACGGGGTGCGGCTGAAGTGCGCCAGCCAGGCGATTCTCTCCGACAATGAGGCCGACGATGGCCGCGGCTACAGCGTTCCCCTGGAGGTGATGCCTTCCGGGCAGTTCGAGCCCCTCTACAAGACGAAGCTTAGCATCCAGGTAACCCACCCACCCACACACCCACCGCAGAGCGGGTCGTTCGTGATTGATTGATTGACCAGATTGATCTGATTTGATTTGATTGATTTGGTGATGTTCCACCACCCTCTCGCCGGCGGCGTAGGACGGAGAGCTGCCGGTGCTGCCGCTGTCTGTGTACGGGGCGGTGGCGATGGCGCACAACGCGGACTCGGACGAGTACTCGTCGCCGTCGCAGTTCTTCGTCTACCTCTACGACAAGAGAAACGTAAGAAAAACCGTCGTGCGAACTAAGCTCGCTCTGTGATTTTCATGGACCGCAGCGGCAGCGCCACTAAGCTAGGCTCATCTTCCTCCTCCTGCAGTCGGGCCTGGGAGGGCTGTCCTTTGACGAAGGCCAGTTTTCCGTCTTTGGGTACGGTATTTCTGATATCACCCCTCCATGGAAACCTCTGTGTGTTAAGCGGGAGAGAGAGAGAGAGAGAGAGAGAGAGAGAGAGAGGAAAGATTCCATATCGTCGTCGTCTCATGGTTTTGGTGGGAATCTTCGCAGATACACGACGGCGGCGGGGAGGGAGGTGCTGGCGGAGATAAAGACGGGAGACGTGATACGGTCCGCGAAGCTGGTGCAAGGGCGGGACCGCCTGGTGCTCCCGAGTGAGAGCTGACCCCACCACCACCACCGTCAGTCGTCGAGCGTTGACCTTTCTCCGATTCTTTCCGGCAGCGTCGTTTCTCTTGCTCCAGAGGCTGAGGGGAGGAGCTCTCGCCGCCGTCTGTCTGACCGGCGAGCTCTTCTTGTATGGTATGGATGTATGTATGGATCAATGAATCATCAGACCACCTGACTAGTGACTAGTGACTAGTGACTGGTGACTGGTGCGGATGGCGAGAGCAGCCTCCATTCTTTCAGAGGAAGATGAAGCACTCCAGGGAGACGAGAGGATTCTCCACCGAGTCCTCGAGCGCCGCCCTCGGCGGCGCCGCCATCTTCCGGGTCGCGCCACCCCCCGCCGGCGGGGCTGCCCGCCGCGGCGACCCCGTCCCCGCCTTCCTCATCGACGAGCTTCTGCTGACTGCTCCTCCTCCGCCGCCGCCGCCTGAGCCGGGAGAGTGACGGTCCTCCGCCCCCTTCGCCATCGGTGAGGCGGACCTTCGGCCGGACCTCTCGCCGTGGTCCGTTCCTATTGCCGCCGCCGGCTGTCTTCTCGGAGTGGACCTGTCCCCATTCCGCGTCGACGGCGTGCCCCAGCCGCCACCGCCGGCCCTAACATCGTTCCGCTGTTGGTGGTGGTAGCGGTGGTGGTGGGTCTTCTCCGCCGGAGACCTCCGCTTCGTCGGAGGTGGGGCCGACGAGGAAATTTCATCCGCCTCTTCCCTCTCCGTCGGCGTGGCGGAGACGAAGCTCTCGCTAAAGCTCCAGTTCTCCGACGCTGCGTCGGATTTATCCTCGGTGCCGCCGCCTACAGGTGCCGCCGCCGCCGCCGCCGTCCCTTCAGCGGCGTCGGGCGGCTTCACGGTGGCAATCTCGCCGCCTACCCGAGATTTAGGATTCGGCAGGACTGAGGGCGTCTCCGTGAGCACCTCCTTCACCACGGCCTCCTCCTCCGGCGGCGGCGGAGGCAGAGAAGAATGCGGAGGGGCGGCGGCGGCAGATCCGCGGCCGAGAGTGACCGCCGCGTCCTGCTCAAGCTTAGACCCGTTGTTCTCCTTGTTCTTCCTGCTGTTGGCGGAGACTCGCTTCTTGCTGAGGCAGCTCCCCATTCTCCGGCGAGCTCCGAAGCAGCTCTCTCTCTCTCGCTCTCTCTCTCTCTCTCTCTCTCTGTCTCTCTCTCTCTCTCTCCGTCTCTGTCTATCGTTCTCTCTCTCTTTTCTATCGCTATCTGTGCAGGAAGGAAGGGAAGAGAAGAGAGCGACGTTTTGACCAAGATCTGAATCCATCTCTCTCTCTCTCTTGCGGCGACTGCATTTTCTATACAATTCGGCCGCATGGGCGGGTCCACCGCCGGTCGGTCCTACACGTTGACTGGGAACAACAAACGGCATGTGGTGACCGAGTGCGATCAAATGAAACGGCGCGAAGAACAAGATTTAGATGGCCCCACCACGTTGCGGCGGGCCCGACTCAAGCTTTAATAATTACCCGACAATTCGGCCCAGTAAGCCTTATCTTCAAGGCCCGGGCCCAAACGGTACAGACGAGAGACACCTCACCCGCCTCCCGCCTGGGGAGGCCGACGGCGGCCCCTTCGCCGCCGCCGCCACCACCGGCGGTGGTGGAGGCTCAGCTTCTTCTTCTTCTTCTTCTTCTAATTACCTACCGCCTTTACAGGTCAAGCGAAAGACAAAGGAAGGAGGCGGCGCCGCGGGAGGAGCTGCGGCGGATCGCCGGTGGCTGGGCTCAGCCGATGTTGGCCCTCCAGTCAGGCGGCGCGGTGGTGGCGCCGTCGGTGGCGGCGGCGGGCTTCCGGAAGGAGACGATGTGGCTGCTGACCATGTACGCGGTTACCCTCTCGGAGACCCGGACGTCCTCCATGCGCATCTCCCGCAGCCGCTGCGCGTACTCGGGCACGCAGACCAGGTCCCACACCACGCCCACCCCGCCGGGCTTCAGCACCCTCACCACCTCCCCCAGCCCCCTCCCCCGCTCCGCAGCCGCCGCCGACGCCGACGAGGATCCCCGCCGCTCCCTCCCCACCGCGCTCAGATGCACGGCGGAGACAACCACGTCGAAGTATCCGTCCGCAAAGGGCAGGCGGCGGGCGTCGCCGTCCCGGCAGGTGACGTACTCGCCGACGCCCTCCGCCCAGGCCCTCCGCAGCGCCGCCACCGCGGCCTCGCGCCGCAGTGCCAGGCCGACCACACGGCCGCAGCTCCCCTCCTTCTTCAGCCGAGCCGCCACGGCGTTGAGGAGGATCCCGCGCCCGCAGCCGACGTCGAGGACGGAGCGCACAGTGGACCAGTCCGGGACCGCCTGGAGCATGCGCTGGGCCATCTCCCAGTGAAGCGCCACCGAAGAGTAGAGCACATTACCGGCCGCGAAGAGGAGGCAGACGGAGAAGAAGGCCGCCACCGAGCCGACGAATCCGACAAGGAATCTCACCACCGGAAACGGCACGAGGAGCGCCGGCACCAGCCGAGCCCTGGCCCCCTCGAGGCCCTCGAGCACGGCGGAGAAATAGAGCAGCAGCGAGAGAGAGAGCGCCGCGAAGAGAGCGGCGTGGACGAGGAGGAAAGCCAGCGTCTGCCCCTCGCCGGTGCCGTAGACGGCGTAGATTTGCCTCCAGTCCCTCCCTCCGCCGCACGACTTCCCCGCCAGCGAGTGGTCGATCGAGCACCGCCGACGGCCAGATCTGAACACCCGATCCGCCATCCTCCACTGGAAGACTGCTCCTCCACCTCCTCTTACTCTCCTCGTTCTTCTTCCTCCGCTTCTGCTCTTGTCACGGCCATTTGGCGGCGACTGAGTAGGAAATTGACCGTACCGGTGGCAGCGGAGGAGCTAAATAGCGCCTCGGCGGAGGCGGCCGGTACGGTGGCGTGGAAATCGGCCTTGGGGGGGGGGGGGAGGAAGAAGAAGACTGACACCGGCGATCGCCCGTGCTCCCACCGGCCGTAGGCGGTGAAGAACACCGCGTCGACGGCTAAGTAACTTGTGCCCGCCAGCTGGCGCCGTAAAATCCCCGATCGCGCCACTCGTGGGCGCCTCTCAGCCGTGCGATCGACCATTTCGGATCCCTCGGAGCGCTCAGATCTTCCCTCCCCCGGGAGTCGTCTTTTCGGATCTCCCCTTTCACAGTTTCGGGCGTCCTAGGATCGTGTTGGTTTTTTTAAATGGGCCGGTTTAGGTCGTCTACTCTCTATCTCATCAATCCACGCACAGCGACCCCACATCCGACGCATTAATAATAATAATAGTAATACTCAATAATAATAATAAGAATAATCCGGATGATACGAAGAATAAAAAATAATGTAAAACCGGGGTATTCGCTCCATCCAGATTATTTGATTGCGTTGGAGGCGGGGGGGTAATCGGGGTGGTGGATCATCTCCGCTGACCTAGCCCCGTCCACGTCGTTGACGTTTGGCTCTTCCTAGCTGTCCACGACGTTTCATCTTGGGCATTGACTCTTCCACCCCGAGGATTGATTCCCTATCCCTGCAAGGAGACGGGCGGGCACACATGCATCCGTTCTATTTTATTTATTTATTTATTTATTTTTAAAAAGGGGAGGGCACGGCGGAGCTTATGAATGCATAGATGCGCGCGTGTTTATGCTCGTTTTCTTTTCATCCCGCTGGTCTCCTCAAATATATATATTTTTTTTTTATAAAAAAACGCAGCTCAGGATTTCTTCCTCTTCTCTGTGTTTCCTCTTCCCCGTGGTTGGTCACGTGACCAGCCACCAGGGCACCACCGAGCGTGCAGAGTATTCGAGAATATTCCTCGCTGGTTGGCGCCCTGTGAGGCCACATTTTTGCAGCGGGGAAGAGATAAATCTAATGGCGAATGAATGTATGAATGAACGTGTAGAGATATGCTGATAAGTGCCAACTGCGGCGGCGGCCCCTCGCTTTGCGGAGGCTCCACTTCCTGTCAAGGCATATTTCCCTCCCTTTCTCTCTCTCTCGCTCTCACAGGGGAGAGTGGGGGAGAGAGAGAGAGTGCTGGGGGGTTGGTCCTCTCTTTCTCTCTCTTTCTCTCTCTTTCTCTCTCTTAGTTTTTTATCTCTCTGCGCGGAGGCCTGAGCCATGATTTCTCTGCCCACATCCATCCGTCAATAATGATAATCTCCCTCCATCTCTTTCTCTCTCTGTCTGTCAATTCCAGGGCGACGCGGGCAGATCTTAACAAGAAGGACGTCGCACGTTTCCCAACATATAGATAGATAGCATAGATAGATAGAGAAAGAGAGGAGAGAAAGTCCTTGAGAAAACAAATAAAATTCCCCCTTCGAAAACCAAAACTCCTCTTCCCCCGCCTCCTCGTCCATCGGAAAGACGGTTTCGCCTATCCTCTCTCTCTCTCTTTCTACCTTTCCCGGGGGACTCGGCAATGGAGGAGATGACGGGGGACTCGACGGCCTCGGCGGAGTTGGCGGCGGCGGCGGCGGCGGGGCTGTGGGGGACCTGGCAGGAGCTGGTGCTCGGCGGGGCGGTGCTGCGACTCGGCGCCGCCGACTGGAGCTCTATCGCCGCCGAGCTGCGCAGGCGGTTCTCCCATCCCTTCACCCCTCAGGTCTGTGCCGGAGCCTCCCTCCTTCGCCTCCGTCCTCCCTCCCGTAGCATCTTCCAATTATCAGCATCTATTTTTCAAAGCATTCCTGAGGAGCGGCGGGGGAGAGTTGGCGGTTCTCGGCGGCGAGCGGCGCCGGCCCCGTCTCCCTCTCTCTCTCTCTCTCTCTCTCTCTCTGTTCTCGCCCGCGGTTGTTCTTTTTTTTTCCCGATGGTCCGGGGAAAAACTTCCTTTCACAAATGGCGACAGGGCGTTTGAGAAATGTCTTTCCTGCCCTTCCGTTTTCTCCGCCGCCGCCTGTCTCAGGGGATTTTTTTTTTTTTTTAAAGAGACAACGCCTGCGCTCCTCAACTGTCCAATCGAGGCGGATATTTATTGCATTAAACCCTTGGCTGCTACTTTTTTGTGAAACAGTCCTGTATATACTTTTTTCTCTTACTACACGACCCTACATCAAACCCTTTTGGGAAAAGTTTTTCTTTGCGGAGGCCTACGGAGATTTGCCACCGTTTGCGCCGATTATTACAATGGCACCCTCGACTTTCTTGTCAGAGTCCCCGTCAACGCGCCAGAAAAGTTTTCCACGGCGTCGAGGCCCCCGTGTTTGATGAGAAAGGATGATTTTTTTCTTTCCTCTTCGGGGCACAGAGAGTGAGAGATGATCACGAGTAGTAGATAACGACACTCGGGGAAGTCTGTAAGCCTCCTGGAAGTCTCCTTGGACTGTTTGGGGGGCGGGGGGGCGGGGGGGGGGCGTGTTGACTTTAATCTACTCGATCGATGAGGAGTTGACTGACGCCTTTCGTGGGGCCCGCACGGCGGGGTTTGGTTGGCAGGAATGCGAAGCCAAGTACGAGGATGTCCAGGAGCGATTCTCCGACTTTGAGTGAGTTCCTCAGTTGACCTGATGAACCCCACCTCCCCTGTGCGGATTCTCACCTTGAGGCCCAATACGCAAGACAAGAGTTGAATGGGGTATTTTAAAGTGGTGTCTGTGGTTGCTTGGTTTTATTTTATGATCATGTTGTCATGTTCTCGTGTGATCACTGTTATGGTCGGTGATTCCGTTGTCATTTTCCCCTCTGGAAAATATTGATGAGGCGGCAAATCTACGGATTTTTCTGGACCTTAATTTAGATTTTTGGTGCGTTGAATTTTTGTTTAAAAGTCATATGTTCTAAGTTTTTTTGTTCTTGAGGCCTGCTACAGAGCAGAGTTCTGCTAACTCTTCTCCCCCATGTTTTCCAGCGATTGGTTTGAAGCGCTTCGGAGGCAGAGAGTCAAGGAACTGAAGATGGAGCTTGCCAAATCGGAGGACTCCATTGGGTTAGTGGGTTGATTTTACCTGCAGAAACCATTTTCTTCTTTTTGGAAAATGTCCAGCATATCTTCACTTGAGAATAGTCATGGGTTGATGTAATGTGGCCGAGATCAAGAGGTTCTTGGACCTGGTGGAAAATAATTAATGAGTGCGGTATGACCTCGAGAATAATCAGTATTGTGATCTCTGGGAGCAATCAGCTGGGTCTGAACCTCGATAATACCATAGAGATTAAGACAATTGAACGTATTAGTTGGAAATCGAGTTCATTCTTGCAGTAATATATATTATATCTTCGTATGGAACGACATGGTGCTCAGTAATTTCTATCTTTTGTTCCTCAGATATTTGCAGTTGAAACTCGAATATCTCAAGGCCAAGGTGGAGAGTGAACAGGGTGTGGACTACAATTCTGGACGCTCGGAGTCCCCTTTCCCCAATGAAAACGTGGAAGTTACCGATGACGCTTCCAGCAAGGAACCCTTCAACGACAGATCCTCCGCTGGGAGCTTCATAGACGAAGTGAGGAGCGGTTGGTCGCCTGACGCTCCGATCTTAGCTTCTGTCTCGGCACAAGGGAAGGAGGTCAATCTGGAGGTCTCCAAGGGCTCTGCTTGGACCATACTCAGCTTCAATGGTGATGCTCCTGTGATGCCAGGAAATCTCAGAAGGAAGAGAGGAGCGAGGAAGAGGAGATTCCATGTCGAGGAATCCAAGGGTCTCCACAGCCAGGAGACAGCGGGGCCAAGCAAGGAAGGGACCGTCAGTGGAGATTCTGTCGAGCCTTTGATGAATCAACACAGAGGAGATCTGGAAGGAATCTTGGATGCAATTTTGGAGCACGAGGCTGTCTCTCTTTTCTCTCATCGACTCGACAGCCAGGTGAGATGAAGGACAAACAGAACAGGAGCCCGCCCACGGCACGCCTGATCATTTTCTTCCAATAAACACTTCAGATCAGAGCATGCGATTGTTCCTTTGACATGGAATCTGATTGCTCTTCCGACACGCCTGTTAATTTCTGATTGTTCCTTCGACAGAAGAAATCGCGGTACAGGAAGATGGTCCGCAGGCACGTCGATTTCCAGACGGTGAGGTCAAGGATAAGCGACGGCTCGATCTCGTCCGCCAAGGAGGTGTTCCGGGACTTGCTCCTGCTCTCCAACAACGCTCTCGTCTTCTTCTCCGAGGACTCCCCCGAGCACAAGTCCGCCGTTGTCCTCCGGGGGCTCGTTGCCGAGAGGCTCTCAATGGAGGCCTGTAGCCCCAGCCGGAGCAGCACCTCGGTGATCAGCGAGCAGTGCAGGATTACCAGGCCCGCTGTTTCTCAGCTATGTGATCAGAAGCCGACTGCACTGGAAGAGAAGCCGGAGGAGGCCCCAGAGAAGGGCCTCCCGGAGGATATCTCAGGCCAGACGCCTGTGCCGAAGAGGAGGGGGGTCGGACGACCAGCGATGGGGGCCAAGCGAGGCCTCAAGAACCCGAAGGCGTCTCCTGCCAGGGCGAGGAGGAAGATCGAGAGGTGATGATATTCTTTTTTCTTTTTCTCTTTTGTTGATAGCTGTTGGGTGGCTCTGCCTTGACAAAGTGTAAGCTGGGTGGAAAGAACAGGGGGGAGGGGGGCTTCTCCGTCTTCCGCCTGATCATCCATCATCAAGTCAACTAACACGTCCTCCTGTAAATGATGATGTGGGTGTTATGAAAGACTGCCTGACCTTACCATTCTCTCAGTGGTCGTTGATGACAGCTTTGATTGCCCTCGCAAGCAGGCTGGACACGTCTTCGTCTCTCTCTCTCTCTCGATGGTTATTTTGATGCGACTCTTTCCAGAGTCTGGATTCAGACGCAATACCAATCGAAGGGCGATTTACTTGTTAGATTTAGATTTGGGTCCCCCCGATTTGGCAATGCGATTCCTGCAAGATTTTCACTGGAGCCGATGCTCGTTCGCCGTTGGATGCGGTGAAATCCGTAGACGCTCGGAGAGAGAGAGAGAGAGAGATGGAGAGAGAGGGGGACGGCCATTCGCCACCTGTCGGGCAAGCAGAATCCATGCAAACGAGAAGCCTTCTTCTCAACGAATGGGCTCTCGCCACCTTTTCGACCACCCCCGCGGCCCCGTCTCCTTCGACGCCACCTCGAGATTTCCCCTTCCTCGGTCCTTTCGTATGGCGCCGCGTCGCTTGGGAGGTTGCTTACCTCTCGCTCGTCTCCTCTCCTGGCAGCCCCCAACTTTTTGCATGGAGCTGCAAAAGCGTTGCGGTCAAGCCTCGGGAGGCCAGTCTTCTTCTTCTTCCTCCATTGATTCCCGCGCTCCCTTCTCCCCCTTCTTCCTCCGAGGGCTCTCTTCTTAATTTCTGTTTCTCATCTTCTGGTAGGTGATCTACCTCGCTGACCGACTTAGCCCTGAGATTGCTGGAGAGAAAGATCAAGAGCTCCGCCTTGTGATCCTTCTCCTGGTTTTCGTTTTCTTCACCCGCCGAGTATTTAGCTGTGGTTCTCCGTTTTCCCCCCGTTCTACTGCTTCTTGGTCGTTTGCCTAGAAGCAGTGGAACTCCCCGAAGCATTTTTTTTGGTTATGATCCTGGGTTAAGATCCACCGAGAAATACCTGCCTGGATTCGCGGCCGATCAGCCGATTGCTTTCTTCCTTCATGTGGTTTTTTCATCTATGGATTCCATTCCTTTTTGTCAGATTATTCCTATCTTTATTATTATTATTATTATTATTATTATTATTATTATTATTATTATTTCGGGCAGGATATCTTGGTGGGTTCGCGTTTTTTCATTCCCTCGATCTTCCTTCCTCCTCGATGCAGCCCCCCGCTTCGACAGTTTGACGCTTTACGGATGCTAGATTCTGCTAAAGAAACCCCTTTTTCTCGTGGGATGAGGTCAGGCGCTTCATCATCTCGCTTCCTGTGTGATTATCTTGGCCGGAGCCATTCGCAGTATTCATATTTACCATGTTGGTTTGATCGGCGCGATGTGTAGCGTTGAAGAACTCTTTCCAGGGAATTCCTCGCCCTCCAAGATGAAGCTGCATCTGCGCGTCATCGCCTCCTGCATTGTCGTGGTTTTCATTCTGTATCAGATCACAAACTTCCAGTATCTACACACAAAGGTGGTCAACATCGAACGCGTTCGTTCTTCTCCATCCTTTACAGATCTTTGCAGTTGGTTTCCTTGTTGCTTCGGATGTCCTTAGCTGATCCATCTCTCCATGCTGCAGATAGAAACGAAACTACATCCGTTCGTCTCGTCGATGGTAATAATCTTCCTTGTTGGTTTCCTTTTTAGCCTTTTTCTCCGTATATTTTCTATAATTGTGGGGGAATCGTTTTGTGCAGGATTAGTTGTGTTCTAATTGGTTCCTTTCATTTTGGGCTTCTTCTCCCTCATCTTGATTTCTCTTGAGGAAAAAAAAACCTTGTCGGTCTTGCTCAGGAATCACACTCAGCCTCAACCAAGATCGATTATCTACCGCGTGGCATAGTGCAGGCAAGTTCAGACATGGAGCTGAAGCCTCTGTGGCCGACAAAGAGACCAACTCTGAAGGTTCCTGTCCTACCTGGATGCATATATATATATATATATATTCATATCAATTTCATATTTCCCCGCGGTTTTAGTAATCTCTGTTGAACTGAGCTTCAAAGAGAATCCCGTTGCTGAGGGAGAAGCGATCCACATACCAATATTCCGTAGTATCCACTGATCGTCTCGTCCCTTTGATTTTCATAATCCATGTTGGTTTGGTGAGGATGTTTTCAGAGCGTGAAGGCTATCTGCAGGATGATGATGAAGGCGACGATGGGCGGGGCTTGGGTCCTCGGAACCTGCTGGCGATGTCTGCGGGGCTCGAGCAGAGGGGGAGCGTGGATCTTATCGTGAGAAAGGTATCGCCTTTTTTCCTCTCCAGGGCTCGCGTCCTCTATTCATCATCTTACTCCTCGCTGCAGTTCCTTCCAGAGAACTTTACGGTCATTCTTTTCCACTACGACGGCAACGTCGATGCCTGGCGCGATCTCCACTGGTCCACCTCAGCTATCCACGTATCCGCTCTTAATCAGACGAAGTGGTCTGCATTATTGTGATTACTATCATTATTATTATGATTATGATTATTATTATTGTTGTTGTTGTTTTGGAGGTGTTCCCAGAGGGAATTGATATTGATGATGCGTGCTGTTGACTTTCAGGTGGTTTGCCAAACGCTTCCTTCACCCGGATGTGGTATCGATCTACGATTACATCTTCCTCTGGGATGAAGATCTCGGAGTGGAGAACTTCCACCCTGGAAGGTTCTGGCGTTGACCCATCCCTCTCTCAGCATTTTCTCTCGCTTACATGTGCTCCATTATTTTCTAATTGATGTGATCGCTTTGCAACTAAAAACATCCTCTCTCTCTCTCTCTCTCTCTCTCTCTGCCTCTCTTTCTCGTTCCCTCTCTCTCTCTCTCTCTCTCTCTCTCTCTCTCGCTCTCTCTCTCTCGCTCTGCCTCTCTCTCTTCTCTCTCTGCCTCTCTTTCTCGTTCCCTCTCTCTCTCTCTCTCTCTCTCTCTCTGCCTGCCTCTCTCTCTCCGCAACAGGCCACTATACTTGATACTCTTCTTCATATGACTGCCGGTCGAATTGTTTTTATCTAATTGCTTTTGGGACTGATGACGGAGTGGACTTGGGCTGAGGGGAGGAGCTTCCCTTTCAGGTACCTGAACGTGGTGAAGTCAGAAGGCCTGGAGATATCTCAGCCGGCTCTGGACCCTCGACGGTCAGAAATACATCACAAGATTACCACCCGCAAAGAGGGTCTCCTGGTCCACAGGTGCGTGCCCTGGTCAAACTAAAGCCCCGGTTTTTTCCCTTCTCTGACACTAAGCATTGACACGTGTCATTCACCCAGGAAGGTCCAAGACAACGTGAGGTGCCCAGACAGCGAGGCGCCCCCATGCACGGGGTATCTATCTATCCAATGCAGACGATAAGCCTATCTATCCTCGTTGATGTTCTCTGGTTTTCCAGCCTTCTGCTCGCAGATGGAATGACGATGTGGTGTAGGGCCTCGTTTCTTTCTTCCTTCTTCTCTCATCTTCTAAGCTTCTGCTAGGTGGGTGGAGGGGATGGCGCCCGTCTTCTCCAGGTCTGCATGGCGCTGCGCCTGGCATCTCATCCAGGTGTATGTCTTGCATCGCCTAAGTTTGACTTACCAAATCAGGGAAAATATCATTTGGGAGCTGGGTAGCCTCTCGACATCTGAAAAATATTCCAACCTGGTCAGGACGATCGTCAATGGAGAGAAGTTGGAGAGTATTTGCATTAAATTAAGTTCCGAAATAGGAGGATTATTTTTGAAGGGTCTGGAGCTGAAATTAGAATGAACTGCGAGCGTTGACCCATTTCATGTTGACAGAACGATCTCATCCATGGGTGGGGGATGGACATGAAGCTCGGCTACTGCGCCCAGGTAGATGATCCCATGCTGAATGGAGAAGTAACCCCAAGTCCGCGGTTGTTGCAATGGAAACCCTACCCTAATGAAAAGTTCTGTTTGCAGGGCGATCGGAGGAAGAAGGTGGGGGTCGTCGACAGTGAGTTCGTTGTCCACTGGGGAATACGGACGTTGGGCGGATCTTCCAGCTCGGCTCCGAAGAGGGTCTCTCTCTCTCTCTCTCGCTGGGTTCTGCGGTTTGCAGCTCCGCCTTCGCAACTGAGACGCTTCCTCTTAGTTGCAGACATCCGAAGCCACCGGCATGACCGGAGCTCTGAACAAGGTTCTCTCTCTCTCTCTCTCTCTCTCTCTGGGTCAAGTGTCCTCATGGTTTTGGTTCGTCACAGATTCGTGGGATGTCGAGAGGCGACGTGAGAGTGGAGGTGAGCTTTTTGTTTTGCGATTGGGGGACGATGGAGATCATTACTTCAAGTCTTGTGTTCTGACGTATCCGTGTGGCAGAGCCGGCGGCGGGCGAAGTCAGAGCTCCGGATCTTCCAGGATCGCTGGGACGAGGCGGCGAGGGAAGACCCGGGATGGGTTGACCCCTTCCGCCACACTAGTAGCAGAAGGAGACGCCAGCGCCGCCGCCAGTCGCCGCCGGATTCAGCAGCGGAAGAAGAAGAGCCAACAAAAGCGGCCAAGGAGATTTAATTTTCGACATTTTTGACCTGTTTGACCTCACCCTCTTCATCTGTTCCTCCGAGTAAACCAATTGAAAGAAGTAGAAGAACGACTTGACGAGCGGCGCTGTGATCGTCCGCTGACAAGGCCTCCGCCGGCCTCGGCGGTGGCGGCGGAAGTAGGAAGAAAGAGAGGAGGGAATAGTGGGCCGGCCTAGTAATAAATGAACCTTCACTGTCAACGACGCGTTTTGGCCCAGTAGCCCATTATTGGGCCTCATGAGTCGTGTGCTTCCTTCGCCACGAAGGGGCGAGAGAGAGAGAGAGAGAGGACCCCCGACTTGGACCCGTTAACTTGATCCGGGTGGGAAGAGGAAGGGGGATCCGAAATTTCCAACCCGTCTGGTCGGTCTTCTACGCGTTACGCCGGATTTGACCCGCCGATAGGGAAATGGGCACGGGGATCGGACGGTCTGCGCTCCCGATGAGTCACCTGCCGAACACTCTGTGGGCCAGACCCACCATCAGGACGGTGAAGAGAGCCCGTAAGAAGGGGGGCAGTGATGGCGGGAGAGGGTATATAAATAAATAGAATAAATACAGGAGGGGGAATTAGTCTTGTCCTCTCCCCCAACACGCAACCATAAAATCTCTCTCTCTCTCTGTCTCTCTCTCTCCGTCCCTCCCTCTCTCTCTCTCTGTCTCTCTCTCTCTCTCTTGCGAGAGGAGTTGGTGCTGCTGCTGAGGGAGGCAGATCCGTCCGAGGAGACTGAAGAGGAGGCGGCGCTATGGCCGGGCGGTACGATAAAAATCCCTTCGACGAGGAGGAGGTGAACCCCTTCGCGGTGAGTGATCCGTCGCACCCCTGGCTACGGGCTCAGATCTGGTTTGTCCGTGGCCTCCTCTCTGCTCTACCCACCACCCTGATTATTTCCTCTCCGAATTGATGGCGGTTGGCGCCTACGCCCTCGAATTGGAGTTTCGAGGGGTTTCGCTATGATTCTTAGGGCGGTCTCGAGTTCTTTCCGGGTTGCCAACTGGAGGTCAGGAAGTCAACGGTGCGTACAATGGTTTGACGTTGGCTTTGGTGAATTCTGTATGCCCGCGGACTCGGGAGGACGTGGAGATACCGTGCATTTGTTACACGAGGGACTATCTCCCTTTCGGTTTTTCCTGTTCAAAAGGGTTGCTGTTTCAGTGTGTTGTCGAGGTTCTGCTGTTGTGGATCAGATGTGTCCGGATTTACAGTTTGACGGATAGTTACGGGATCCTGTTGTGATCACCTTTGGTTGACCTATATGCCAGCAAGATGATTTTAGATGAGGTGGAGCAGTTCGTCCACCTCAATTAGAAATTAGACGACTGACGATTAGGCTTCCTTAATTGGAATGAAACTACGACTGCAATTTAAATTCATTAATGGTTTTTCACCCAATAATTAATCTTTATCCAATTTTTTTCATGGAATGACAAGGCTCCATAGTCATGCTAATTCAAGATTGGAGTGTATTATGTGGATGATACCTCGAGGATCAACCAAAATGATTTATTTCTACCATGGAGTGCTACTTTCAATATTATTATTTCACTGCGATAGTGATGGATTAGAAGAGGGAGAAGGAGAAGAAGAGGGAATATCAGGAGCATTAGGAATCATCTCTTGGTATCTTTAAGATCTATCGTTATTACCTCTGTTCTACCAATAGGATGCACCGATTTCAGTGATTTACCAACACTTTTCCTACTTGTTTGCATATTAAATCTATTATTGACAGATCTATTGACACGCATACATTGGAATACAACCGTACTCAGGCATTGTTCCAGCTTTTATTTTGTGGCATCCTGAGTTATAGTAGAAAAACTATATTTACATTCTTGAACTCACATGTTTTTGTCCCAAGAACCTGGATGGTTATACTTTCCGTTTCTAGCCTGAGACCCCACTCGTTTTTGTATCTACATGCTTGTAGGTAATATGGTTTTAACTACCCCTGTAGAAAATAGCTCAATATGCATCACCAGCTAGGCACGAAGTTACTTAATAATGAAAAACCCCAACGATAGCTGTGCTTTGAATTTTTTTTTTCTTATTTGATTTGGTTTGTGTGGAGAGTCTAAGGAGCACATTGATTGCTCTAGTATAGTTTTCCCTGGAAGCCGTTTGCTACTCTAATGTGATAAAACTATAGATAACACTAAAAAAAAGCCAAAAAAAATCGAAATGGATATTTTTTGCATATTCTAATAGTTTGGTTTTACTTTTCATTATTCTGTTTTACTATCAGCATCACTCGTTTGAAAAGTACCTTCCTCAAAATGAGAAAGATTCTCGTTGTTACGGATATTCTTCTTATGGATGGCACGGAAATAGTGAAGTTTTAAAGATACGAGTAGCTTCTCAGTGAAGTCTGTTTATTCTGCATTTTCTGGGATAGTTCTTGCTGACTAAGATTCCTGAGCCTTATTTGTTGGGAAGCTGGGACGAAAATCGAATAGTTCAAAGAGCCTATGAATCTTGATTTGGATTCGACAAGATAGATCATTTTCTTTATATGATTGATGGTATTCTATATCATATAACCACAAGTTCTTTGCATCCATTGCAGGATCCTGCAGTCCGTAGAAATGCGGCACCATCAGCTTATAGTGGCGGTGCATTCTATATGAGTGTAAGGACTTTTTCATCAATTATATATACGTTCAATCTTGTTCCTCATGTCAGTGAAGGCAAGACATGACCTTCCTATCTTCATGGTTTCTTAAATATCTCTATTTGGTATTTTTTTTATTGTTCCTAAATGTCCAAATAATGTTTCGGCATAAATGAATTCAATTTTTATTTGAATGTAGCAGTCCTTTCTTCATTTCTCTTTGAATAATTAAACACTTTGAAGTGAGTGGAAAGGAAAATAATTTTTCCGGTCTGTACTCGTTTTAATTGTATGATGTCTGATTGACGTACACGAATTGCAAGATTTTTTCGTCCCACCAATTTCAAGGGTATGGAGAGAATATGCATTGGGAAATTAAGGGTGGAAAAAGATGCCAATCACAGTCACGAAGTGGAGTATCATTAGCTTTCATGATGTAAAGCTGTAATTCTGTTGAAGCCAATCATAATCCTACAACTCTTCGTTTAATCTAGTTAAATATGTGAGGTGAGTTATTTGAAAGGAGTTATATGGTTATCCTAACCAAGATATACTCGGATAGATTTTCAAATCTACCTAACGACAATCCAAAAAGCAGGCTCATTACCAAACCGATCACATTACCTCATTTTTTATGCTATGACATGAAATGGCATTGTGAATGTGAAGGTCTCTGGCGACTAATTTGACATGCTTCGTACATGCTATGACATGAAATGGCTTACTGATCATGATTTTCGTAGCATTTATCCCAACTCTGGAAATCTGGTACAATAGTCATTTTAAATTAAGTATAAAAGAAAGCCCAAATGAGAGAATTAACCTAAATGAGATTTCTAGAGTTATATTTCTAAACCCTTATTTCCTATGACATTAAATAGCCTCGTGACATGGTTGTCAAATGTCATCATCAACCCTTATTTCTTATAGTATCATTTCCCATGATTGAATTGAAATAGTAAATAGGCGTTGGGGGAATCCAGAACTATATTGATGATGAGTGTATATCTTAACATGCATTCATGTTTACAGGAGATCAAGCCATCTTGATTTCTCTACTGGGTTTTATCACCATGGTCATTGAGTTTCCTAGTTGCAAATCAGCCAAACTATTTAATTATTCTTACGGCCATCGTTTTTTTCCAGTAAATGTGTAAGGCATAAGATAAATGGGGCGATATTTGGACCCAACTATAGGCATTTTACATATATGGAAACATACGTTTGCATAGAGACTACGTATTTGGGATGTAAATGATTAGAATATAAGTCAAAATATGATGAGAAAAAAATATGGAAGAAGTGTACTTCATTAAATATATGTTTGCGTAACGTAGGGAAAGGGATAAGTGTCGTGTTTTATACTTCAACTGGCAAGACACTTAAAAGTAAAGTCTAAAGAACACGCCTCCCTTGGGAACCAATAAGGCTAGTGTGGAATTTCAAACATTAGGCTGAAATTTTAATTTCAAGCACTTTGCTGAAGCTGGGATCTGGATTATCGTTTTGATTCCCCTACTTGCAATGAAGTACGGGAACAGGCAATGGAAAATAGACGGCCTTGGGGAAATCCGGAACTATATTGTATGTTGCGCCAGTGAAGCCATATAAATTGGATGTTGAATAAAATTTCTGCAAGTTCACATGTTCAGTCTTTCACGATTCGTTCTTGAAATTGTAATCTATAAGTACCTTTCCAATCCTTAATACTTTATGCAAATATCATTTCCTTACAAATATATCATCAAACTTCATTGTGGAGACGATTCTTGAACAATTTCATGATATTTTATTATTTTCTTCTCTCTTGACTTGTAAATTGCTGAAAATATCCATACTTACTGACGCTTTGTTTTTATTAACTTTTTTTGGCTTACTGTAAATGGTTTTAAATGCCCATGTGTTGTCTTCAGTAAAGATAACGTTGTCTTTTTATTTTATTCGATGGAGATGTTCCCAGAGCACTGGCAGTGTACCTCAAGCTTCCGATTCTAGGCTTTCACCACTCCCTCCTGAACCAGCTGATTTCTACAATGATCGTGGTGCTACAATTGACATTCCACTTGATAATGCAAAGGTATTTGATGGCGCTTGACCGCATTGAAATTGTTCCTAATTGTTGATAGATCTATGATCCCTGTGCCTTTTTTTTTTTAATTTCATTTTCCTTTCCAGGATCTCAAAAAGAAGGAGAAAGAACTTCAGGCAAAGGAGGCTGAACTGAGGAAAAGGGAACAGGTTTGTACTGCTGGAACTGATCTAAACAAGTTCTACGGATGCAAATGCCCCTTGACTCTGCAACTATACTATCTATAATTGAACATGGCAATAAAAACGTCTGGTTTGTCTTGATCAGCATCGAGGGAACTGCAAGGAATGATACAGACTTGAATTTCGAGTCTATTTTTCCTTCAGCAAGTTTATTTGGAAAACCCGGCTAATAAGTAACGATTGATTTCGTCTCGTAAATCATTACTGATTGCTTGAGATGTATTTGGTGTCATGTCACTCCTTCGTGTTCTGAAAATTTCCATGATGGTGCTGTATAGCAAGCCTTCCCTGATGAATTGCTTCATTTGCTTCGTGTCTACAGGACCTGAAACGGAGGGAAGAGGCTGCAGCCCGGGGTATCCTTGCATTCTTTTTCGTCGCCATATTTTTTTGGCGTTCTAATGATAATATGGCTTAACCTTTCTAAATCTTCTCTGTTGCAGCTGGGATTGTTATAGAGGAAAAAAATTGGCCGCCATTCTTTCCCATTATACATCATGATATCGCAAATGAAATCCCCATCCATCTGCAGCGAATACAGTATTTTGCATTTGCATCTTTCTTAGGTATGATACCTCATTTTACTTACTCCATGCTGTGGAATTTTACGGGATCGGAGCAGGGTACATTCTTGTTTTATGTTTTGGAGCATTATCGTCTGTGTTCTATGCCACGGAGTTTCTTGAGAGACGAGCATGGATCTTGATTCTCCAGATATGTCATGTCATGTCGTGCAATTAGTTATCAAGCTCTAGGCTGCCTTTGAGATTAAATCAATCAATGCCCATGTGGAAGAGCTGTGTCGCAATCGATACCAGTGGAGGCTATGTTCATGATAGTTGGATTACCACGAGACTTAATGTTGAATGACTTGCAGGGTTGGTTATCTGTCTTTTCTGGAACATCATAGCAGTGACGAGTGCTTGGATCAAAGGAGAAGGTATGATCATAGCAGTGATCACCCCTGCGGACGAAAAATCATCTTGTTAACCGAATAACTTTGAATCTGAATGCTGTATGTCTCAGGCGGGGCAAAGATCTGGTTGCTGGCTATCATATACTTCATCGCTGGTGTCCCGGGAGCATACGTTTTGTGGTATCGCCCTCTTTACAGGGCAATGAAGTAAGCTTCTGAAGATTATTTGGTTCCTAGCTTGCATGACAAGGATATCCAAACTGTTTGAGTTGGACCGTGTGATTTCTAGTTTCTTCTGAAATTGTATTGCTCTCGAACCATCGCAGGACCGACAGTGCGCTCAAGTTCGGATGGTTCTTCCTCTTCTACCTGGTGAGCGAGCTTCCCTTCGCTAGCAGTGTTCTAAGCATACTCCCTTCACCACCCTTCTGCTCTAAGCTTCCCGGCATGGTGGGCTGTGTCTCAGGTTCACATTGGCTTTGTGGTGTATGCTGCCGTGGCACCTCCTGTCATCTTCGAGGGAAGGTCCTTTGCGTAAGTCGCTCTGGTCACCAGCCCCTTTTCTTCATGGCGGAAGAAAGAGCGTGTTGACTTTTGTAATTCATCATCTTATTTTTGACTATGCAGTGGTATTATCACGACCATCAAGATCATTGACAACAGCATTGTGGTTGCGGTAAGCTCGGCTCGTTGACTTGCACCTACACAACATCTGCTTGTTCTTGCCGATGATCCTACAAGTAGAGCATCTGAGTTTCCGATTGCGATGCGTGCAGATATTTTACATCATCGGGTCCGGGTTCTTCTGCCTCGAGTTGCTCCTCAGCATCTGGGTCATCCAGGTGAGAAATGAGCGCGTTGACTCTCCAAGATAGATAGATAGATAGATGGATGGATGGATGGATAGATATCTGTGGATTGACCGAGATTGTTTTGGGACTGGTGGGTTTGGTTGCAGCAAGTCTACCTCTACTTCAGAGGCAGTGGAAAGGCGGCGGAGATGAAGCGGGATGCGGCGCGTGGGGCCATGCGAGCCGCGGTTTGACCCGATGCATCCGTTCTGAGTGGCTGGGGGGGGTCTTTGTGTGCTCTCCCTTTTGAGCTCCGCTCCGTATGTAATCCAACCCAGTAGTCGTCTACCTCTTCAGACCAGACCTCATCCGTCATCGCTTGGAGTTTTATTTTTCTTTCTTTCAGAGCTTGTTTGTACAGCCACATTCCCACTATATTCAGCTCTCTCCCTCTCTCTATTTCTCCCTCTCCCTCTCTCTCTCTCTCTCTCTGCTATGAGCGAGCCGAGCTCAGCCCGGGTCGCCACCACTGGTAAAGGTGGCGTTGACCGCACGGGTCTCTTCGTCCTTGATCTTCTTTGGTCCTCTGGCCCCTTTACATCGAGTAAGGAATGTTTTCGTTGGTTTCCGCCCCGCCTTCAGCTCCGTCAACCCTCCGCCGAAATCTCTGCCCACCGGAGGAAGCTTTATGCTTTAGTCGCCTGCCTGCGCGGGTGCTTTCCTCCCCACCCCTCTCTCTCTCTCTCTCTCTCTCTCTCTCTCTCTCTCTCTCTCTCTCTCTCTCTTTCTCTCCATCTCTATCTTTCCTGCCGAAGTTAGGCAGAGGCGCCGGAAGAGAAAGTCCCTCCGTTCACATGGAACTCCGAGGACTTCCTCGGCCTCACACTGTTTGGGCAAGTCCCCAACAACAGAGATTCGGCTCCTTCGCTCCGCATGAACTGAACTCGGGGATGGGGGAAACGAATTCATTAGCGAGGAATCGGCGGTGATCTTCACAAACCCCCCTTTTTATTGCATGCCAAAGTAAAAAGTATTCTCCTCTCAAACGCAAACTTTATGGATATATACGTAGATAGATTTAGATCAGATTAACAGATGCATAGCGGGATGCGGGGTGGAACCAAGAAGAGGGCAGTAGCCCCGCCCCTCCTCCTGGTGATGGGAATACATGCGATAAGATGATGATGATGATGATGATGACGATGGTGGCGTGGGTCTGTGGAGGAGCACGGGGGCGGACTGCCCCGAGCTCAGCAGTAGGCGACGCACTTCTTGCAGTCCAGGGTGCAGCCGCCGCCGCCGCCACCGCTGCCGTAGTTCTTCCCCGAGCTGCTGTAGGAGGTGAAGCACTTGGCTGGGCAGGTGAGCTTCTTCTTGTAGCAACGCCCCCGCTCCTTGCAGACGACGGAGGGCCTCACGACGCCTCCTCTAGCGTGACCGCCGCCCGGGCCGCCGTATCCGGATCCCCATCCGCCGCCCATGTTCCCCCACCCGCTGCCGGCGGCGCCGCCGGGGAAGCCCGGGGGAAACCCGTTCCCTCCGCCGCCTCCCCAACCGGGGATGCCGAAGCCCACCCCAGGGAAGCCGCCGCCGCCGTCCCCGGGGAAGGTGGGGGGGTTGCCACGCTTGGATGGCCCCCGGGCGGCGCTGCAGCAGCACGAGGCGGCGAGGAGTACCGCCGCCGCCAGCACGAACCCGGCTCTGCTCACTGCCCCACCACTTCCCATCCTTTTCTTTCTCTTCTCCTCCTTGGCAAACGTTTTGCAGGAGAGGTGGCGACGCCCACTTTCCTCTCGCTCTCTCTCTCTCTCTTATTTGTGTCTCTCTTCCGCGCTCTCTTGCAGAGTTGGCCATGCGAGCACTATAAATGGGGGGAGGGCGGTGGGCGGAGTGGGTGGTAGGTGGCCATGTAATTAGTGCCACAGGGCCTCCCTACGCCCAGCTATTTATTTTTCTCTTTTTTCTTTTTTTCTTTTTTTCTTTTTTCCTTCGTTCCTCTCTCGGCAGCAGCCCTCGAAAATGGGATCAATTTTTATTTTAATTTTTTCCCGCCGTCGGATTGCGAGATCCTCGAGAATGAATAAATAAATAAATAAATGAAATATATATATATACATGTCCTCGTGTATATACATACCTACGTACAGTATATACGCATATTCAATCGACTGGTCCGTGTTCGTGCGTGGAAATGACGTCATCCGGCCCGACCCCGGTGGGGGCCCAGCGAGTCAGCAGCAGGAGACTCGCCCTGCTTCGAGATGCGATCTGTACGACATGGCACGTTGCAGTTGAGTCGGCGGTTTCTGTCTGAACGGTGACAGCGCCAGCAGGGTCAAACCCACTCACCACCGCCGCCGCTCCCTCGCCGGCCCCGCCTCCGAATTCCATTTAATTCCCAGCAGAGACTTTCACGGCAGCCCATCTCTCTCTCCCTCTCTCTCTCTCGACCACAGCTGATGCCCCACTGTTTGTTTTCGGTGATCAGGTCGATCGAGTGGTCTATTGACAGAGTGTGTGAGGAGGTAGGGGAGTCCCGGATATTGATCACGTCGAGTGGTCTGTTGACAGACTGTTTTCGGGATCTGCAGGATCATGGTCAACGCCAGCGCCGCCGTATGGATTTAGTCCTCTTCTTCTTAGCCTGTATAATATTACAACGTAGGGGCTATAGAGATGCACTCGACATGATCTAGGGTCATTCTCGAGCTGGCATTTGGAAAAATCTGCAGGCAGTATAGGATCCATATGCTGGGAGAAGAAGAAGAAGAAGAAGAGGAGATTCTGAATCTCATAGAGAAGAGGAGATGAGAGAGAAACCAACCAGGGAACGGGGGGGAAGGGCTGGTCCTTAGAGCTCGGAGGAGTCCCAGCTGGCGTCGACGGCGGCGATGATCTTGGCGTGGAGGGAGGCGCCGGAGCAGGCGACGATGCCGCGGTCGAGGCCGTCGAGGAAGATCCCCCGCGAGAAGTCCAGCGGCCGGCCGCCGGCATCGGTGACCACGCCGCCGGCCTCCTGGACGATGAGCACCCCCGCCGCGTGGTCCCATATCTTCTCCCTGTACCCCGACCTCCCGAACTTCATGAATATCTCCGCGTCCCCCCGCGCGATCGCCGCGTACTTCACCATGCTGTACACCCGCAGCGGCCGATTCCTGCTCACCGATTTGCACAAGAAGAAGAATCAGACCCTCAGGAGCAGCAGCAGTAGGAAGGAGGAGGATTTTAGGAGGATGGAGGAACAAGGATTTGTTTGGGACCGACCCACCTGAGACCGACGGAGCGGGCGAGGCCGGCCGCGAAGGCATGGCTGGAGTTGGCCTTCTCGACGGGCTCGCAGAAGGTGGCGGCGGCGGGGTCGTCGACGGTGGAGACGCGGACAGGCCTCGCGGCGGCGGCGGCGGCCCGGTGGGGTCCCAGCGGCTGCATCCAGGCCTCGCCGGCGCCCCTGCGGGCGTACATCACGCAGCCCCTGTGCCACCCCCCCGCTGCCGCCGCCGGCGCCACGCGCGCCGCCGCCCTGTAGTAGCGGTGGTGGTAGTCGAGCCACTCCCTCCTCATGGGATAGTTGGGGCAGCCCAGCACCCCCAGCACCACCTCGCCGCCGTCGATGAGGGCCAGCGCCACCGCATACTGGTCCCCGCGGACGAAGCCCAGCGTACCGTCGACGGGGTCGAGCACCCAGTGCCTCCCCTCCGGGCCTCCCACAGAGTTGCACCGTCCGATGGCCTCCAGCACCTCCCGCCGCCCCAGGCCCCCCTCCGGCGGCGCCGCCGCCGTCAACCCGTATGCCGCCGCCTCCCTCAGGCAGCCGTTCACGGCGCTGACTACGGAGTCCAGCAGCGGACCGGTCTGCTCCTCCTCCTCCAACAGCGAACGAACGTCCTCCTCCGCCACGATGGACACTCGCTCCCCCGGGAAGCTCTCCGCCAGAAGCCAGCTAACAGCAGCTTGCACGCTCCAATCTGCTCCACCCAGAAACAAAAAAAAAAAAGACGACGATGAACAAGAAGAAGAAGATGATGATGATGATGCTGCCAGACCCATCTTCGTCAGGGAGAAAGCAAGTGAAAATCAAGAGCACACCCATCAATTATGCAAGAACCAGACGGCGGCATACAGAAAGGATTCGAAGCCTTGTTTTCAGAGATGATCAGGGCGCCCACATCCGGTTGAGGGTTCGGAAGATGTCAGATTTAAACGAAGCGGGAATTGAATACGAGTTCTTCAGGGATCTACAGAGAATTCAGAGATGATCATGACTGCAGAGAGGGTTCTCCGACCTTCAGAGATGTCGAGAGTATAATCATCTGAAATCCATTGAATGCATCAAAAAGCCCTTCTCGAGCTCCGGTGGAGAGGGAGATATCTAGCAAGAATAGGTTTCCTAGAGACTGATCAGAATTCGAGATTCTAGCTCCCCATTGTCATTTTATGCTGAACTGGGGGAAGAGCGAAGAGAAGAAGAGGCCGGCCAGTTTCCCTGTAGGTCGAGAGGATGATGAGCAGAAAGATTTTGTTTGAAGTGGAAGAGCTGCGGAGTTCATTGGATGGCGTAGCTCGCCTGCAATCTTTGGAACTCCTGGTGGAACACAGCAGCAGCATGCATGCTCGAAGAGACCAACCAGTTCTCCGTCGAACTCTGAAGACGAATGGGGGTCTAAAACCCAAGAGAAAGGGGTTTTGTTTGCTGTCAAAAGGACCGGTGAGGAGGAGCAGGCAGGCAGGTGATCCAATCGAAAGCACAGGGGGAGATGAGATTCAGAGGAAGAAGAAGAAGAAAAAGTGGGACAAGGAGAGGGACGTGATGAGACCTGCGACGGTGACCGGAGAGTCGTCCTCCTTGGCCTTCACCTGGTCTGCCCCTCTCCCCAGCAGCGCTTCTTGGACTCCCTGGCAGAGGGAGCAGGCCATCTGGACCACTCTGACGGCCACATCGAGCTCCTTCGAGTACTCCGCCACCGCCGGCTCCGTATACGATGGGGCTCGAGGCAGAGAGACCAGAGACGCGCCGCCGCCGGAAGGGGCGGCGCCACCGAGAGGATGAGGATGAAGACGAGGAGCAGATGGGCAACCCTCCGAGAGGCTTCTCGAGCAGCAGAGGAAACGGCTGCCGCCTCCTCGGGACCCCCCATGTCCGGGCCACCAGGTTCTCCTCGCCCGAGCGGCGGCGGCGGGGCAATTGAGTTCGGCGGCGCCGCCGAGAGAGCATAAATGCATCCTTGAAGGAAAAGAGAAGGGTTTGGCTTCGGCTTCCTCGCCGCTCAGAAAATCAGCTGTCGCCACCTCTCGGTTCCTGAGATATTCTTCCTCCCTGAAAAAAGTCCCCAGGGTTCAACCAGAGAGAAAAAGGGGCGCGAGGACGGTGCTCGACCATTGTCCCCCAGAAAATGAGGATACAGAGAGAGAGGGAGAGAGAGAGAGAGGAGATGCAGAGAGATGATAATGGAGTCGGACAGCGACGGGGAGGACTTCACTCATTTCGCACGAACCTGACTCACGGGGGATCACATGGAAATATCAACCATCGCTCTCCACAGCCCCCTGCTGACGACGATGGGAGCCCCGCCCCGCTCTGAGAGAGAGAGAGAGAGAGAGGAAGAGAGAAAAAGGAAGGGAGAGAGAGGGAGAGAGAGGGAGAGAGAGAGAGAGAGAGAGAGAGAGAGAGAGAGAGAGAGAGAGAGAGAGGGTTTACAGAGGGCGGCGACCAGGAGGGGGGAGGAGGGTGGGAGGAGGATGAGGGTATCAACAGAGATATCATCGAACGGGTGGGTGGCCGATTTTATTTTTTTTGTGGGAATGGGAGTCAACGGCCCGCCCACGTCAGCGTCGGCTCAGAGCGGGCCGCCGGGGGCGGGCTCACATTGGACAGGCCCGATATCTATCTTGAAGGCCCTCTTTTCTCAGACTTCTGGGGTCGGAGGTAATTTTGTAACTGTTGGACTTTCTTGGTGGTAACTTGCAAACTATCCTTTCAACAGGAAATCAGGCATATTCCACCCTTTTAATTTTATAGAGAAAATAAAACAGACCGGAAAATAAATTTACGCCTTTTCCGTCCAGAGGAAACCGTCGGTGACACCGTGAGTGGATGACGTCGAGCTAATCGGTCCGACCCGACCCGCCCCCAACAGAACGAGTCCGTCGAACCGTCCGCCGATCCGAGTGCGACTCGGTGCGGCACCCTAAAGCCGGCGGGAAAGCGGCGGCGGAGAGCAGAGAAGAGAGAGAGAGAGAGAGAGGCGCCTTCCCCCTCTTGCGCATCAGCCCACCCAAAAACCCTAAAAACCCTAGCCGACCCACGAGCCCTGTGATCTTCCCGCCCGCAATAAGAATGGATTTTTGCCCCTCCTCACGGCCGATCCTCCGCCCTTCTTCCGCCAGCGGCCCCTGGAACGACGCCACCCGCCATGGTGGGCAGCTGGGGAGCCTTCGCCTCCTCCTTCACTGAGGACGACCCGCTCCTCTTCCTACCCTCCTCCGAGGCCGACGACGACCCTTCCTCCTACCTTCTCTATCCTCCAGGTTTTGGCCCCGTGGAGGACTGGCTGGTCGACCCTGCTCCACCCCGAAGTAGCATCCCCACCATGTTCGGTGGACAGCCCAAGGAGTCCGACCAGTGCGGCGGCGCTCTGGCGGGCGATGACGGAGGAAAAGACGGTGCTGCTGCTGATGGGTTTGGTCGGACAGAGGTGGTGGGGCTCTCGGAAGCTCTGTCGGGGAAGATTAGCTTGGTGGGTGATTCTGAGCTCTCTCTTTCTTCTCGCTTCGCGGAGAAAGATGGGGTCCCCGAGTACGTGGTAATTGGAAGCCTGGGGATCGACGGAGATGGAGGAGAGCCCGGTGGCGGCGATATTAACGCCTCCATAGCATCTCCTCTCTGTGTCAATGGAGAGGGCGACAATGTAGTGAGGGAAGCTCCGGTTACTCCGTCTGAAGTTAACATGGACGGTGATGGCAAGGGGGAAGACAATTCAAGGAGCGGCGGATCGTCGGAGTCTGAGGGTGATGATTCGTCTTCTTCCTCTTCTTCAAGCAGTGAAGAAAGCAGCGAAGAAGAAGAAGAAGAAGAAGAAGATGGTGGTGATGAAGATGATGGTGAGAACAAGAGGAAGAAAAAGAGTAATGGGGTTGTGGACTTGGAGGAGGGAGAAATCAGGGATCTGGATATCGAAGAGTTGGCGATGAGCAGCGATGACGATGTTGCGACAAAGGGGCCCATCAAGTCAAAAAATGAGCTTGAGGTAAGCCAGCTACATCTGATTGTAGAAGGTGATCGGCATCTGAATGTTCTTCCTGCCCGTCCGCCAAACCCACTCCGTATGGACCATTATGAAAGATAAGCTCCACCAAAAAGAGAATTTTGATGGGTTTTTTCCCTTGATCTTTGGACACCGGTGGATCTGTGATTCCCTCGGTTTTTCTTTCCCTGTTCATTCGTTTTCATCTTACACTCTCCTCCTCGGCCCTGCCCCCAAAAGACGGGAAAGGGCGGAGTTGAGTGGTTTAAGCAGCAGTGGGACTTGGCATCAGTATACCTGTTCTAGTCTCTTGGATGAGGCACGCCAAGATGCTAAGAAGACGCCAAGTTTCTAGTTTCTTCCGATATTTCCTCCATGGTTTGATGCTTCTTCTATTTTTTGACCGTGGGTTGCGTTCCTCTGAATCGATCATGTCGCAGGATCTCCCCCCCGTCCTCCCTGTGAATGCAACCTTGGAGCCGCATCACCAGACACACTCTGTGGGAGCTATTTCGTCGGTGAGCTTTTGAATATCTACTTGTTCATGTATCTATCTACTTGCATTCATAGTTTGTAATGATATATATGGTATATAATACTTTGATTTAAACATGAAATATATCATATATGTGCACATGTTTATTTTCCATGTTCAATGGAGCTCTCTGCATCATGGTCAATGCCTGCGGATCACTCCAATTTTCTCCACAAATTTTCTTGCAGATTGTGGACAACAGAGTCATCGTCGAAGGTGTGGCGGAGCACAACCCTCTTAACGAGGGTTCTATTCTCTGGGTGACGGAGACCCGATCGCCGCTCGGGACAGTCGACGAGATATTCGGCCCGGTGAAGAACCCTTACTACATTGTCCGGTACAATTCCGAGGAGGAGATCCCCGCCGGGATCTGTGAGGGCACCGCCATCTCCTTTGCCTCGGAGTTTGCCGGCCACATCCTCAACGACCCCTCGCTCTACAAGAAGGGTTACGATGCGTCCGGGGAGAACGACGAGGAGGTGGACGAGGAAGTCGAGTTCTCGGACGATGAGAGGGAGGCTGAGTACAGGAGGTCTCTCAGGCAGACCAAGCGGGGGACAGACGGGTCAAGGCAGAGGAATTCAGAGCCCTTTGACAAGAAGAAGGCCCAGTTTGATAAGAGGAGGATTCAGGACAGAGGCAGTGGCTACATGAACAGCTGGAAGGAGGAGCGTCTCCCTGTCCCTGGGGAATCGTCATCTCCCCGCGGGCCGATGCAGCACCGGTCGAGGCCTCAGCGGCCGTTCATTCGAGGGCAGTCTCAGAGATCGCCGCATCGGCCGTCTCAAGCTCCAACTTCACCCCATCCGCCGTGTGTTCCAGTTCACGCGCAGTCTTCAAATCAGATCCAGAGCCAGATGCAGGCGCCACCACCTCTGCAGCCCTTTGCCCACGGCCAGCCGCTCCAGTTGCCAACACTGCCGCCGTATGTCATGGGCCAGCTCCAGATGCCGATGCTAGCGGCACCCTGCAACCCAGGACCACCTGCTCACGCAGGCGCTGTCAATGTTCCCCATGCATACTTTCAGGGTCCACACAGTGTGCCTGGTATCCCCTATGGCGGCCAATCGGGCGGCCCCCTCGGGCAGAATTTCTTCATGCAGCAGCCAAATCCCTTCTGGCCCCTTGGAGCGCCGAGCCAGCAGTTCATCACAGCTTTTCCAGGAATGCTTCCGGCGAATGGGATGCAAGGCCAGCAGATTCAGGGCCATCCCTATCCACAGAACCAAAACCAGGCTTTTCCGGGCTTCGCCAACGGGCCCACATTTCAGTTCGCTTTCTCCCCAAATCAGGGGTTGCCTCCCGGCATGCCCTGGCAAGGCTGCAGCCCGCCATATCCCTCAGCTGCAATGCTGAGCTCAGAGCCAGCCCCCCGTGATGGTGTGTCCCAGACGGTGCCACCAGGGCCCATCGGCGGCGGCGAGCAAGGGCCTGCCAGCCTCTCCAATGGCAACCAGGCAGCCGGAGCCCCCCCCATGAAGTTCAATATGGGTAGACATTTGGGGCGCGGGAAAAGACCCTTCAGTCGCGGCAGTGGCGGCAGAGGCAGAGGCAGAGGCGGCGGCTAGTGTTCATGCGGAGAAAGCTGATGACCCCGCTGTGTGTGGGCTCTCGTAAGAGCTCTGCACAATGAAATTTTGCCATCCCAGCTGCATCAGCTCCTCCAAGCGTCGACGTAACATTATATATCCCCCAAGAATCTAGTTTCGAATCACATTTTCTTAAGGGTGCACCCCGATTTCACCGGACCAACAAGAGTCTGTATATCATTTATATGCTATCTATGCTGTGTATGATGATGATGATGTTCCCAATTATGGTAAGATCGCCACAGTTTACCACCATTGCTGATGCTCGAAAATCATCTGGATTGAAAGAAGCTCAGCCATGGAATACCAGCGCGACTGATCAGCCTTGCTCCCACTCTCGGCAGAGCGGCTCGATGGGGCTGGAGATGGGAGGTGGAGGGCGGCCAGCGGTGAAGATGGAGTTGAGGGTAGCGGCCAGGCGGGCTCCTGCCTGGGCCAGTCTCTTCTCGACGAGCGGCAGGCGAGAGAGGAAGTACTCATCTGAATGACAAGAATGCGCATAATTTCGGGAACATAGCTGACAGAAAATGAGAATTTCAGCGAAAAATCATCCATCGGGGGGGAGGAAGAAGGCCTCTCACCTCCTAGAGTAGCCCCGGGAGTAGCATTCCTGTATGCATAGCGGCAGGCCAAGCCGACGCTCTCTGAAGCATGCCTGCAGCAGATTTCAGCACATCAGAAAGCTGCCATCTTGAGAAAAGATGTCGCAGGGTGGGTTTGGGGATTGACTGCCAGAGGGAGGTTCTCACGTATCCGGACACACGGTCTCATTCGATGCGCAATTCACCCACGAAGAGATGGCGGCCGCCGGGTCCACCTGCTCCCAAGCGAAGAAATCAGCGGCAGGGGAGACCAGTGATTGATCGATTGGAGCAGGAATGAAGCGAATGCATATGACGTGAAACCAAAGATCGCAGATTTGTAGCTCAAGCAGCATCCATCCCAATCATAATAAAAACCCACCAGGGGAATGTAAACTATAGAAAAAAGTGCAATCAATTCAGCAGAAAATGTGCCCCCGATCACCAGCCAGCAGGGGCAGAAGACCCGTGGAGAAGGCGTACCAGATACTTTGTTCTTATTGCCTGAATCATACTCGAAAGGTCTGAGCCGTGGAACTTCTTTAGGGCAGACTCGATTATCATGGTATCCCACACCTGCAGAAATTTCCCGTTCATCTCACCAAGCTGCGGAGAAAGAATAAAGAAAGCGAATGATCCGGAGAAATGAACACCGCTGACGCTCACATGATGCAGGTTGGTCTTACGCCTGAACCAGCGGACTATTATGGTGTTCCCTCCCTCGTCTCCGGCGAAGCCGACGTGCAGAGGCTGAACACCACAGAGCACAGCTTCTTTTCATCAGTTATGGTCCAAATGGGAACTGGAATCGATCTCGGGTCCTGACGAACCTGATGAATGTCGCCCATGAAGTGAGATAAGAACAGGAGCGCCTCCGTGAGATTATCTGCGATCGGCGGAGGATATGGTCGTTTTTATTCAGATGTGTTGATGCAAACTACCCATCTCGATGACTTACAGCCGTGTTGTGAGTTCAGCCCGGGGCTGGCAGATAATTGAGCAGAGTAGTTGTAAATTGCTCCGGCGACGCACCTATCTTTATGCGCAGTCGTGTCATGGCAGTCTCCTGTGGAGACAGACGCTGAGCATTCACACTCAAGAGACGACGCAGAGACATTTGAAGAAGAAGAAGAAGATGGAGCAGAGCTCTTACGGCAGTAGCCGTAGTTGCACGCGAAGTCTGGGGTGTCAATGTAGTGCAGAGGCCCCGTCCAGCGCCACCTGAAGTTGTGACGGATCTGATCAGCCCAGGAACAGAGAGCGGAGAGGTTGCCTCCGGCATAGCTTGGGAGAAGCTTCTTCACTGATGCTTGAGCTCCCTCCGACAGAAGCCCCTGGGGGAAATAAACCCGATTAGGTTTTCAGCACAGAGCCGACCTCGCAGCCGGGCCTAATCTCCCCATTTTTCGTAGAAAACTGCCGGATCTGCCTAGCTTTCTTTCTACGAATGGCGGGAGGGTTGGGAAAGTTGCAGAGAGAATCTTGCCTCCGCAATCTTGCAGATCGCGTAGTGCCCTTCCTTCCCCCAGGGAAGAGCTCCAGGAAGGAGGAAGAGGAGGACGAGAATCAAGGCCCAGGTCCGAGCGGAGACGGCAGACCTCGCCATGCCCACTACTCAGAGCGAAGCCCGAGGGAAGCTGGATAGAAAAAAGAAGAAGACCCATTACATATGAACAGATGGGAATCCAGGAGCTCTGATCCGCCGGAGAAATGTCCCGAAAGGGAATCAGGAACAAAGAGGAAAGAGAACCCGACGAAGGAAGGAGAACCGATAGAACCTGGAATGTGACGGCAGCCCACCGATCCCCAGCACGAGGAGGAGGAGCCTTGAGGAGGCCCTGGTTCGGCTTCCCTGGTAGACGTTTTGCCTCTAGTCGAGCGTCGAAGGAATCGAGCGTTACATCTATGCCATAGCTCGACCTTGTGAAGGTCACCATTCTACATGGCTTTTTATGGAAAATTAATTTCGTCCATTTAATTATCCTCTATTTTCTTAGTTTTTTTTTTAAAAAAACGTTTACCAAATGGGCCTCTGCTCTTGATCGATCCCGATTCGATAATCTTGAGCAATCATTTCTGTCAACTCGGATCCTTGCACAAAAAAACAACATCTTAGAGGAGGGTTCCCTTCATCGGCATCATCATCACCCACATGATAGATGGGAAGCTCATCTGCTCCAAGGAGGGGGAGCTGGTTGGTTTCATGTTGATGAGGTGGAGGATCGTCGATCCGGAGAGATCTGGGGGAACTCCGAGAACCGCCGCTTCAGAGCGGCGGCGAGCTCGCCGCCGCCGGCCCTGTACAGATCCTTGGTCACCTTCACATAGACAGAGAAGTTGGGCCGGAGATTCTCCGCCACCATCATCTCCAGCAATAGCGCCGCCGCCTCCGCCACCCGGCCGTTGATCCGGAGGAGGCTGGCCAGCAGGCTGTAGTTCGCGTTGGCGGCGCACCGATCGAGCTCCTTCATGGTCTCCACGTACTTGCGGGCCTCCTCTGCTCGGCCGCACCAGAAGTAACCCTTGATGAAGGCGGCGTGGGTGGAAAGCCGCGGAGGGACCCCCTCCGACAGCATCCTCGCGAGGAGCTCGCCGGCGAAGTCAATCCGGTTGACCCTGCAGGCGTGGACGATGGCCACCTCGAAGGTCAACGGGTCGGGGGCGTAGCCCGCGTCCTCCATTGATACGAGCAGCCTGCACGCTTCGGGGAACTTGTTGTTCTTGAAGAGGCTCCCCAGCAGATAGTTGTAGGAGCTGACCGTGGGGCCGCAGCGGCGGCAGCGCATTTCGTCGAGCAGCTGGTGGGCGTCCTGAAAGTCCCCACTTCTGCACTTGGCGGCGATCAGCGCGTTGTAGTAGGAGGCTCTCCGAGCAGCGATCTCCTCCATGACGAAGATGGCGAGGTCAAAGAAGCCCGAGTCAGAGAGCAGCTTGACCAGGGAGAAGATCCCCGTGCCGCGGCAAGTGCCCCCCGCCGCCTTCAACGCCGCCACGACTCTCCTGACGGAGTCCTTGGCGGCGGGGAAGCGGCGGAGGAGGAGGAGCTTCAGGAAGGTGAAGGCCTTCTCTGTCAGACAGTGGCCTCCGCGAGAGAGCTCCTTGAGGGTCATCGTCATCCTCTCGTAGTTCTCCAACCGTCCGAGATTATCAACGAACAGGTTGCAGATTACCGGATCGGCTCGGAAACCCTGCTGCGATTTCGATATCCAGTTGAAGAATTGCACCGCGGAAGCTCCACGGTCGCTGAGAGCGAGAAGGATATCGCCCACCAGGCCGCGAGTCCAGTTCACATTCATCTGGTTCAGTTCTCCTTCCCCTGCGATCGCCTCGACCATCTCCCCGAGCTCGAAAGGGTCGACCCGGAGCCTCCGACTCCTCCCGCCGCCGCCGCCACCGGAGGCAAGCGAGGACATTTTCCGGCAGGAAACGGCGGCGCCGCCGGGGCAAGGGTTTTTGGTGGAGCTCCGATGGCCTGAGGGGGAGGAGAGCGCCATGGATGACGCCCCGAGCGGGTCGCGCAGGAGGATGGGCGCAGAGGAACAAGCTCGCCGGTGCCGGAAAAGGGCGCGGCAAGCAGCGCTGCTCCATCCCATGCTGTCGCCGCCATAAGAGGGAGGGCCCTCGCCGCCGCCGCTGACGAGGAGGAAAAAGGAGAGCAGACGAAGCCTCGAAGCTAGTCTCCGACGCGGTTTTTAAAATTTTTATAATTATTTTCGGAAAATACAGATAGAGAGAGAGAGAGAGAGAGAGAGAGAGAGAGAGAGAGAGAGAGAGAGAGGTGCCTCCTGCGTATTTTAGGAAATTAGGTAAAAACTAATATTTTAAAAACAATATCTGCCCTCGTGTTCCGATGAGGAAATGTCAAATATGTGGGCCCCATCCGCAGAGACTGCTTCCACAAACAACCGCCAACGGAAGCCCGCCTTTTCTTCCACCCTGGTGGCGGCAGACCATCGCGTCTGAGGGAGAGAGAGAGAGAGAGAGAGAGAGAAAGGGCCGAGGAGAGAGAGAGCGAGGGAGAGGGAGGGGTTGGGGGCATGAGGGGGGAGGACTTTCCCAATCCGGCAGTCTTGCCGGCTTTCCCTTCAGGATTAGGGGACAGTGCAGGCACCATTGTTCCGGGGACAGTCGGCTCTGGTAACTAGTTCTGATTGTCGATGTGGATTAGTTTTCCTTTCTGATTTCGGTGTGGGGATGGGCTTTGTTCCTTTGTTACTGTCTCTGTCCTGGTTTCAACTTCGATTGTTGGACCATCGTTGGTGCCCTCCCTGTCGGCCGTCGAGTTTTGGGGATATTCGTGCTTTGTCTTTCTAATCGTGATGTTGGTCGTGTTCGGATAGTATTTTTTTTTGAACAATTATTTCTCACGGGGTGGCTGTGATTCCGTTTCAGATAAGAAGGTCCAGGATCCGGAGAGAAGACCGGCTTCAGATTTGAAGGTGAGTGTTGATCAGAGAGAGTTTATGCTTTTCACCCGTGTTTTTATTTATTCAATGTATAATCCATGGCATTTTATCTGACCTAATTGATGAACCCCAGATACTTGAAATGGCAGCGTTCTTTATAATTATCCTTACGATATTGTTTTCTCTTTGATTAATATGAATTTTTGTGATCATTTTTTTATGTCCACCAGGTAGTGTACCTTGTTTTGTATTTTTTTTAGAAAAATAATCATGTAAATATTTTCCTCATAATTTATTTCGTCAATTATCCCGTCAAGAAAATAACTTCAACAGCTGATCTCTTCCTGTAAAGCATGTATACGTTCTGATATCTTTGTCATTTGACTTGGTTTTCTATTCCCCCATTCTTTTCTGTAGCTTCACGGAATGTTTCATCCACGAGAAACCTTGTGATGTGATCTGTTCCGAATATCTCCTATAATCTAAGTAATAGAAATCCCGAACATTCCTCCACACGCTATTCATCATCTTTGATTTTAAATTCGGATGAAGAACTTTGAATACACAAAGAAGAAAATTAATTATATATTAGGAGATAGCGTCCGTCTGTCTGTTGAATAAGGTTGATTTTTCCTGCTTTATTCATTTAAGTGACAAACAGTACGTGGTAGTCAAGAGGCTCGATTTAATATATGCGCTTCGATGTTCAAATACATGATTTTTTAATCACTTTTCTTCCCTGTCGTGAATTGATGAAACTTTTGAGATACATTTTATCGATAGCGAGCGAGATGGCAGATTTAAGGATGGTAAAATATTTAGCAGCCATGAAGATGTTTTATTCTTTTTGTTCATTTATAAATTAGTCTAGGATATTCTCTAACCTGATTATCCTCATTGTTCATATCTGTTGTGTTTAAATTGCTTCACCTGTTATCTCATCAGAGAGATCGATTAATTTGGGAATTCTATCGGGGTATGGAATGATGCCATCTTTATAGAAAGTGGTTTTGGTGTATTTTTAAATATACTTTTAGATCATCATTCAGCAAGAGGAATAACACCGCCACCAAATGATAAATACATTTGGTCACCCTGAATGTTATGCATAAGCTTCTCCTTGAGTCTAAATTTGCGTCCTTCATGAGGACTGTATAGTTTGTATTCAAGAATATGAGCTATTGTCGGTCTTCCATCATATCAAACTTTGTCATAAGATCATGCTAAAATATGACTGGGTACAAAGAAGAGCTTAATTGATATATCTATTGAGGTCCCACATAATGGTTAACCGGTAGGGAGGAAAATTTTCTAAAATATAACATCTTAACAATACCTTGGATTTGTAATCTCCAAAGGTCTGATGTACTGTTTCTACAGATGAATTGACTCATAGCTATTCATTTTTAAATCTTTTGTGGGTATCTCCAAACCGGATTGGTTCTAAATAGGTTTTTCTTTAGACATGATGCAGCCGAAATATCCCCTTCTCGGTTATCTTGATTAATGCCATTAAAACCCGTATCTGAATTATACGGACAGATCCAATTAGTATTTTAATTTTTTTTCTTTGAACTCTCAGTTTTGGTTGGGGAGTGGGAAATCATTTTACTGCCTATTCTACACATGAAAAAGGGATGTGTTTCTTTCCCCCGCTGTGTTTAAATGCCTCCCCGTATACCTGATTCTCGAGAAACTAACAAAATAGCCTTTCATGTATATATTTACTTAAAAAAATTGAATATCTTCTCTTATGTTTCTTGGACCAGTTCTGATCCCCTTTCCAAATTGAAGTATTTAAGCTGGATAAATCATATTCCTTTTTTGTAATTTGACATCCTGGGTTACATTGTTCTGTTTAATTTCAGCCAGGAGATGGTGGTTCAACACATGTGGAAAACGACCCTCAAATTTTCACATCCATCCCATCTTTCATTGAAGCCGCTTCATATATTTCTTATCTTACCAGCTGCTTCACTGGTTCTGATGGTAATTTTAATTTTTATGGATGGCCATCGATTTTGCCTCACTATTTTTGCGTTTCCCAAGCAAATGGCTTTGATTGTGGATTCAAATTTTTGTGTTCGCTTCCACGTGGCATATCATTTTTGGTTTACCTGATTAAGTCGCGTCTCGCCTTATCAGAAGAACAATTATCCAGAGGGGTTAGCTTCAGGGAGCTAGAATTGGTCACTATATCCTCAGGCCAGTCTGGAGGGCTTTCTTTTGATCCCTGCACTGATTCATCTCCACCCCAGAGTGATGGGGCAAGCTCCTCGGGGAGCTCACACCAAGATGCAGCTCAATGTATTAGCTCAAGCTCAGATCAAAATGGGACTTCCCTATTCCAGAGGTAATGACTTTATAAAGTATAAAGAAGTATGCATTTTAGCATGTCCTAGAAAAATGTACTACACGATGCAGCTTGGGAACAGTCTCAGGAAAGTTAAAAGGGAAGGATGAATCGATATAGCCCATGATACTTGTTAGTGATTTGACTTTTGCGTGATTTCTCTTCCTTGCTCCTTAGAATAATAGATTGTATTTCGTTTATTTTTATTAATATTAGTTTATGAAATCTTCTCCTTGAGACCGTAAGTTTCTAATTTTTCATTGCATTCCACTGCTGTACCGCGACAAATATCTTCAGAATATTTTTTCTTATTTATTTTAGAATGAGTAGCCAGCCGCCTATTCAACCAAATTTCTGCAGCATCAAATTACCTTGATTTTTTAAAAATAAAAAAACATTGTGTGGAAAAAATGGGACTCATCGCCTATTAATTTATACAGCCTTGTAACTCGAGTCCGTAAAACCGTACGAGGCTCTGCTGATGATATTGGATGGCTTGAGCGTGCCACGGACATGCCTCCTGTGGAGGATGGAACCGAGAGATTCATGGAATTGCTAGGCAGGATAAGGTATGCTCAGGACGGATCATCATTCTTCCTAAGTCGAATTCTCTTCAAATTTCAAACTATACATGCATATTTAATTCTTGGATGATTATAATCTCTCAGGAAAAATGAGCACAAACTTCCGAATTCTGTGGTGTACTTATTGGTTCCAGGTGATTTTTCTTCCGTCACTGGGTCACTGGGTCACTGGGTTAGAAGTATGTTATTTCATCAACAACAGTAACTCATATTCTTGACCCAATCTTCTTCTTAGACAGGTCTTTTTAGCAACCATGGTCGCATGTATTTTGTCAACATTAAAACAGTTTTCTCGAAGATGGGTCTTGCCTGCCACATCGCAAAGATTCACAGCGAGGTAGATAATGTTTTCGGTTCTCCTCAGATATTTCCTTTTTTTCAGTTTTCTTTTCTCGACCAATATAATGCCAGCACTGGGCTTCCAGGCATCAGTGGAGAAGAATGCGAGGGAGATAAAAGACTACATCGAGGAGATTTATTGGGGCGCGAAGAAGCGCGTCCTGCTGTTTGGGCACAGCAAAGGGGGAGTGGATTCGGCTGCCGCATTGTCGTTGTATTGGTCGGATCTGAGAGACAAGGTCGCAGGGCTGGTCATCGCCCAGAGCCCTTATGGGGGCAGCCCGATTGCGTCGGATATCTTGAGAGAAGGGCAGCTCGGAGATTACGTCAATTTGAGGAAAATCATGGAGTTCTTGATATGCAAGATATTGAAGGTGCTGGATTTCTTTTCTTTTCTCCAATTTATTTTTTCTTTTTTCTGTGGATTCAGTAAATTCTTTTCGTAGGCTTCTCGGCACCAAGTTTCGTCACACTGTGCCCATTAATCACGACGAGAAGTTCTCCTCTTTTCTCCCTGTGAAAAATCTCCCCCCCCCCCCATTTTTTTATTATTTTCTCTCTCTAGTGAATCACCTGCGTTAGAGAGAAGTCAAGCAGTCTTATTCGCTTCATTCATCGAAGTTTTCCACAGTATAATATTAAACTCTAATGGTTCACTTCCATTCCATTCCATTCCAGTATGAGGAGAAAAAATTGGCAAAGTCGCCTTGAGGCCCACTTTCTGATCTGATTCCACTCTCCAAAGACTATCATGGTCATTATCATTATCTTCATCATTAGCATCATCAATATCATCATCAATATCATCATCATAATGGAGAGGAGGTTTTTTTTGGGGGGGGGGTGGGAACATCATTATTTATTTACTGAATGCCATGCCATGCCATGCCATGTGTCGCAGGGGGATTTGCAGGCTCTGGAGGATCTGACGTACGAGAGGAGGAGGGAGCTCTTAGGGAGGCACCCGCTTCCCCAGGAGCTCCCCATCGTCTCCTTCCACACCGAGGCTAGCATTGCCCCCGGGGTCCTCGCCTCCTTCTCCCACGTAGCCCACGCGGAGCTGCCGGCGATCTCCCCTCTCGCCGCCGGCCAGCCCTCCAAGCTCCCCGTGGTGGTGCCCCTCGCGGCGGCGCTGGCGGCCTGCGCGCAGCTGCTGCAGGTGAGGTACGGGGAGAAGAGCGACGGGCTGGTCACGCGGCGCGACGCGGAGGTGCCGGGCTCGGTGGTGGTCCGGCCGGAGAGGAAGCTGGACCACGGCTGGATGGTCTACTCCTCCCTCAGCGACGACGACGGCGAAGGGGACGCCTCCCAGGTCTGCGAGGCTCTCCTCACCCTGCTGGTGGAGGTCGCCCAGCGGCGCCGCCGCGAGATCTCCTCCAAGCAAGAATGAAGCGGCCGCAGAGGCTGGGATCTCTACCTGTCTTCTGCGAGATACGTACTGTAAAATCTCTGTTTCTTCTTCTTCTTCTTCTTCTTCTTCTTCTTCTTCTTCTTCTTCTTCTGTTGCCCGATTTGAAGTATCATCAATGCCATGCAGCCTTACACTCCGTGGGGAGCACAAGACAGGAAATACCAGAGAGGAGGGATGCCTAAGCATCAACGAGACGCTAAGGGTTCCTCATCTTATAGGGGAGAGCTGGGTAGCAAACGAAATAACGATAGCGTTCGACAAGGGCGTTACACCGTTACACCGGAGGATAACCCGATAATGAGGATGAAAGAAGAGCGATAATGGAGAGGGGGAGATATCTGGAAAGAAAAAAAAAGGAGAGGGACCAAGTTCGAGATGGTTAAGCTTCTCCTCGGAAGATGGCTTCAAAATATCACATGACTTTCCTCTCTGGCATGGCACCCCATCTATAATGTCTTGCAAGGTGTTGGGCAATTTTGATGTCTATATCGTCTTGATGTCTCCCACCGTCCAACTATCTTGTTGTTGATGAAGAGTCGCATTTCCTAGTGATAAGTAAGATTCTCTCTGAATGGTATGTTCTACAGAGGAGAGTCTCTCATCAAAACTCTCCCTTTAAGACTTTTACCTTGTTGACCATTTTTCACAGAAATTCACCAAAGTTATAATGCATCAGGGCTTAAAAAGTCATCAGTGCTTTTGATAACCCAAAGGGTATGATGAAAAAACTCATAGTGGGCATCATGTGTGAGGAGATATGGTCTTTGGAATATCTTCTTTTTTTCTTTAAATTTAGTGATAACCTAACCCTCGATCTAGATTTGAAAAGATTGTTGCACCGTGTAGTTCATCGAGCGACTTTTTGATGATTCGGATTAAAAACCAATCAAGGATCATAACTTTGTTGAGGAAATGATAGTCCACACATAAGCACCAGATATCATCCTTCTATTTGACGAGTAGAGTAAGGCTTGATTATGGAATGATTCATGTGGTGAAAATCTAACTTGTCGATTTCTTCTTTATAAAAATACTAGTAGTAGAAAAGCTGTATGTTGATCACTCTTGTATTCACTTATAAAGGTGTTGAGTGATCCACTTCCCTAATCGGGAATAGCCGGTATTTGGTTCAAGAATAGTAAGGAACTAGTTTTGAAGGTGGTCATTGAGGACTATTCCTTCCTGTTGGTTGTTGGTGTCCTATATGAGTTGAAATAACTTGACAATCACTACTCATTATTTGCATACTTTGGATAAGGTTTTGAACAAAATACTCATAGTGTTGAGGTGCTTTTATGGATAAAGTGATTTGTTTGACTCTAGTCATTAAAGATAACATCTATTTGTTAAGTCAAGTTGGACTTTATTTAGAGTACTTTGCCATTTTACATAAGCACTAGGTCAATGCACTATAAGAGCCTTTAACTCTAGGGTAACTTTGTTATAAATTACGGGTCTCTGTACATTGTCACAAGTATGTGTGATGACTTGGAAATGTGAGATGGTTGGAGGTAGTTGAAGTCTATGGATGGTTCCTTTGATATCAAATCGTGTGAAGCTCCAATGTTGATAAGGATCATGACCTGCCTCTCATTTATTTTTCTTTGAAATTTAAGGGCTCAAGTGAGAGTTTTCAACTAGAGAATTGATGGATACTTCAAATTGAGTTTGTCCTTGTCTCCCTCAACATCTACGACCTATGAACTTTCATGTATCACTAATATCTGTAATTCTTTCTTGAAATGATATTCTAGTGAGTATTTTTTATAGAAGAAACATAGGCATTTGGGTGTGTTGAGTTTGGATTTCTGCAGGTCTTGGATGGAGTCTTTCTTTTTTGGTGTGGCACATTATTTTTCACCATCTTCTTTTGATGATATTAACAATCATCTCCAATATGGATGTCTTGTGGAGGAGAATATCGCATCACCATGTTAGTTGACCACACTAATTATGTGCATCCACACCAATTGGCAGGTTGGCCTCCCACGTGAGCATTGCATACTATCTATTCTAGTTGACACACACCTACTCTCTATGCGCCCATCCTCCAGCCACACTTCTCATCTTGTGTAATGTTGAGTTGCATGCTTCAAGACATCACACACAAAATGCCACCTCAACCTATGTTGGGAGCATGGTTTGAATTGAGATCCTCCATTCTAAGGTGTAAATACTTTCTCATGTCAAGAATCAAATGTCCTCTTTACAGGGTGATCCTTGATGTATTTATTGATGAGCTTTTCAAATCACCACAAATTGATGTTGTGTTCATTAGTCACATTATCATCTTGTTAGTATTTCTACTATGAGAAAATAAAAGTGATAGTATGTGTGAAATTGTCTATCTTGATTCAGTTCCTTGTGATCCAAGTTTAGTTAAACCCTATTAATGTAGTGTTATGTATTGTTAGTGACACCAAATAAGAACGATTGCATGCACATATTCCTTGTAGTCATGGTAAGGCTTAAGTAAGAAGACATAGAAAAATGAGTGGATTGTTAGTGTTGTGGCAAGTTGAGATGGTGGGTCAGCCTATTCATTCTTGTCACCACTTGAAATGAGACATCAAAGTAAGGCATCAATATGTTTTGCTGCTTCATCTAGTTGACGATCATGTATTGGTCATGGTTGATCCAAAGTACTCCATAATAGCTCATGTTGAATTCTATTTTATCTTGATGCCAATCCCCATGCTCATTCGTCAGTTGAACTATCTATACCAATATCTTGCACAACTATATTATGTGTTTGCCTTCATCGGTAGAACTATCTATACCAAACCCCATACTCCTCATTCACTTGTGTAAACTTATTTATTTTCATTATTACAATAGTCTAATTAATTTTACAAATTATGATAGTGTTAGTGGTTTATGTCTAATCACAAGCTTAAACAACAACTAACTCATCATGGATCTTTGGTGAAGGTTATATGAGAATTAAGTGGTCTAATAACTCAGCATGATTCTCCTAATTTTCTTACTCTAGAAAGTCATATATCCGCTTTGTGTGGCCATCAGTCCATAGATCAAAGTAGTTGAAAGTTTTAGTTGTGTGCCTAGGTTAATGAATAAGGTCCTCCCAAATTATTTGGTAAAGTGCCTAATATGGTCCCAAAGTATATTCCATGGTAGGCCTCAAAGTTTTGTTGCATTCTAGCTGAACAAGTGCATCACCTTTTCTTTTGCACAATGTGTTTGTATTGACATAAACACAATGTACATAGAAAACTTGTCAATCATGACAAAGATCACATCAAACATGTTCATATGTGGCAGTCAAAATAGGCTCACATAGTTGGTTTGGAATGAGCAAGGCCCTTAGCATCTCACCATCTTAGCATGCTCAATCTTATTTTATCATTTGAATGTTAGCCTTAACATCTTTAACCATACCTGATCATAAATAGTTGGAGTACATCTTTAACGACACTTAATATGTGACACATATGGTCAGCAACTGCACACATAAAAGACATCATCATGTATCCAAAATCAATGTGTCATGTCCCCATTGCGCATTGTAGTATATGTGTGCGGCCTTTGCATCTGTCATAGACTAACACATGGATCTAGAACCTACATGTCACTGCTCACAATTTTGATACTCATATCAATTGCTTGGAAGAGATTTCTTGAAAAATATTTAGTGCTCATTTCAATCAGCTCTCCATTATCTCTGTCTAGTGTCTAATGGTAATTGTCTCAAATATTTGAGCTCATGATCCAAACAAGTCACACATACACCCTAGCATATATGTTCCTAGCAAAACACACTTGTAGAGCACAGTATAGTGCCTTCCCTCCTGCACTGATCTACGTTGGCTGGAAGCTTTACCCTCAACACCTCACCATACGTGAGATTGCGACATCTGGGGGGTTGGATTCAATATACTTGATTATATCCTCTCCTGTAAATACCGTGGGTGGTGAATTATTGGTAATGATTTTGTTTTAATTAATGTAAGTACTACGATTATTATTAATAATCGCGGGTTTTCATCTGTATGTCGGCCTTCAGGGGGCTGTTCTCGCAGAGATCTCGACGGAGAGCAGGTAGGGAAGACTGATTTGACTGGTCGTCGAAGGTGGGGGAAATCTGCGAGAGAAAGAAAAGGGCAAAGATTAAACCTTTTCTCGGGTGCACACCGGCGGCGGCGGCGCCTGGGGCATTTAAAGAGTGAGCGTCTTCTCGCCTTGTGCGTGCCGTTCCTCCCCTTCCATCCACTGGCCGCTGGGTCTTCTTCTCTTCGGGGAGCTGCTGCTCGGATCTCTCCGCTGGGTCTGCTGATTCCTCTCCCTCAGGGCTGCTGGTGAATTCTCTTGCTCCCCTCCTCTCTCCCCGTTCGCCGCCGCGTGGTACACGATCCCTCCCCCGTATCTGGGGGTTCTCTGTCTTTTCGGTTGTTTCCCGTGGACTCCGTCTCTGGAAATGGGCGAGGGCGGGGGAATTGTGTCTGTGAGATGTGGGCCGAGACCGTAGGTTTGCTGGAATTGTTCCTGCTTCATGCGACCGTACGGTCTGCGTCGGGCGGGTCCAGCCGAGGCGAAGGAGAGTCTCCAGTGGTTGAAGTTGAAGGGCGAAGAGCCTACTCTGGGCTCTGTGTCGGATGAGATCCCGGGAGGAGCGGTTCTCTCGGGTGGACATGATATTTTTGTCATCTACCTCTAGGAGACCGTGTTTCTCCATAGATCTCCATAGACCGTGTTGTTCTTGGTTGCTAGTTTCTATGATTACAGTGTTACCATCGTCTCCAACAAGGAAATTTCCTTGCAGATATTGTTCTTATTTGAGCATTGATTTCTGACCTGGGCATTCTCCCTGTTCTATTGCAGACCCAGGCTTCGATATAAAGCACAATGGACATAACAAAACTGGATCCAGAGTCACTTACTCTTCTGGGAGCAGGCGGTGGGGTGATACTGACGTTGCATTTCACCATAGTGCTGTTAACACAGCATCTCTTCTACTGGAAAAATCCCAAAGAACAAAAGGCCATCATCATCATCGTACTCATGGCCCCCATCTATGCCGTCGTCTCCTTCGTCGGGTTGCTGGACATCGATGGCAGCAAGCCCTTCTTCACATTCTTGGAGTCAGTCAAGGAATGCTATGAGGCACTGGTGAGTTTCTAGTATGATACCACGGTCACATGATAGATTATCACTGATGATGTTTGCACCACTGATGCGTGAGTCTCTGATGGCAGGTCATAGCTAAATTCATGGCTCTGATGTATAGTTACCTGAACATCTCTCTGAGCAAGGATATGGTGCCGGATGAAATCAAGGGCAGGGAAATCCATAACTCCTTCCCCATGAGTCTTTTTCTGGTGCGTGTTTAGTTCATCATTGAAATTCTTGCTTCATGGGATAGTCTTGCCCATGTGTTAACTTTCACTAGTTGCTCAGAGTTCCTCCTTTGAACTCTGCATTCTCGTTTGCAACAAGCAAAAGCTTGTGTTTTCTGGATCTTCATCAGGGTTCTCTACTGACCCTTTAAGGATTGAAGCTATGTTGTTTGAAACAATGAGAGTTCAGCAAGTCCATTAATTTTCTGGATCGTCCTGCTCTCGTCACACTCTACACTAAGAGGAAAAGTGGAGTTACTGAGGACCTGGGGTCCTTCAAAAGCCTTCATTGAGCTTAACCAGAGGATGGTGGGGGCTGCTAATCTTTGTTGCTTTGATTTTTCTAAGGTCTTGAACGCCATGTGAGTCTTAAAAGAGAGGAGAGTAGGACACCCCCGTTTGCATTCTTAAAAGAGAAATTGATTTTTTTGGTAAACTATATTGCTTTGCATGAATTTCCTCTAGCAATTCAGCATTTGTTCCTTCCCTTTTATGGGCTATCTGGCATTGGAGGTGTATGATGATTGTGAAACATCGTATTCTCGTTTTGTTGTTGCGTGGACACGAACTCAGCTTCATGATTTTGATGTTAAGTTTCTGGGTCCAAGTTCACAGGAGCCTCCATGGTTTTGCACTGCCTCTTCAAGCTCTCTAATCAGGCGGGATGCACTAGATTTTGCTTCCTTTATTTCAACTCGGCCTAGTTCTCTGGCTCAAACGTTGACTTTCTGTGATTCATCAGAAGGCAGGAGGAAGTAGCAATGCATGGATAGCTTTTACTAGATACATGCTGGCGACTTTTGACTAGGAACTTTTTTCTTCTGTGGTTGTAGCCACGAACAATCCGATTGGAGAACCATACATTGAAGGCCCTGAAGTATTGGACATGGCAGTTTGTTGCAGTCCGACCCATCTGCTCTGTACTTATGATCATCTGCCAAGTTTTCGGGTTCTACCCCAGCTGGCTCAGTTGGACCTTCACCATCATCTTGAACTTCTCCGTCTCTCTGGCTCTGTATGCCCTCGTCATCTTCTATCATGTATTCGCCAAGGAGCTCGCCCCTCACCGGCCCTTGGCCAAGTTCATGTGCATCAAAGGGATAGTGTTCTTCTGCTTCTGGCAGGTAGGCTCTGGTTCCTGAGATTAAATAATCTATGAAACTTGTGGGTATTGGAATTTTTTTCTTTCTTTTAGCATGCTGTTATTTCAGATATATTCCAATCAGCATTGGAAGTCCAAGGTGGCTTTCTTGTACCACTTTTGTTTTTTAAAAATAAAAGTAAAAATAAGAATAAATCACTTTTCACTCTTGCTGCTTTGAAATGATTTCAAGTTCTTGTTGGTCAACGATCTGAGAGAAATAAATAAATAAATAAATTTGGAAGCAATGGTGATAGTTTAAGTTTCTAAATTTGGCATGCAGCTGAGCTAGTTGGGTCTGTGAACCACAATTGGAGTGTCTCGTGTGCATCTTTGATGAATGGCATATTTATTATCTGGGGAATTTTCTTGGTTATCAGGGAATTGCTCTTGATGTCTTTGCTGCGGCGGGGGTCATCAAATCCCACCATTTCTGGCTGGATGTGGAGCACATTCAGGAGGCCATTCAGAACACGCTCGTCATCTTCGAGATGGTCATCTTCTCTGTTCTTCAGCAGTATGCGTACCACGTCGCCCCCTACACCGGAGACATGAAGACCAGATTCGAGAACAAGAAGACCCAGTGACCGGTCATCTCCTCCCAGCTGGCCAGCTCGCCATCTTATCAAATCAACATACATGAGCTCCTGCACCTCCCATATTCCCCGAAGCCCGCCCCCTGATCCCATGGAAACAATGAGAATACCCAGAAACTTTTATTATTATTATTATTATTATTATTATTATTATTATTATTATTATTATTATTCTCTTGTTTAAATCTCACCACCCTTGTGCAAGCCATGTGATCGAGCATGGTAACCATTACTTCTTTCCAAACCTTGGATTATCTTCTGGTAATCACACCGACGCTAAGTGATACTCCTCTCTCTCTCTCTCTCTCTCTCTCTCTCTCTCTCTCTCTCTCTCTCTCTCTCCATCCTCTGTTACTTGCCCCCTCTAGACTACTCGGCATCAGGGATCCTTTTCCCTCACTTGGCGCGTCCGGAGCAGGGTGGGAGAGTTCAGTGAATTATCTTCCAACGAAATTAATGCATTTAACAAAGTTGGTAACTTTGTTTCTTGTTATAAAGAGGGCACTGTTCTGGAGAAAGGCCCTCCAAGGTGTTGAACTTATCTAAAATCCATCAATCAAGATCGCGTACGGATTATTACCTAGAGATAAATTATCACAAAAGTGTTATAATTTCATTTCAAATGAGAAAAAGTACACAGAATTATTTAATTGGTATTCGATGGAATAACGCATTCACGTTGTTCTATAATAACTTGCACTGTAAATCAAATATTTAATACAGTTTAATTAAATCGACAATTAAATAAGCAAGATAATAAGTAGTTTTTGAGAAAAAAACAACCAAATTATGTATTAAGTTGTCGCATTTGATCATACTAGCAGTACTCTGAGGAAAAAATAAGGTGAACCCAGAAAGGTTGATGTGAAAGACTGGAGAGGAGATGCGAGTTGCAGAGGACAGGGGGGTAATGAAACATGCTCCCAGAATCCACACAAACTACGGCATTTCCTCGCAAACGAAATCAATTCCAAATCCTAAGAAAAAAAATAGGACAAGAGGAATTCAATTGTATGTGGCCAAATAAGATTTTTTTTTTTCTACCGTTGACGGCTCCCTATTCCTTGCAAATTTATTTGAACAGCAGGTGAAAATTTCTTCTTCAGATATCATATTAAAAAAAGGTGGCGCCATCCCATTATAGTATCTTAGGGCTTCATCAATCATTTCAGACATCAAAAAGATACAATGAAGAAATAATTGAAGGAGAAAGGAGGGAAATAAGAACGAAATAATCTTCCAAGCGGTTGATTCCATAGATTGAAATCCTTCTCATTTCATCCACAATGGTATCTGAACTAGTCGTACAATGATTTAGCTGACTGGATTCTCGATAATTTGTCCTTGTTCTTTGCTATTTTGTCCGTCTGCTTCTCGTCATTGGAAATTGCTCGCTCTATTGCTTTCTGTTTCCTAAGGTTCTTCGCTCTCCTTATGGGTATTCCCTTGCTTATTTTCCTGAAAATAGTGGTGCAACAATTGATCAGAAAGAGAGCCCATACATGACCCATGAGCTCTATGTTAGAGAGTTAAAACCCCACAAAATATTACCAGAAATACTTTCCGCGAAGAAACAAATTTCCAAAAGCAGTTCAATGATCCCAAGAAATTTTTACAGGCATCACAACGTTAGAATACAAGCCTAAATTCCGCACTGACAAGAGATATATGGCCATGAGGCTGGTGCCACACTTGGCAAGGAAAATGCAATTTCTTGTACTTGTTTCCAAAGTTGCAGGAGTTTAACAAGCCTGAAGTTGACACCCTTTTCTTCAAGTAAGTCCTCTTATGTTTGCTAACTGTTCATTGGGATTGTAGGATGGATAGAAGTTCTGATGCAAATCTTCACATGGAACAACCGATCACTTATTCGGTCGCACTTACAAACGTCAAAGTGATATCTTCTTAACATATTATGGTTACTGATCATTTGGCATTCAAAAAAAATGTCGAACATCCAATGATTCGTCAAAATCATGTCAACAAAAGTTTCTTGACTAACCTCTTTGATTTGGGCATAGAAGACACAATAAGCCATACACAAAAACATTTAATTACTTTCAATCGGGTCTTTATTGCTATTGTGTGATTATAAAACATGTCGGAAAACATAAAGCAAGGTCCATTCCTTTCATGGAAAGCTTCTCTGTATTTTCCATCCTCCATTCTCCTTGGAAGCCAAACTCTCCAAGACCAAACTTTTGGCTTCCATCTTTTTTCATCCAAAGGTGGCTGGGAGAGAAGACCCTAGAAAATGCAAAACTGGGATGTATTAACCAAGAAGAAAAGCTCATTTTGAGGAGTTATTGTTGAATGGTGTAGTTTTCCTAACACGGAATGCACAACATACATAGTCTACTGACTAATTGTTCAATGATCCTATTGTTTTACCCGAAAAATCAACAAAATACTGGGGGTTATTTGCCCATGCATGCCCCAAGTAAGTCACTATCAGCAGAAAATGTGCATTCTCAAAGCATGTTCTCGCAATCCATGAAACGCAGCTCCAAGAATCATTCAAAGCTTTGTCAATAATGCCGCATACATGGATGGTGATCAAATATTCCAAGCATCCAGTAGTAACCGCCCCATGCGCTCTTCTGTTGAACCCAGCAGCCCCCAACTAGATTCTAACACCTACCCGCAGGAAAAGGAAGCTACGCATCACACACTCAGTTCAGGGTTTCCCCTATCAGAGGAAAGAGCGTCCGCCCAGTAATTTTGTCCAGGGTTACTGGAAAATCTTGAGATCGAATGAATTCGACCGCACGATGTTTAATGCACAATTCTTTCCTGTCCACTTTCTCACCTCCCGGCATCAATGCCCCACAATTGTAACAGGGGAAGAGTATCAAGGAACCATGGAGCACCCGTTTGTCTCCCAAAACATGGCTCGATAAAGTAAGAACAGAAAGCTACTAGGTTTCTGACCTGCTTGCGGCGCGCAGGCTCGGAGCGACCGCCTTCGCTTCGGATGCGTCCATCGCTGCAACAGCGTCAGGGAGGACAACAGCACCATCTCAGAGAAGAAATCCACGACCAAAGGAGAGGAGAACCCTAAAAATCAACCAACCCGCCGACTCACGTTGGGATATGCTGGTCTGGGCCTCCGTGGAGATGTCCATGGCCGAGGCATCGCCCTTCTTCTTGTTATTTCTCTTCTTCGCCATGGCTGGGCACGCCGCAGAGCAGAGCAGAGCAGGCAGAGAGAGAGAGAGAGAGAGAGAGATAGGGTTTTTCTTTAGGGAAAAGCTGGTGAGGAGAGAGACCGACTAGGGCCATTAATGGGCCATCCATATTGCCCATTAAGGACACTGACCTGGTCGGTAGAGGGCCCAATGTCGTTGGTTTGGCCCACAGAGGCCCAGTAAATATTAACGGGTTCCCCGATCGGATAAGGTTAATAAGGTCATTTCCGCTGGATATTAGGGCTTTTGCCACAGTCGCCGTCCTCGATCGACGGAGAGCGGCACAGCAGTAGCGTTCCTGCTCCTCCCGGCCGCCGCCGCCGTCGTCTTCTGTGAGCCTCCGCCGCGAAAAGGTGCTCTATTTCCCTTCTGCGCTTGCGCCGCTTCCTCACGCCGTCTCCGGTGAATCTCTTCTGTTGCCACCTTCTCCTCGATGGGTTTCTCCCCGCCCCGCCGCAGTCCTCGCCGCCGTTTTGTTGTCTTGAGTCGCGATCTGTCGTTGCTTTGGGGATGATATAGTTTTCTGAGAACGTCGAAGCACAATGTTGTTGGCATCATCATGCAAGTCTTGGGACTTCGTTTGTTCTGAAAGATATTTCCAGTTCTCCTCTTCCTTGCCCCTTCGTGGGATCTACCATTATATTCTGATTCGGTGGTGGTCTACAGACCGCACGACACGATGTTATTGTTTAGGAAGAGGCAAATCATCGAAGGAAGTTGACTTTGGACTAATTTTTTTGTCTCCAATATCTTCTTTTCCTAGTTACGATCGGCCATTGTTTTTAGATTCAGAAATCTTCTATATATATCATCATCAGGATAACGCTACAGTTGCGTAACTTTGAGTCATTGAGCGAAGCTTCTTCAGGCAAAAACATTCTTCGGCTTCGGATTATCTTTTACCTGCTCTGCGCGCTGTATTTCTGTCTTTCAGATCGAGTAGGAATCTCTTGCTAATCCGCATATGGAAATCATTTCTCATAGATTATTTTGTGATCACATTAGTTTACCGGCAGATGCCCAACTATCTTAAAGAAGGTTCTAACTCCCCTGTTTTCCGTCCAGGGGGGATAAAAGCTTTTGGTGGTCAACATGTTCACCGCAAGGAAGAAAATCCAGAAGGATAAGGGGTTGGAGCCAACTGAGTTCGAAGATGTTGTTGCTCAGGTTTAGAAATAATTCTCTTTAATATGCGTTTTATTCGTTTATTTTCTGTAATTTTTCATTGCAAGACTGAGCTGGAGTCTGGTTTGTTTGTTTGTTTGTCTGTCTGTCTGTCTGCCTGTTGCACTAGGCGCTGTTCGATCTGGAGAACTCTAACAATGAGCTGAAGAGCGAACTGAAAGATCTTTTCATCAATTCCGCACTGTACTGCCAAATTCTATATATATATATATATATATATATATATTATGATTGTTTTATTTTTTATTTTAATTGTTAATGGCTATCACTTGCATTCATCGCAGTCAGGTTGATGTTGCTGGGAGCAAGAAGGCCGTCGTCATTCATGTTCCTTTCAGATTGAGGAAAGCCTTCCGCAAGATTCACGTGCGCCTCGTGAGAGAGCTCGAGAAGAAGTTCAGTGGGAAGGTATTCTGCAAGCTCAGCTTGTTACTGATCATACTAATCTGGGTCATCCTGATTATATTCGATTTCAACTTTTTATAAGTAGATCACTAAAAGAAAAATCCCCATTTTTCTCTCATGTAGGATGTGATCCTGATCGCCTCGCGGAGGATTTTGAGGCCACCGAAGAAAGGGTCAGCAGTCACACGCCCCCGCAACCGCACACTGACTGCCGTCCACGATGCCGTGCTCGAGGATGTTGTGTACCCTGCAGAGATCGTGGGCAAGCGTGTGCGATACCGTCTCGATGGCTCGAAGATTATCAAGGTGAGAAGCATACTGGGCTATTTTCTTCAGTCCAGTGTGCATTAGCTATAATCTGGGAGAATATGGACTCATGCTTTCTAAGTTCCATCAAGACACCTCGAGATGGGTTCAGTTGACTTCATTGCTTCTCTGTATATTTCGATTCAAGTCCATGATGCTTGGCAGTGGGACGAGCTGGGGGTTGACTTCTTATGATATTCTTTTGAGACATTCATTCCCCATGATATATGTCAGAATGAGTGATCGGTTGCGCTAATGGCGAATGCCCTTTCTCTCTCAAACCGTTTCCTAATATCGTTCATCTTTCTGCCAGATCCTCCTCGATCCCAAGGAGAAGAACAACACCGAGTACAAGGTCGACACATTCGGCGCTGTCTACCGCAAGCTCTCTGGCAAGGACGTTGTGTTCGAGTACCCCATCACCGAGGCCTGATCTTGATTGAGACTCCCCCCCCCCCTTTTCTCTCTCTAGATTGGAGTTTTGAACCTGGGGTTTTGATGCTTTGCCCTCTGAATTTCCCTCCCTAGGTTTTCCTCTCTGTGAAGAAATCACGGCTTATTTTTTTCTATCCTTTCAGTCACCTTCCTGTTTTAGGAGACTTCCGTGAGACTGCCATTAAAATTTTACCAGGCCACCTTATAACGTCTCTCTCTCTCTCTCTCTCTCTCTCTCTCTCTCTCTCTCTTCTTTATCTCCAGTATTCTGCCGAACAAGTACGAGTAAGAAGTCAACCAAGACTTTGAGTAATTGAATTTGTATGCACCTTCTGCTCGTCTCCTTTCATGTGATCTTAGACTGCCGTCCGTTGACTTAGGATGGCGTCTGACAAATGGACTATAGTTGACTGTCATCTACTGAGCTGAGCCTGGCTTTTACGAGTTTCATCTTTCTCTCTCTAGGGTCGGGTTCAGACTCTAGATAGCATCCCATTAATGTAAGATTCCGGTGGTCTCCAGGTCAACGGTAACGAGAAGCAAAGTGCAAACAATAAGTCTTGGATCTGCTGAAGAGATCATCCATCTTGGTTAAACCACTCTCCTGTCATCTCAGGACGACTTCGAAGAACACTCGTGGGGGAAGGATTCAGGCTGCCTACCACCTGCCCAACTCCTACCCCACCCCTCACTTGTTCGGTAGAATGCTGGAGATAAGGAAGAGTAAGAAAGAGAGAGAGAGAGAGAGAGAGAGAGAGAGAGAGAGGGAGAGAGAGAGGAGAGACTGGTTTATTTCAGTCGATCAGACTTGCGCCCGCTCGCCTGATACCTCCAAAATCTTCGTGATGATGAAGTACACAGAACCAGAAAAGGAGAGAGATGCTGACCGGAACCCAAATGGGGTCAGAAGCTCCCCGCCGCTCCTGCCTGCCTTCTCCCTCCTCCGCCGCCTCTTTCACATTTGACCGCCTTCAGTCTTCTTCGCTATGGAAGAAGAGCCGCCAGATTCTCCAGGACGCAGGAGGGCTCCTATATATTCCGAGGAAGGAGAAGGGAGAGAGGAGCCCTCACCGGCTGAGCTCCCCCTTCTCTCTCCTGCCCAGTCCGTCTTCTTCTCCGTCGCCGGCGAGGTTGAAGAGAGATGACAACGGCGACCACCGGCGGCGCCCTGGTGGGGCTGCTGCTCTTCCTCGCCATCGCCATCGCCACCGTCACCGCCGCGAGCGGCGAGAGCTCGATGGCCTGCCCCCGGTGGAGCCCGTGCTTCCGGAAGGAGCTCCGGTGCCCTGCGGAGTGCCCCCACCGCCGCCCCGCCAACCCCCGGGCCAAGCTCTGCTTCCTCGACTGCTACTCCCCCAAATGCGAGGCCTCCTGCAGGGGTAAGTAAACTGCAAAAAAGAAAAAACGATCTTGATCGATCTTTTTTCCAAGAACATGGGAGAAAAAAATTGCCCAAAAAAGGAAAGCTGCCTATATAATAATCTAAGAAAAAAGGGCGTCATCTTCTTCCTCGGTCTTGATCTCACGTCCTGTTTATTGCAGGCGGCGGGCCCGACTGCAACAACAAAGGCTCGGGTTGCTACGACCCGCGATTCATCGGCGGCGACGGCGTGGTGTTCTACTTCCACGGCAAGAAGGACGGCCACTACGCGCTGCTCTCTGACCGTAGCTTCCAGGTCAACGCCCGCTTCATCGGGCTCCGCCCGGCGGGGAGGACTCGTGACGCCACGTGGATCCAGGCCCTCGGGTTCCTCTTCAGGTCGCACAGCTTCGTCGTCGAGGCCACCGGAGTGGCGGTGTGGGACAGCGGCGCCGCCGACCATATCCGGCTGAGCTACGACGGCGCGGCGGTGGAGCTTCCCGAGGGGCACGGGGCCTCGTGGACCTCCCCCGGCGGCGCGCTGACCGTGGAGAGGACGGGGAGGGTCAACGGGGTGGTGGTGAATCTGGAGGGTGCAGCGGAGGCGGCGGTGGGGGTGGTGCCGGTGACGGCGGAGGACGATCGGATCCACCGCTACGGCATCCCCGCCGGCGATTGCTTTGCCCATCTGGAGGTGCAGTTCAGGTGGCTCCGCCCGTCGCCGGAGATGGAGGGGGTGCTGGGGAGGACCTACAGGGAGGGGTTTGTGAATCCGGCGAAGAGAGGGGTGGAGATGGCGGTACTCGGCGGCGAGGAGGAGTACGGCGTCGCCGAGCTCCTCTCCCCTCGCTGCAAGCTATGCGTCTTCTCACCGGAGAAGACGGCGGCGGCGGCGGAAGCCGAGTGAGTTGCAGAGATCGGACCAGCTGCACGCCCATAAGAAAAAAACTGGAGTAAAAGCTCACTTTAAATAAATAAGTAAATAAATATATGTGCGCACATAATATATATAAATAAATAAAGCATCTTCCGCTCGATGAAACCTTCCATATATATCATTTCATTTCTTCTTGATCGCCTCAAGTTAGTAAATGTCGGCTTCGCACATAATCACCAGTGCTGATGGAATTCCATAGGGAGGGATCTCTAAGAGCTCCTCTCTCTCTCTCTCTCTCTCTCTCTCTCGCTCGCTCTAGAAAAACGGAAAGTAGAGAGGGAGGGGGGGAACTCCGTCATCTCCTCCGAAGAGCTCCGTAGTTGCGCGTTGCCTGAGAGAAACCTTCAGAAATGAGTTCCTCGGCGGATACGAGTGGAAGCCATGACAGAAATTTATTCCGGAAATAGTAATGAACGGATAATCGAAGAACAAACAATATCAATCATAATAATAAATAAATAGACTCTATTTTCAGAAATCTTGGAGCAAGGCGAGGAGAAGAAAGAGAATACCGGGAGTTGGGCAGTCTTCTTCTGTCCGCCCGGAGTGTCGTCCTCGTCGTCGTCCTCATCCTTGCTCATGAGCAGGCTATGAATCGAAGAGCTTTCAGCCCTCCTCCCCCGCTTCGATGGCGAGGGGAATCCCTTCCCCTTCTCCCTCCCCTTCCCCCTCCTCCTCCCCGCTGGGGTGCTCCTCTTGCGCCCCCTGTTCCGGGTGCTCTCCTCGGGCTCCTGCATTCATAGAACCAGAGAAATAGATTTTATTTATTTTTTTTACAAGGAAAAAAGATGGAATAAATGGGAGTGAGCTCAGAGAATGGCGGATACCGAGCTGTCTAGCTCTTCACCCACGCCGTAGTCCTCTGATTCGTCACTCGAGAGAGAGTGAGAGTGACCAGACTCGGAGGCCAGGCTTTGAAGTGTTGCAGATGCGGAGGCCGATGCGGATCTGTGAGAACAGGACCAAAAAAAAAAACAAAAACATTCAAGAGTTGACCACAAACAGAGGGGCCTGAAAATGTCAACGCCCTTGGTGGACCTGTCAGAATGGCGAGTTCCCATGGATGCATCGAGAGTCATCTGCTTCAGGGCGGAAGATCCTCTCCCCCTGCTACCTCTCTTGGGAACTGTAGCATCAGCTGCTGCTGCCCTCGAAGAAGCCTTCCTCCCCCGGGGAGCAGGTCTCGAGCTGAAGGGCGCCGCCTGCTGCCTTGTGCCCTCTTCGTCGCTGAAGCCACTCGAGCTTCCAATCTCGCCCCTGCCAGCTCTGCTATCCTGCAGATGAGATGGAACAGATGTCAAACCCAGATGAAGATCTCAACATGAAAGCAGGGAGACATGGCTGAATCGAGAGAGAGAGACCTGTGGAGCTTGCGGTTTAGAGATGATGCTCCATGGCGTTTCCTTCACGAGCAGAGATCGCTCCTTCACACGTTCCTGAAACAAGAAAACATTCGATTGCATGGTCACCATGGGGGTATGTCTGAGATGCACACAGCCAGTGGGGAGACGTGATCCACATGCCTGCATGCACTGCTCCACCTTGAGGATCAGATCGCCTTCTTCGATCTTCGACGCCTCTGGTTCAAGGCTCAATTTATTCTACCCCAACAAAAAAAAAAAAAACATTTATAAGAGTGATTCAAACCAGAATAATAATCAAATGGGTGGGCGTCCTACGCGTGTGTCTTCAAGGGTGTGCTGCAAACATGAATAGAAAGCCATCTTGTCGTCCTTATTGACAAAATCATGTAATGCAATGTCCAAATCGTTCACTGGGAGGATCTCCATTTTCTGCAAAAAGATTGGCCCGACAATTTTCAGCAAACCGCATGTACATTGAAGGCGATGCAGGAACATGACATCCATCCATATGGGTACATAAATGTATCTACATGTTTGATTATTTCTCAACATATGAAGCATTCTACTTTCTTTTCCCTCATTTTCTGAGAGTGGAAAATGGTTCCTAATGATGGAAAATGGAGTACAGCAGATGGGTACATGGAGACAGAGGGAGAAACGATATGCCCAATTGGAGCTAGAACAAAGATGAGAATGTTTCAAGGAGATCGATCTACCAAATTGCTTTCAGCTAGCAGAGCTTCTATATTTTGCTGGTTTAGTTCTTCTGGACGAAGCTTCTCTGAATCATCAGTTTTCTCTGAAAGCGAACAGGAAGATATCTTAACGTAGCTATAGATGTAAGAGATCGCATGTTCATCAACTAAGCAACTAAAATATTAGTGGGTTATGAATAAAATGCGACTGCATGAATATCAGAATGTGGTCTAGGTTACCTCCAGGTTGACGTTTCTTTGCAGCCTTTGAGAAAATTAGAATGTCTTGTGGATTAGCAACCTAGATAATTCACATAAACGAAACACTTTAGATATTATAGAGACGACAGATAACCCTTCTAAACATGGGTGATCGGAAAAGGGAACACCTTTCCCACATACTTCTGTCCAAATCTTTGAGGGTTTATTGTCATGAACCCAGAGTAGTCGACCTGACAAACAAAATGAACCACATATCTTTTGTCATGTGAAAAAAAAAAAAAAAAAGATGCTTCATTCTCAGAAAATATCATGTGTATAATTTAGATAAATTTGTATCCGTGCTAGATTAATCATTTCTGAAGAGATATTTATAGTAAACATGTTAGCAATTCACTTTAAAACTTCATCAAAACCACTTGTTCCATGCTAAAACACGGGTCCTTAACAATTTATTCATTTCTCATATCAAAAAGATTATATGGAACTCGCTCTACACTAAACTACAAAATCAATTTATACCAGTGAATTCATGCCAACATTTTGGGAATTAAGCATGCTGAAACATGTGTCAATGTCAACGGTTAGATGAGGCAGGGATTCCAAAATTTACCTTGACTCGAACTAGTGGAAGCTTGAGCTCAGACCTATTGTCTGCTTTTCTGCTGCTTTCTTCAATCATATTACCAACCTGAAACAATCAAACATTATCAATATATGTTCAACACGTCATGTGAAAAACAAGCTACATCGTCATGTTTGCGATTCTTCTACAAGACCAAAAGCATGGCTTACAAATGTATCTAAATATTCAAGAACTGATGCCTGATCATTGGGATCAATTTCCGGAATGTCCTTAAGCACGACCTACAGGGCAAGAACTTCATAGAATTAGGAATAACACAGATGCTTAGCTTAAGGACGGTACCTTCTTACCTCAGCATATTCGAAAGGCCTCACTGACTTCAGTGGTATTTTGGAAGACCTATACTGGGTGCCCTGCGCATAGAAAGCCAACAAACAGTTTAACATAAAATGGTCATGCATGTAAAAACAGTGTTCAACTTGGGAAAGAGATTGCTATAAACAACCTTGATCTCTAAGAGAAGTATGTGCTTAGGCTTTGCTTCCCCGTCAATTAATGAAGTTGCAACAGAGGAGCCGGGTTGACTTATATGAAATCCCATGCCTGGAACTTCCTGAAAAAAAACATAAATTATCTGAGCAAAATACAGCAAAGAAATTAATTCTCACAGCAAAAAAAGGCATCAAATGATACCTTTGGCTCAACAAGGCATTCGTGTTCATGTCCCCACACAATAAAGTCCAGGAATCGAGGTAAAAAGTGTTCATTTATTGCGTTCTTGGGATTTGTCTTTATTCTGCAAAGCATATTTATCCATAAAGTGTCACCTAGATGAAACAGTTTTCATATCTATCACATAATAGCAATGTGACTGACAAAGGGCAACAGACTTGAGCCATACTTATCAATAATTTATACAAGTTTGTAAGGTAAAAAGTAACCTGTTTTGATGGAGCACCAACATATTGAACCAGTCTGACACCCTACATCCTTCCTGGGCTTCTGGACGTATCCACTGCACCGCATGGGGTGTCTGAAAAAATAACCATTGAAGCTCCACCTTAATGGATCAGAATGCCCCCTAAGATGCGTTCCAAGAGTTAGACAAATAATATACCTGAAACATTCTGTTCAGACGCTCATCTCTGATGTTACCGAGGCCGTACAAAGCCACTAAAGTAGTCTCCTGGATTGGAAGATTGGACGTTAGAAAAGATAAGTAGCGAAGACATCTATTACTTAACAAACACAACAAATGGACCGACCTTTCTAATTAGTATTGGATGGAGAGAGATTTGACCAACACCAGACCCTCCAAGGACTGTTTTACCAAAATAGTTCACAAGATTGCATGCAGAAAGGATATCCATTGCAGAAAGGTTATCCTGTAACCAGGAAAGTGTTGACAGAGTTAATGAAATAGATATATAGTACAAAATATTCGAAGGGGGATACTAGTCTTCACTTTCGTCTCAAAAGATTAAAATAGAACTAAATAAACCAGGAACAATATTAGAAGTAGACTTTCCCAATGTGCACAAATCTATAAATTCACTATGCTGCATCAATTAGATGGGGTTATTCTTTGAGATGAGAGAAGAATTTTCATAACTAAACTCCGTTAAGTACTGACTAATATTTCTAATGGTTGGCTATAAGAAATCTTCGTCCATATCTATATTCGTTCAGACTGTGTAGTACTTGAGCGAACAATAACTCACCTAAACATTCTCTGGTCCTATTCGATCTTTAAATCAAAAAGTGATATATTCGATACTTCTTAAACAAAAGGGGATTCAATTAATATCATACCACCCCTGCAGGATCATCATGATTGCCATGAATACTGAACACTGGCAAACCAACGTTGAAGTGAGGATCTTCATAGTTCACATGACCGAATCTGCAACAGATAGAAACAAGAGACCAAAGGACTCGTCAGAATAGGAAACAAAATAGATCATAAAATTCATGCTAATTGATCACAGGAAGCAAGGAATAGTAGAATCTATAAATCACTAAGCAAGGAATATGATTGATAGTGGAATCAATCATATTCTCCAAAGCTGGTTTATCATCTATTTTAATAATATCAAGGAAATGATGTTTCACGTGGTGCAACAGATACTGTGCAATGAACCAAAAAATGGATCCGTTGTTATTTTCCAGCAGGTTTCAGCTAATGAGGATCAATGATGTCATTCACCAATTCCCTAACCCGTGAGAATAACAACCAAGATATATTATCGCCTGAATCGAAGCCAACCATAAAACATGCGAACAAACAGGTTCTCCTTGTCTGTGATGCCCCTCACAGACAAGGAGAACTAGGAGCCGAAATCGTAAAAAAAATCTAATTCAAAGCTTCAAACTTCAAAGCTCTTCTGCATGAAGTAGACATAGAGCTTAACAATGTCATTTGCGGCTGAAATGGCTAGCAATAACAATTCTCTAAACTTCTTGTTGAACAGATCTAGCGAACAAACAGTTAGGTGCATGACAATACATTACATATTCAAGAAGTTCACAGTCTGATCGCTGACAACTTGGAACTGCACAGGTCGATCATTGAGGCAATAGCGTCGGAGAATCTCGATAGCTTTTACTAGAGTGGAACGTGAAGGCTTATTCTCATGAAAGAGATCACCGCCAAGAAGTATCAAGTCCACCTGAAGACCAGAAAATGATCCATAAGTGGCTTTATAATCTGACACGAAAACGATGGCACAGAACAAATCGAAAATAAATAAATAACGAAAAATATGAGCTTAGAGCATAAAAGTTGAAGGTAAAGGTGTTTGGTCCACCGGTTTACATTAAAAATATTCGGAGTTGAAAATACTAAGCTGTGCGATAGAGGGGAACGCTAAATTTGACAACCTAAACATAGTGCCATTTGCCCTGAAAAACAAGATAAGGCACTCCTATGACTTTTCAGGCAAGGAAAAAGATGTGATCTAGGCTAAAATATTGGAGACCATTTACCTCCCTCTGTTCAGCAATAGAGCAGATCTCCTCGAATGCCTGAAATGAATCAAATCGGCGTACTTCATCTTTCTCCATGTAACCAAGGTGGCAGTCCGTTGCAACGAGCACCCGAAGTGTGTCCCCTAGATCCTCCCTGTATGTTATATCTTCGTCTTAGAACAGAAGCAAGCGAAGTTGTAAAAAGAAATCTCTGTTTAAAAAGTTATGACAAAGGGGCTCAATATCATGACGTCGTTTGATAAACAGAGCATTAGCATCGAAGAGACATAATCGAATGACAACAAGAACAAACGGCTAAGTATGTAAATCATTACATGAATACATGAGAATGAACGCCAATTCAACTATTTCCAGTGAGGTCCTGAATAGATAGGCCATACCTCACTGGCTCTCCCATGTCCAGACCTTGCGTATTTGTCTATGCCCTGCATACACATTTTGCAGTGGTGTCAGAAATTTTAAAGATAACAAAAATGAAATCGGTCATTTCCCCTCCACAGCGGGAGAGAGAGAGAGAGATGGAGAATCCTCAGGGTGTTAAAGCTCATATAAGCCCCTCGGGTAAGCAGGAAAGCAGGTCAGACACTACTGCAAACCCTAAATAAAATGATCATCAGAATTACGGGAAGAAAGACGGAGCACGGCTTCTCAAGGGCCGAACCAAAACCAGAACATCCTCAAACCCTGGAAAGATACTGCACCGTGGATCCCGAAAAAGGAAACAATTCCAAGAAAATACACGCCAAGAGCGCACGGTATGATCAGAGAGGGAGCAGCGAAGTTGATCGATACCTTACTCCACTTCCACTGTTCATCCAGCTCCTCCCGTCGCCTCCTCCTGCCAATGGCTGGGAGGAACTCCCACCTACAACTGGCGGGAACTTCCTCCCTCTGTCAATTATGCAGATATATATATCTACGGGAGACTTCAATTAGGGAGGTAACTCCACCGAGAGTCAATCAATCCTCAGTGAGACCTAGTACTGACCCATTGATCAGACGGTGCTGGGAAATTAAATCCTCACCGTCGGGTCTTTGATCTAGAGGGCGGCGTTGTTGCTTCACAGAAACGGCTATATATACATACCCTCTCGGTGGCTGCGCATTGTCTTCCTCGGGCGATCGTGTTAGGGTTTGGGTTTGCTGTAATGCCGCAGTCCCTAGAACGGCGCTAGAATGCTGGAAATGCTGCCGTCTTAGGGGGGTTTGCTACCTTGGTCGTGTCCTTGTTTTTTCTTGTTGTTCATTGAGATGGTGTCTGCGCGGTGCCAACCCCGGGCTGCTCCGACGTCATCTGGTGAGGATGCTTGGCCCCAATGCCTGCGCTACAGCCACGCCTGGCCGCCCCGTGTTGCAGGGCTGATCGGTCCCGATTCTTCGGGGCTATGGCTTCTCTGTGTCAAAAGCGGCGGTCACATCGCTTCCGATCCTCCTTCCACCTTCCAATCACACCACTCGCCCAAATTCGTTTTCGCTTCTTCTCTATAGATCTAGAATCACCTTGCGTCCAATGACCTCGACCGTAGATACCTATTTATCGCCAATCTCCTCCCGCCATGATTTTTTCAGGATATTTTACTGTCCGTCATCGATTATTCATCGTCTTCGCCGGAGATCGACAGGAATACGAGGAGTGCGGAATTATTATCATCATCGGTCTATGATGATTTGTCTGCAAAGCGGAAGTGCTGCGGAACCAAGACCCTGTTTACAGGGAGAACCTCCTTGGGGAAACAGTATTCTCATGTCGTTAATTGACTTATCTGAGGCATCCAATGATTTGCACCATTCATCTTCAGTCGTTAATATATCAACGATTTAACCTTAATCCCTCGAGCCTAGAAAATCCCACTGATCTTGACATAGCATCCCCGATAGATTCCTGTAGAACGATGATTTGAGTTTTAACTATCCTTGTGCGATTATCAGATGGTTTGCACGAAGGCTGATAAACTCATACAGTGTGTGTTGTCATCAGCTTCATCTTTGATTATCCCACGGGATAGGAGTTAAATAACAACACGAGATTTCATGTTTCGTAAGTTGCTAATCATTGCTGTGAAAGTCAAATAGATGGATGTGGAAGTCGAGCCTGTGATGATTTGTCTGCAAATCGGAGCAGCTGCGAATCCGAGACCCTGTTTCAGGGAGAACCTCCTCGGGGAAACAGCATCGCGTATGACGACAGCAGACCAATCTGAGGTTATTCACCTCTTCTTTGGTAAAGCCATTGTTTAATACACCTGTGTTCGTCAATTTGTTTACCTTTAATCGAAAAACCTTTTCAACGCACAAAAATCGTCCAGTTCGTCGATCCAGTTCAGCGGTATTGTGTTTGTGAGATGTGGGCCGAGATCGTAGGTTTGTTGAAATTGTTCCTACTTCATGCGATCGTACGGTCTGTGTCGGATGAGATCCCGGGAGCAGCGGTTCTCTCGGGTGGACATGATATTTTTGTCATCTACCTCTAGGAGACCGTGTTTCTCCATAGATCTCCATAGACCGTGGGTTGGCGGGGCGGCGGTGGGGGCACTCCGCAGGGCACCGGAGCTCCTTCCGGAAGCACGGGCTCCACCGGGGGCAGGCCATCGAGCTCTCGCCGCTCGCGGCGGTGACGGTGGCGATGGCGATGGCGAGGAAGAGCAGCAGCCCCACCAGGGCGCCGCCGGTGGTCGCCGTTGTCATCTCTCTTCAACCTCGCCGGCGACGGAGAAGAAGACGGACTGGGCAGGAGAGAGAAGGGGGAGCTCAGCCGGTAAGGCCTCCTCTCTCCCTTCTCCTTCCTCGGAATATATAGGAGCCCTCCTGCGTCCTGGAGAATCTGGCAGCTCTTCTTCCATAGCGAAGAAGACTGAAGGCGGTCAAATGTGAAAGAGGCGGCGGAGGAGGGAGAAGGCAGGCAGGAGCGGCGGGGAGCTTCTGACCCCATTTGGGTTCCGGTCAGCATCTCTCTCCTCTTCTGGTTCTGTGTACTTCATCATCACGAAGGTTTTGGAGGTATCAGGCGAGCGGGCGCAAGTCTGATCGACTGAAATAAACCAGTTTCTCCTCTCTCTCTCTCTCTCTCTCTCTCTCTCTCTTTCTCACTCTTCCTTATCTCCAGCATTCTACAGAACAAGTGAGGGGTGGGTGACGTGACTCAGTCGTTGTATATTAAATTACGCAAATATAAAATTTATAAAACTAGAAAATACGAATTTTCGGATATTTAGAAGTATTTATAAATAAATATATCAATTATAATTCAATAAAACTTCCAAAAATAGCGGTAATTTTCTAGGTCGATCACAAGGGTGTAATATAATATCTGGTAATTATTTAGAATTTTTCTTAATGAATAAAATTTTCTTACGAATTTTGTATTAGGAAATAAAAAGGAAATATATTTAAAATTCACGAAAAAAAAAAGGAAATAAGGGTGCCGGCGTCAGGATGACGTCAGCGCCCGGCGAACGCCAATCGGGCGGAAATAGAGTTCCGCCCGGCGATTCTTACGTAAGCGATTACAGACGACTTAATTAATGAAATTAAGATCTGTAAAAGCCGGAAGAATCGTAATTTAACGAAGTATAGTTTGGTAAATTAAAATCACATAAAGTATCACTAAATAAAGCGTAAATTAAATTGAAAGCAGGAAAACAGAGTTCCGGCGTCAAGACGGCGATGCGTCGGCGATGCATCGGAATCCTGAGCGTTCGGGAGGATCGTCGTGCAGTGTCCACGGCCTCGAAGGCTCTCCTTGGACAAAGACGGCGTGGGCAATCTCTAGATCTTCTCGCGAAGTCTAGAGATCAATGAAGTGGGTCGTCGAATCGTCTCCGGCGGCTGTCACCCGGCGGAGTGGAAAAATGGTGACTTTGCGGCTCTCCGGCGGCTGTCACCCGACGGAGAGGAGCTGGATGGAGGTGAGGCGCGTGTTAGGGAGCTTCATCCTCAGGTCCGCGCAGCAAGAGGAGGCTCTTCATCGCATCTGGTACGCTCTCAGGAGGTGGCGACTCGTCTCCCGGCGGATCGTCCTCTTTCCGACGACGGCTTGTTCGTCGATCAATCGGAGATGATTTACTCGATGGATTGCGATCCTTTTATCGCGAATCGTTCGGCAATTTTAGTAGCAATGCTCCGCGAATCGCGTTGACGAGATTTTCGCCGATGATCCAGCGATTCTGGTTGCTTAATCCTTCACCGGCGATCTGCAGGAAAGTCGCGATAATCAGATAAAAATTGAATTTTGACTCTGGGAGGATTCGAACCCGCGCTGGTCGCCCCCCGGCTGTGAGGAAGGTCTGACGCGGGTTTAGTCCCACATCGGTTGTGCGCCGATATTTCGGGCGAATATATACTAGTGTTACGTTTGGAGCCAAAGTCACTTCTCTCGCGTGTACGACCACTCCTTGCTCCACAGCCGGCTTGCCACCGGTGACGTAGAAGGGGTGTGGCGCACACGTGCCCCTATCGGTCCAAGCAAGCTGGTCGAGCCCCTGCTCGCGGCTACTCCCCGACTGCGCTTCCGGCCCGCTTGCGGGCCCGGCTGGCCAGCGGATCCCCTCATTTTGCAATATTTTTATTTTTATTTCTTGTTCTTCATTTATCTCAAAAGTAAGACTGTAAAAATCGTATAAAATCACATAATTACCCAAAAATTCACGTTAATCAACTGAAAACCAGTTTTCATACTTTAACACAAATATAAGTCTATTTATCATGAGTTAAGGCTAAAACTATATTATTTACTAATTATTAACTCATGATAATCAAGACTTATCAGTGGGGTAAGAGTTGGGCAGGTGGTAGGCAGCCTGAATCCTTCCCCCACGAGTGTTCTTGGAAGTCGTCCTGTGATGACAGGAGAATGGTTCAACCAAGATGGATGATCTCTTCAGCAGATCTAAGACTTCTGCTGGGTTCAACAGAAGAGCGCATGGGGCGGTTACTACTGGATGCTTGGAATATTTGATCACCATCCATGTATGCGGCATTATTGACAAAGCTTTGAATGATTCTTGGAGCTGCGTTTCATGGATTGCGAGAACATGCTTTGAGAATGCACATTTTCTGCTGATAGTGACTTACTTGGGGCATGCATGGGCAAATAACCCCCAGTATTTTGTTGATTTTTCGGGTAAAACAATAGGATCATTGAACAATTAGTCAGTAGACTATGTATGTTGTGCATTCCGTGTTAGGAAAACTACACCATTCAACAATAACTCCTCAAAATGAGCTTTTCTTCTTGGTTAATACATCCCAGTTTTGCATTTTCTAGGGTCTTCTCTCCCAGCCACCTTTGGATGAAAAAAGATGGAAGCCAAAAGTTTGGTCTTGGAGAGTTTGGCTTCCAAGGAGAATGGAGGATGGAAAATACAGAGAAGCTTTCCATGAAAGGAATGGACCTTGCTTTATGTTTTCCGACATGTTTTATAATCACACAATAGCAATAAAGACCCGATTGAAAGTAATTAAATGTTTTTGTGTATGGCTTATTGTGTCTTCTATGCCCAAATCAAAGAGGTTAGTCAAGAAACTTTTGTTGACATGATTTTGACGAATCATTGGATGTTCGACATTTTTTTTGAATGCCAAATGATCAGTAACCATAATATGTTAAGAAGATATCACTTTGACGTTTGTAAGTGCGACCGAATAAGTGATCGGTTGTTCCATGTGAAGATTTGCATCAGAACTTCTATCCATCCTACAATCCCAATGAACAGTTAGCAAACATAAGAGGACTTACTTGAAGAAAAGGGTGTCAACTTCAGGCTTGTTAAACTCCTGCAACTTTGGAAACAAGTACAAGAAATTGCATTTTCCTTGCCAAGTGTGGCACCAGCCTCATGGCCATATATCTCTTGTCAGTGCGGAATTTAGGCTTGTATTCTAACGTTGTGATGCCTGTAAAAATTTCTTGGGATCATTGAACTGCTTTTGGAAATTTGTTTCTTCGCGGAAAGTATTTCTGGTAATATTTTGTGGGGTTTTAACTCTCTAACATAGAGCTCATGGGTCATGTATGGGCTCTCTTTCTGATCAATTGTTGCACTACTATTTTCAGGAAAATAAGCAAGGGAATACCCATAAGGAGAGCGAAGAACCTTAGGAAACAGAAAGCAATAGAGCGAGCAATTTCCAATGACGAGAAGCAGACGGACAAAATAGCAAAGAACAAGGACAAATTATCGAGAATCCAGTCAGCTAAATCATTGTACGACTAATTCAGATACCATTGTGGATGAAATGAGAAGGATTTCAATCTATGGAATCAACCGCTTGGAAGATTATTTCGTTCTTATTTCCCTCCTTTCTCCTTCAATTATTTCTTCATTGTATCTTTTTGATGTCTGAAATGATTGATGAAGCCCTAAGATACTATAATGGGATGGCGCCACCTTTTTTTAATATGATATCTGAAGAAGAAATTTTCACCTGCTGTTCAAATAAATTTGCAAGGAATAGGGAGCCGTCAACGGTAGAAAAAAAAAAAATCTTATTTGGCCACATACAATTGAATTCCTCTTGTCCTATTTTTTTCTTAGGATTTGGAATTGATTTCGTTTGCGAGGAAATGCCGTAGTTTGTGTGGATTCTGGGAGCATGTTTCATTACCCCCCTGTCCTCTGCAACTCGCATCTCCTCTCCAGTCTTTCACATCAACCTTTCTGGGTTCACCTTATTTTTTCCTCAGAGTACTGCTAGTATGATCAAATGCGACAACTTAATACATAATTTGGTTGTTTTTTTCTCAAAAACTACTTATTATCTTGCTTATTTAATTGTCGATTTAATTAAACTGTATTAAATATTTGATTTACAGTGCAAGTTATTATAGAACAACGTGAATGCGTTATTACATCGAATACCAATTAAATAATTCTGTGTACTTTTTCTCATTTGAAATGAAATTATAACACTTTTGTGATAATATATCTCTAGGTAATAATCCATACGCGATCTTGATTGATGGATTTTAGATAGGTTCAACACCTTGGATGGCCTTTCTCCAGAAGAGTGCCCTCTTTATAACAAGAAACAAAGTTACCAACTTTGTTAAATGCATTAATTTCGTTGGAAGATAATTCACTGAACTCTCCCACCCTGCTCCGGACGCGCCAAGTGAGGGAAAAGGATCCCTGATGCCGAGTAGTCTAGAGGGGGCAAGTAACAGAGGATGGAGAGAGAGAGAGAGAGAGAGAGAGAGAGGAATATCACTTAGCGTCGGTGTGATTACCAGAAGATAATCCAAGGTTTGGAAAGAAGTAATGGTTACCATGCTCGATCACATGGCTTGCACAAGGGTGGTGAGATTTAAACAAGAGAATAATAATAATAATAATAATAATAATAATAATAATAATAATAAAAGTTCCTGGGTATTCTCATTGTTTCCATGGGATCAGGGGGCGGGCTTCGGGGAATATGGGAGGTGCAGGAGCTCATGTATGTTGATTTGATAAGATGGCGAGCTGGCCAGCTGGGAGGAGATGACCGGTCACTGGGTCTTCTTGTTCTCGAATCTGGTCTTCATGTCTCCGGTGTAGGGGGCGACGTGGTACGCATACTGCTGAAGAACAGAGAAGATGACCATCTCGAAGATGACGAGCGTGTTCTGAATGGCCTCCTGAATGTGCTCCACATCCAGCCAGAAATGGTGGGATTTGATGACCCCCGCCGCAGCAAAGACATCAAGAGCAATTCCCTGATAACCAAGAAAATTCCCCAGATAATAAATATGCCATTCATCAAAGATGCACACGAGACACTCCAATTGTGGTTCACAGACCCAACTAGCTCAGCTGCATGCCAAATTTAGAAACTTAAACTATCACCATTGCTTCCAAATTTATTTATTTATTTATTTCTGTCAGATCGTTGACCAACAAGAACTTGAAATCATTTCAAAGCAGCAAGAGTGAAAAGTGATTTATTCTTATTTTTACTTTTATTTTTAAAAAACAAAAGTGGTACAAGAAAGCCACCTTGGACTTCCAATGCTGATTGGAATATATCTGAAATAACAGCATGCTAAAAGAAAGAAAAAAATTCCAATACCCAGAAGTTTCATAGATTATTTAATCTCAGGAACCAGAGCCTACCTGCCAGAAGCAGAAGAACACTATCCCTTTGATGCACATGAACTTGGCCAAGGGCCGGTGAGGGGCGAGCTCCTTGGCGAATACATGATAGAAGATGACGAGGGCATACAGAGCCAGAGAGACGGAGAAGTTCAAGATGATGGTGAAGGTCCAACTGAGCCAGCTGGGGTAGAACCCGAAAACTTGGCAGATGATCATAAGTACAGAGCAGATGGGTCGGACTGCAACAAACTGCCATGTCCAATACTTCAGGGCCTTCAATGTATGGTTCTCCAATCGGATTGTTCGTGGCTACAACCACAGAAGAAAAAAGTTCCTAGTCAAAAGTCGCCAGCATGTATCTAGTAAAAGCTATCCATGCATTGCTACTTCATCCTGCCTGCTGATGAATCACAGAAAGTCAACGTTTGAGCCAGAGAACTAGGCCGAGTTGAAATAAAGGAAGCAAAATCTAGTGCATCCCGCCTGATTAGAGAGCTTGAAGAGGCAGTGCAAAACCATGGAGGCTCCTGTGAACTTGGACCCAGAAACTTAACATCAAAATCATGAAGCTGAGTTCGTGTCCACGCAACAACAAAACGAGAATACGATGTTTCACAATCATCATACACCTCCAATGCCAGATAGCCCATAAAAGGGAAGGAACAAATGCTGAATTGCTAGAGGAAATTCATGCAAAGCAATATAATTCAAGCCCCCACCATCCTCTGGTTAAGCTCAATGAAGGCTTTTGAAGGACCCCAGGTCCTCAGTAACTCCACTTTTCCTCTTAGTGTAGAGTGTGATGAGAGCAGGACGATCCAGAAAATTAATGGACTTGCTGAACTCTCATTGTTTCAAACAACATAGCTTCAATCCTTAAAGGGTCAGTAGGGAACCCTGATGAAGATCCAGAAAACACAAGCTTTTGCTTGTTGCAAACGAGAATGCAGAGTTCAAAGGAGGAACTCTGAGCAACTAGTGAAAGTTAACACATGGGCAAGACTATCCCATGAAGCAAGAATTTCAATGATGAACTAAACACGCACCAGAAAAAGACTCATGGGGAAGGAGTTATGGATTTCCCTGCCCTTGATTTCATCCGGCACCATATCCTTGCTCAGAGAGATGTTCAGGTAACTATACATCAGAGCCATGAATTTAGCTATGACCTGCCATCAGAGACTCACGCATCAGTGGTGCAAACATCATCAGTGATAATCTATCATGTGACCGTGGTATCATACTAGAAACTCACCAGTGCCTCATAGCATTCCTTGACTGACTCCAAGAATGTGAAGAAGGGCTTGCTGCCATCGATGTCCAGCAACCCGACGAAGGAGACGACGGCATAGATGGGGGCCATGAGTACGATGATGATGATGGCCTTTTGTTCTTTGGGATTTTTCCAGTAGAAGAGATGCTGTGTTAACAGCACTATGGTGAAATGCAACGTCAGTATCACCCCACCGCCTGCTCCCAGAAGAGTAAGTGACTCTGGATCCAGTTTTGTTATGTCCATTGTGCTTTATATCGAAGCCTGGGTCTGCAATAGAACAGGGAGAATGCCCAGGTCAGAAATCAATGCTCAAATAAGAACAATATCTGCAAGGAAATTTCCTTGTTGGAGACGATGGTAACACTGTAATCATAGAAACTAGCAACCAAGAACAACACGGTCTATGGAGATCTATGGAGAAACACGGTCTCCTAGAGGCAGATGACAAAAATATCATGTCCACCCGAGAGAACCGCTGCTCCCGGGATCTCATCCGACACAGAGCCCAGAGTAGGCTCTTCGCCGTTCAACTTCAACCACTGGAGACTCTCCTTCGCCTCAACTGGACCCGCCCGACGCAGACCGTACGATCGCATGAAGTAGGAACAATTTCAACAAACCTACGATCTCGGCCCACATCTCACAAACACAATACCGCTGAACTGGATCGACGAACTGGACGATTTTTGTGCGTTGAAAAGATTTTTCGATTAAAGGTAAACAAATTGACGAACACAGATGTATTAAACAATGGCTTTACCGAAGAAGAGGTGAATAGCCTCAGATTGGTCTGTTGTCGTCATGCGCGATGCTGTTTCCCCGAGGAGGTTCTCCCTGAAACAGGGTCTCGGATTCGCAGCTGCTCCGATTTGCAGACAAATCATCACAGGCTCGACTTCCACATCCATCTATTTGACTTTCACAGCGATGATTAGCAACTTACGAAACATGAAATCTCGTGTTGTTATTTAACTCCTATCCCGTGGGATAATCAAAGATGAAGCTGATGACAACACACACTGTATGAGTTTATCAGCCTTCGTGCAAACCATCTGATAATCGCACAAGGATAGTTAAAACTCAAATCATCGTTCTACAGGAATCTATCGGGGATGCTATGTCAAGATCAGTGGGATTTTCTAGGCTCGAGGGATTAAGGTTAAATTGTTGATATATTAACGACTGAAGATGAATGGTGCAAATCATTGGATGCCTCAGATAAGTCAGTTAACGACATGGGAATACTGTTTCCCCAAGGAGGTTCTCCCTGTAAACAGGGTCTTGGTTCCGCAGGACTTCCGCTTTGCAGACAAATCATCATAGACCGATGATGATAATAATTCCGCACTCCTAGTATTCCTGTCGATCTCCGGCGAAGACGATGAATAATCGACGACGGACAGTAAAATATCCTGAAAAAATCATGGCGGGAGGAGATTGGCGATAAATAGGTATCTACGGTCGAGGCCATTGGACGCAAGGTGATTCTAGATCTATAGAGAAGAAGCGAAAACGAATTTGGGCGAGTGGTGTGATTGGAAGGTGGAAGGAGGATCGGAAGCGATGTGACCGCCGCTTTTGACACAGAGAAGCCATAGCCCCGAAGAATCGGGACCGATCAGCCCTGCAACACGGGGCGGCCAGGCGTGGCTGTAGCGCAGGCATTGGGGCCAAGCATCCTCACCAGATGACGTCGGAGCAGCCCGGGGTTGGCACCGCGCAGACACCATCTCAATGAACAACAAGAAAAAACAAGGACACGACCAAGGTAGCAAACCCCCCTAAGACGGCAGCATTTCCAGCATTCTAGCGCCGTTCTAGGGACTGCGGCATTACAGCAAACCCAAACCCTAACACGATCGCCCGAGGAAGAAAATGCGCAGCCGCCGAGAGGGTATGTATATATAGCCGTTTCTGTGAAGCAACAACGCCGCCCTCTAGATCAAAGACCCGACGGTGAGGATTTAATTTCCCAGCACCGTACTGAGGATTGATTGACTCTCGGTGGAGTTACCTCCCTAATTGAAGTCTCCCGTAGATATATATATCTGCATAATTGACAGAGGGAGGACCTGAGGATGAAGCTCCCTAACACGCGCCTCACCTCCATCCAGCTCCTCTCCGTCGGGTGACAGCCGCCGGAGAGCCGCAAAGTCGCCGTTTTTCCGCTCAGCCGGGTGACAGCCGCCGGAGACGATTCGACGACCCACTTCATTGATCTCTAGACTTCGCGAGAAGATCTAGAGATTGCCCACGCCGTCTTTGTCCAAGGAGAGCCTTCGAGGCCGTGGACACTGCACGACGATCCTCCCGAACGCTCAGGATTCCGGGTGCATCGCCGACGCATCGCCGTCGCGACGCCGGAACTCTGTTTTCCTGCTTTCAATTTAATTTACGCTTTATTTAGTGATACTTTATGTGATTTTAATTTACCAAACTATACTTCGTTAAATTACGATTCTTCCGGCTTTTACAGATCTTAATTTGATCACTTAAATCGTCTGTAATCGCTTACGTAAGAATCGCCGGGCGGAACTCTGTTTCCGCCCGATTGGCGTTCGCCGGGCGCTGACGTCATCCTGACGCCCGCACCCTTATTTCCTTTCTTTTTTTCGTGAATTTTAAATATATTTCCTTTTTATTTCCTAGTACAAAATTCGTAAGAAAATTGTATTCATTGATAAAAATTCTGAATAATCACCAGATATTATATTACATGCCTGTGATCGACCTGGAAAATTACCGCTTTTTTTGGAAGTTTTATTGAATTATAATTGATATATTTATTTAGAAATACTTCTAAATATCCGAAAATTCGTATTTTCTGGTTTTATAAATTTTATATTTGCGTGATTTAACATACAACGACTGAGTCACGTCAAATTTTGGCGCCGTTGCCGGGGATGTATTGCATAATATTTAGTATTTTTCTGTTTTTCTCTTAGAGTACACAAAAAAAACTTTACTCTTGTTTTATTTTCTTTTTGCCGATTTTTATTAGAAAAAGGGAACGAAAAGAAGCACGGCAAGGACTGGAGCATCCTGAAGGAGGGTAACAGTTACTAGCTTTTTCCCTCGAATTTATTGATTTTTATGCATGGTAGAAGATCCTTGCATCCAAGGCTAGAAAATCCTTTCATTATTTCATTCAAAAATAAAAATCCGAAAGAAAAATTAATTTTGATGGATCTTGAAGGAAGTACAGGTCAAACTGAGAACAATCCTATGGCCATGAAAAATCATTATATCCCTGATTCATTTCAAAGAGCATCTAATATTAGAGTCCCATTAGCACCCACTGTTAAATTCGAAATAAATCCAGGAATTTTTCAAATGCTCCCTAATTTTCATGGATTGCCTTTAGAGGAACCTCATCAGCACTTTGAAAAATTTCATATGGTCTGTGATTTAGTTAATCTCCCTCAAGTTACACCGGAAATTATTAAGATGAAATTATTCCCTCATACACTTAGGGACAAAGCTAGTCATTGGCTATCCACATTGGATAGAGAATTAACTAGCTGAAAAGATATAGAACAGGCCTTTCTTCGAAAATTTACATGTTAAGCTCTATGTCTACTTCATGCAGAAGAGCTTTGAAGTTTGAAGCTTTAAATTAAACATAGAGCTCTATTGTTAAGCTCTATGTCTAGTAATAATACGCTATATTAGTATTAAAATGTTTTTAAAATCGTATGTGGGAAATATACGTTTCTGCGAGAATCCGGTCCTCCCAAGCTTTGGACTGTGTTTGGGTTTTACATCAGTGAAGGCCACACCACCATCGTGCAGTAAGATCACCTCATTGTCAGGGCGAAGCACCCCACCGCGCCTCGTCGTCCGTCACGTTGCCGAAGAACGACTCCCTCACAGTGAGTTCGGAAGCTCTCTTCGCGCGGCCGGAGCTGCGAGGGCTCTCGTCGTCGGCGCCGCCGCCGGTGGTGGTGCGGATCCTCGGTAGCCTCTCGGCGAACCTCGTGATCGACGGCGGCGACCCCTTCCGCTGCTCCTCCTCAGCTGGAGTTCCTCTCCTCTTCTTCTCCGGCTCCGGGAAGAGCGTCCCCCGCCTGGGATTCTGAGGTCCGGCCGCCGTGGAAAATTCCCTGCCGTTGAGTCCGATTCCCCTCCTCCGAAACTCCACGCTCGTCGTCCTTGTTCTCGCCGGTGAGTCGATTCTCCTCTTGGACATCATGGCGATCGGCCGACGAGACGATCTAGGAATCCCCTCCTCTTGTTCTCTCTTGTCTTCTCCAATTCCTCGGAGCTTCGTGGTGAAGGATCGCCGGCCGCCGGCCGGCCTTGGCGCTGTAGCGGAGCGGCTCGCCGGAGATCTCTGAATCTTCTTCCCCAACGCAGCTACCCCTTTCTTCTCCTCCGACGAGAAGATATGCTTCGGCTTCAAGAACTTTTCTCTCCCCATCTTCTTGATACGGAGAGCTTCTAGTCTCGAGGTCAGCTGGCCGATCTCCCTCTCGAGCTTCTCGATATCTGCGTCAATGAAGACCGCGGGGTTCTTGGAGGAAGGGGATGGTTTCGCCGGCGGAGGCGGCCTCGGGGCCTGGTTCTCCTCGCCGGCGGCGGCTCGAAGGTCTCTGTCCGGTCGCCGGACGGCGGCGGCCGGGGAGAAGGGGTACCGGGGGGGAGAAGCCTTCTGCCCCGATGGCCGGCCGTCGTCGAAGGCGGCGTTGTCCCATACCTGCAACTCTGGAGCGGCCATGGCAACGGACATTGTTTCTTGCTTGAGAGAGAGAGAGAGAGAGAGAGAGAGAGAGAAATGGTGGCGGTGATTGTGATGGAGTGATGCATATGACCGTTGTGACGGGGACTATGAAGCGCGGGCTTTGGACGAACCGAATCGGACGGTCCAGATCAACCCAGTACCAGCGCGAGACCGTTGACAATAACGAGGAGAGCAGAGAAGAGGAGAAAAAGCTTTATTACGTTCAGCAACAAAACTCCATACCATCATCATCATCATCATCTATACACGGCGGGTTGGGTGGCGCCCCCGCATCGGAAGATCACAACCCCCACAGGCTTCCCATCCGTGTTAGAGAGAGAAAGAGAGATACACAGAGAGAGAGAGAGAGAGAGAGAGAGAGAGAGAGAGAGAGAGAGGAGGGAAGGCTTACACAGAGTCAGCAGCTTCACCCTGCTGACGAGCGAGGTATCTTTCTCTCCGCTCCTTCTGCAATTCAGCAGCCAGGTCAACAGATTGACCAAACAAATGGGTATGACTGTGGAAGAGAGATTGATGAAATTGGTCAACTATGGTGAGTGGTTTACCCATTCGTCAATGACCAGCCCCTCGCCGACGATCTTCGGGCCGGCATTGTCTTCGGGGGGCTTCTTCCGGGCCTCCGCCGCCACATCCGCCTCCGCCAGCTGCCGCTTCAGCTTCTCCATTTGCTTCCAATTCAGTCAACCAGGCAAAAAAAACCATCAGAATCATTGGCAACCGGCGTTGACTGTGGGAATCGGTAGCAAAAAGGTCAGCGGCTCCTCACAGGACAGGGCCGGTCGGGGTCCAAGAACACGACTCGGAGGATCTGCTCCACCGACACCTGCTCCTTCTGCTCTTCAAACTGCAGAGGGGAGAATGTGGAAAACCCCAGATTACCCAATTGAGCAAAGGATCAGAAATCAGACAAGAAGAGAGAGAAGGAGATGGGGACCCCACCAGCTCGGGGACGTAATCCATGGGGCCCGGCACCTTCAGGCTCAGGATCTTGAACTTGACTCTGCTCTTCTGGTCCTGCGAGCTCTCGTTGTTCTCTGGATGCTCCACGAACTTGAAGACTTGGGTCCCAAAAGTCAAGCAGTGAATCAATCGCAATGAATGAATCTCATCTATTTTAGCCACTGGAGTGGCAATATAATACCTGTGGCTATGAGGCTTTCGCCGGGGGCAAGGATCGCCCCAGGCGGCCGCATGAAGCAGCTCTTCGGAGCAGTTGTTTGGAACTTCAACAATAACCAGAGAAAGAAAAAAGGGTAGGGATTGGATCAGGTCCGATGATCAGAAATGATGATGATGATGATGATGATGATGATGATCAAGATATTGTTGGCGATGGGGGCAATCCTGCTACAAGCTAGAACATGGTGAAACCCAGATTAGATTAGGCTTAGAAGGCAAGGGGAGACCAAAGGAATCAGCTCTGATACTGATGATGGGCTAATCATCTTCCGAGCTAGAACATGGTGAAAACCCAGATTAGGTTAGATTTAGAGGGTGGTGAGGGGAGACCGATGGATCAGTTCTGATGTCGATGTTGGGCTAATCATACTCCAAGTTAGAACATGGTGAAACCCAAATTAGGTTAGATTCAGAGGGTGAGGGGAGACTGATAGATCAGCTCTGATGATGATAATGATGATGATGATGATGATCAAGAAGATATTTATGGAGATAATGATGGCCTAATCATACTATAAGCAAGAACATGGTGAAACCCAGATTAGGTTAGGTTGAAAGAGCGATGGAGTTCCGTAAAAGCCACAAAATCACGGATAGGCATAAAATTATGTGAGTCTGAATGAATACCCAGAGGATATTCAGAGACATCAGCATAAAAGTACGAACTTTGAACCCACAACCCAGATAAAGGGCGCCCCCGCCATAAAGTCAGCTACTCTAATGAGAAAGAAATAATGGCGATCAATTCGAGTGAAGAAAATCACAAGATGACCAACCTTGAATCCGACGTGAGATTTGGTCCCGTTTCTGATCCTGATCGCGCTTCTGACCTGCTTTCCAGGTTCATCTGCGAGGAACAGGAGATGCCTGAAAAACCCATGGATGACCAAGAGAAATGCCTCCCAATATAGGAAAAATTTCCGCCGTAGTCATCTAAATAAGCACATTTGAGCGAGAAAAAGTTGATTATATGGGGGGTTGGAAGCAGATCTGCTCAGAGCAATCGTTAATCGACGACGACGACGACGATGATGATGGTGGCGGTGGTGGTGGTGGGCAAGAGAGCATGATCTCGTCATCGCAAGGAAATATGACGGGATTCAGGGCATCAGTAAGAACATAAGAACTTAATTGTTTAGATGAGGCCCTACCCAGATTTCGGGAAGAGCAACCCAAAAGTCAAACGAGTATGTAAGACCAACATTTGGGGAAGAGCAACCCAAAAGTCAAATGAGTGTGCCAACTCTTCGAGGCCCCGGATTCAGAGGGGGGGGGCTGAAAATAGAAAGAAGAGCTACTAACACTTGGGGAAGAGCGACCGAAAAGCCAAATGAGTATGCAGATTCTTCGAAGACCCAGATTCAGAGGGGGGAGGTCTGAAAAGGATGGAGCGACTCACAAGGGAAATAGAGCTTGCTGGCCGGGTCGAGACGGAGCCTTCGCCGGGCAGGAAGAAGCGACTTCGCCACCGACGACATCCCCGAGTTCTTCTGCCGCTGCTCTCGCCGCCGCTGCTGTTCCCCATTCAGCCCCTCCCCCGCGTAGCCCCCTCCTCCGCCGCCGGATTGGCTCGACGTGTGATGCGTCAGCGTCTGCGTCGAGGAAGCCGAGGACGTCCCGCCGCTGCCGCCGGTAGTCTTGTGCCAGAAGGACATCTTGCACAACCCCCACACCTTCCCTTCCCCGGACTTGCCCTCCACCACGGCCGCCATCTCCCCTGCACCGATCAACTGATCTCCCCTCTCAGCCCATACAACATGCCCCCGCCTTCTGGCTTGCCCGTCAATCAACTCTCTCTCTGTCTCTCTACCTTTCCATGCTATCCAGCAGCTCGATCTGGGCCTTCCTCTCTATCAACGGGCGGCAACGCCCCTCTTTCTCGCTCTCCCGCTGCTGGTCTCTCTCTCTCTCTCTCTTTCTTTCTTTCGCTCTTTCTCTCTCTAGGAACGTCGGCGAGAAGAGGAAAAATGGGGGGGGCGGACTTTAAACCCCAGATTGTTCTATATTTAATAGGAGGCGACGGAGTCCGCAGCAATCCCCCAACTTCTCTCGAGTCACATCCTACGACTTGGTAATCGATCACCGCCCTTGCTATCCTCACCTCCCCCTCCTCCCAATTTTTTTTCATATATCCAAAAATATTATTAAAAAAATTAAACTAATTCCGGGGGAAAATACGGTTCATTATATCTCTATATATATGATTTATTAAAATATAATTTTCTCATTATATCGTCCGAATTGGACCAATCGTGCCCGATTTTGAGGCGAATATTTGGAGAAATACCTGAAAAAGAAAACTAGGCTTTGGGTCTCTCCACCTCTATTAACCCTAGGTGGGAGGTGAGCGCACTGCGGTGACCGGAATACATCCCGTCAGCATCCGTCCCATTCTGGACGTCTTTCTCCAGAATGCATTTTCATCCACGGGAGACGCGTGAAGCCGTAGCACTGTCAATGGCGTTGACTCGGGGCAGGCGCGTCTAATATGCACGTGCGCCTCACGTGAAAGACCTGCGACTCTTAAATCACGCTGCTGGGCCGTCACGCTTATCGGATCTCAACTTATTTCCGGTTTTATTTGATTTCTTGAATTCGTGCAGTATTTATCTGCTGTTCGTTCCTACGCTTTCGATTTCAAACTATTAATCTTCGTGCTTTTTATGTAACCTACGGATGCAACTAAATAAAATTATTTCTTAGCTTGGGCCCAGTCTTTCTAAAATTGGCGGGGCATTTAAGAGTCAACCCTAGCGAGAGAGAGAGAGAGAGAATCTGCCCACCAAACCCGTTTACTTTTTACCTCTCTCCCCCACCCTCTCTCTCTCTCTCTCTCTAATCCAGTCAACCACTTTGACACTCAGTAACTCTGTCTGTCTCTCTCTGTCTCTCTCTGTCTACCCGCTTGTCCTAGTATAGTGACGGGCGCATTTAGTCGAACTGGGCCTTTTGACGAATAAAATAAATGATTGATAAAAACCCAATAAAGTGGGGAAAATATATAAAATATGTAGAAACGTATGCGATATCTAGCAATGGAAAATGCTTGCCCTTTTTCTTGGATCCATCCAGCGCAAGATCTCTGTTTTTCTTTATATTTCGGAGCCTATTTTATGGGGAAAATGAAAATTTAATATGATAACATAAATAAATTTAGTTGGGGAAAATCTTCTCTTTACCTCTTTCTTTTCTTGTTTCTGATGTTTGAGCTGGAGATTTGGTCGGACTTGACGGGCCGATGTGGTTGACCCGATACGGTTGACTGAGTTCTACTCAGGCTGCCCGGACTGAGTCAGATTCCCCTCATTCTCTCACACTCTCCGTTCCAGCAGAGAGAGAGAGAGAGAGGTGCATTGAAGTCGAGTATACCCATTACTTAATACTCCTGGTTGTCGGTATTCCGGCGCTCGGGAGGTCAACAGCCGAGATAGGGATGGGTGTTTAGGTCAACGGACGACCCACCACAAGACAACTCTTTATTGGTTGGGGGACGGCGGACGAAGAAAATTAAACCCCTCGGTGGAGAAAGAAAGCGGTAGAGTTTCAGGATCTGACTGGGTTTCGGCCGATCCCCACCATCCCCTGATCCGATCGAGATTCTAGATTGGACAGATCGATCGAAACCCAGCTCGAAGTCTCCACCTTCCCTCTGCCGAAGACTTGGGTTCCGTTGACTGGTGCAACCAATCTGAGATCTTGATGACCTTCTTACCATTGATGGCGGCATGGGATCGTCGATGAGACCCTTCTCCGGATGAGACCCAGTTAAAAGTCAACGGTAAGAACCACTCGAGATTCCAGACTGTGCAGATCGATCGAAACCCACCCAGTTCAAAGTCTCCACCTTCCCTCTGCCGACGACATGGGTTCCGTCGACTGGTAAAACCAGTCCGAGATCTTGATGATGTTCTCACTATTATTGGCAAAAAAAAATTAGGATCCTCGATGAGACCCTCTCTCCGGCTGCTGCAGCTCAGATTCCGAAGCCCGAGTCGCCCCATTGGAGGACTGCCGAGTCTGGGTCCTGCTCGCCCTTGAGCTTGTCCTTCAAGAACCAGTCGCAGAGGCGGCCGGCGTTGAGCTCCTCAATGGGGACCCCCTCCTGCTCCGAGATCACCTTCAGGAGGTTCAGAGACGATATCTGCCGCCACACGAGGAGGAGGAGGAGGAGGAGGAGGAGGAGGAGACGATCTTCTTCAGGTTATTCCGGCGATGGAGGAGGGGCGGCGGCGCAAAAGTTCTCGGAGGAGCTTTGACTTACAGTGAGCCGGCAGAGGAACTTCTCGTGGGGGCTGAGGCCGGAGATGTCGACCAGGCCGGCTTCTTCCAAGCTCAGGAAGCTCCGCCTCTCGCTCTTCTCCTCCTCCCCCTTCGCCGCCTTCACCACCACCATCTTCATCTTCATCCTACCTCCGAGCCCCCTCCTCCTCTTCCCTGCGGAAAACCCTAACAGAAATGCCTGAAGCTCGGAGGGGCCAGAGAGAGAGAGAGAGAGAGAGAGAGAGAGAGAGAGTTACCGTGGGGGAAGCGCTGCAGCAGATGCGGCGCCGGCAAAGCCGGCGGCGGTGAGTGCAGAAAGGGGGCCTGAAGCCGGCGGCCGCAGCGCTGGGCAATCGCCATCGCCATGGAGAAGGAAGGTCGAGCGGCGAGGAGGGGGCTTTATCCCACTCTTGGAGGGTTATCCTCCGCCTCACAAACTGGATAGGGTTCTCCCCCTGGATAAGCGGACTGCGAGGGCGGCGGCGGCGCCGCCGCCCACCTCACCCATGGAACCAGAACAGCTCAACAGCGGGAGAAGTCTGTCTGTAGAGAGTCAACTTCAGAAACAGTGGACCAGTGCCTTAGATTTCTCACAGTAATCCTGCCAAAGTACTTGATCTTCACCTGTGGTGCCAAGAAAGCGTTTTTTTCCCGAGAGAGAGAGAGAGAGAGAGAGCCGCAGCCTTAACAATCGGTTGAAGAGGATAGTGATCCATACTTGTTTCCTGTACTTGTGGTACCGAGGGAGAGAGAGAGAGAGAGAGAGCCGCAGCCTTAACAATCGATTGAAGAGGATAGTGATCCATACTTGTTTCCTCAATGTTTCAAAATATTATGCAAATATGATAAGATAATCAACTCAGATTCTTCGTGAACCTCTCTATCAGACCTACAATCGATGGGTGGGCTCCATCCCCTCCCATTTCAAGACCAGAAGATTGAAAAATCACAAACTCACATCTTCCATGGCAGCCGCAGTCGAAGAATATGAGCAAGCGCAATGACTCCTCAGCCTTCTTGCACCATGTTCTCTCTTATGGGCCCTTCAAGCGACGTGTATTCCCCCTATAGGAAAAGAAGAAGAACGTAAAAACTAGATAGAATAGATAGATTCAGGGAAGAGAAATGGTGAGAGAGGAGATAAGGAGAGAGGATAATTTTTAGGACAGAGAAAACCTTCGATGTCGACATGTCACGTATACACTCGTTTCCCAGGTGGGCTCCCACCATTTTGGCCCAATAAAGATAAAAATAAATCAATAAAGACAAAAAAAGAATATTAAAATATCCAACATGATGGAGCTTAATGCCTTCATAAAGTCATCCATCACTCAATCTAATGGTAAACAAACTTTAATTCAATATAATTTGCAGTAAATAAATCTCAAATAAAATGGTGACGAACTTCAATGTACTTAATTATTTCATGAAATACTAAATTATTCCTAATATATATTGTTGATATGTTGTCATATTAGATCACTGATGATGCTGATCGTGGAAAATTAAAAATCTTTTAAGATCTTTTGCATCTATGTTACTTATTATGTAACCATTGTTGTAGTAATATATTCAGCTTTCAATGGTGATAATATTGTAAATTCTTATCTTTTTTGAAGTTCATAAAGTTGTACCTGAACCAACATTGAAATAAAATCACTTGTTTTTTTGTATTGTCAATAGAACATGCTCAATCACTATCAAATCACAAACATGTTCATTAGATTTTATAAAAGTAATTTCAAATTCTATACAAAGAGTTTGAAGCTGCTATATCTCTATTGTCTCTATGAATTTTATCCTTCAAACTTTTTATGCTTCTCAGTAACTTATGGCATTAACAATTTATGGAAACATAGTTTCTAAAAATTATTGGTATAGCACCAACAAAGGCTTAGCATCTTTTTTTTCAAATTTCTTTATCATCATAGAACTCTCTCCTTCCTTAATAACCATTCTCAACTAAATCTCATAAGGTCTTATGAAAATAATTTTATCTTAATACTCTAGAAATGATATTTGTCTCTATTGAAAAAAGTACAAAGTGGTTGAGAGGGTTAGCATTCTATTGTCTCCATTCTCACTGTAAATGGAATTATTTCTTTATAAAAACTTTACACATCACTTTTACACTCCTTATTATGACAAGAAATATTCACAAATGCTAAAAAACTTTACCAACCTTGTTTTTGAATCTGCTTGACGTTGATGTCATCTCCATGGTAAGAAAACACCCAATACATGAACTAGGCACTTTGATACCACTTTGTCGGAAAATAAGAATAGAAAAAATATAGATAATATATAGATTTGGAGAAGAGAATGGTCATAGAGGAGTCAAGGATAAATAATTTTTTTGCACACAAAAAAATCGTCAATTTTGAAATGTCACAAACACACTAAAGGAGGAGAGAGAAAGAATATTTAAAGGTCACATTCGTGCCCTATGTGGGCCACAGTCCTTTTGGCCCAATAGAGACAAAAAAGGAACCAATACAGAAAAAAAAAAGAGTATTAAAAATACTCTATCAGTTTTGTATTAAATGGTAACATTTCTAACTCTTTAAGACCATATATAGTAGGGAAAACTTACCCTTCTTTATAAGGGATTATTATTACACTATATAAGTATGATTATAACTATCACACACACTAGCACTTGTTTCACTTAGAAGTTCACATACCCCTTTTGTACATGCCACATCATATTGAGTCATGTTGACATACCACAGTACACATCTTTTCATACAATTTTTAAATGCATCATACATCTCTACATGGACAACCGGACTGCCTTAAGTCAATGATGAAGTTATGTGCCTTTAAAGACATTCTTCTATGTTTTGTGTTCCTCCATGCAAAGTATTTATTACATGCATTACACATCTATGGATAGACCACCACATTGGCTTAGGCCAATAGTGAGATTCTATGCCTAATATCTTAATCCTCCATGTTAGTGTTCCTCCATGCAAAGCATTTATTGCATGCATTACACATCTTTGCATAGACCACCACATTGGCTTAAGCCGATGATGAGATTCTATGCCTAATAACTTAATCCTCCATGTTTAGTGTTCCTCCATGCAAAGCCTTTATTGCATGTAGCTCCTACATGCATCCTCACATGGACTGCTACATTGCCTTGTGTTAATGGTGAGGCTATGTGCTTGAAAACTTGTTCCTCTATGTTTAGGGTTACTTCATGAAAAGCCTTTATTACATGCAACTCTTACATGCATTACACATCCTCACACAGACCACCATTGCCTTAAGTCATCCTTACATGCAACTCTTACCGCATTGCCTTAAGTCAACGGTGAAATTATGCACCTGAAAGCTTATTCCTCTATGTTTGGTGTTCCTCCATGTAAGGTGTTTATTACATGCAACTCCTAGATGCATTAGGCATCCTTGCATGGACCAACACATTGACTAAAGTCAAGGATGAGTTTTTTTTTTTTTTTTTTTTTGAGTCTTTGTACTTTGGTCAAACTTCTAAGAGGATTCCTTTTCGACATTTCACACACCTCAGTACATTGGCCTGATATCATATCACATCACATTACATGAGGGTGCCTAGTGTCATTTAATTCAAAGCGTGTGCCTCGTGGTACTTAGTTCAGAGCTGGGTGCCTCTTGGTTTGAGCTGATGCTATGCCTCTCAGCATGTTGAAAATATTCACCCACTAGTGGGGGTCCCAACAGTGAGATTCTATGCCTGAAACAATGTATTGTTTTATGCAAGATATTTATTCAATGCATCAAGCAGAGGAGCTGATGATTCGGCACATGAGGATTTGAAATGAAGGATCAAGATCCTCATCCCAAGTTCAAGTTATCGCCAACTAATATGGTTTAATAGGCCCTGATGATCCTCATCCACTGATGATAATATGGGCAGGGGAACGAGCCCCACAGTTACCTGGCCCTTCAGCTGAATGGTCCAAGTGTGTGTAGCATTTCCCAGTGGGTCAATCGACAATACTGTATTTTTGGAAGATTGCACGTATTAATTATTACGGAAGGATATTTAGTATAAAGTAATTAATTTGTTTTTCTTGCATATAAAATGAGAAATTTGATCTTCGGCTAGCGGAGGAGAGAAGAGGAAGAACGAGAGGAGCTCTCCCGCCCGCCTCGCCATGACCCTTCTGTACCCCCTCCGTCTGCAGATCGGCTCCCGCTTCGGCTGGCGGCCCCATGCCGGCGGTCGCCTCTGTATCTCCACCCATGTTAGGTTTCATCGATAACCCGCTCTCTGATTTCTGCATTTCCAAGCTCTTCCTCTTTGTCGTTCATTACTCTTTGGGCCTTCTTCCCAGGTCGAGCCTCCCTTTCCCGCCGGAGAAGGCCAAGTACCACAGGGAACTCGAGGCCGCCGTCGACGCCGTCGAGAGGGCCTGCCGCCTCTGCGTTGACGTGGGTTCCCGGGCCTCCGGGGGAAACGAAATCGGGACAGATTTGCTTTCCTTTCGGTGCCGAAATTTCCCCGGATTCTAGATGGGTTTGTCGAATTTTGCTCAGGTGAAGAAGACGCTGGTATCAGGCGAGGGGCGATTCTTGGAGAAGAAGGACCAGACTCCCGTCACCGTGGCCGATTTCGGTGTGCAGGCTCTCATCAGCTTGGGTAACTCCTTCCTTTCTCTCGATTCGGTCAATCATTTCATCACGTCTTCTGCGTCGATTCCCATCTTCTTTTCGTGGGTCTCTACTGACTTGATGATCCTGATGAAATGCCAGAACTGAGCAAATCATTTCCTTCGATCCCGATGGTGGCCGAGGAGGACTCCTCGTTCTTAAGGTCGATCTCCTCCGGTTCGCAGGAAGATGGGGAAAGCGATGGCCTTGTGGGCGCTGTGCTGAGAGCCGTCTCTGGCAAGGCCAGCTGTGACGAGCAGCCTCTGACTTCAGACATTGTTCTCGCTGCGATTGACAGAGGCGGGAAGCACGCCTTCTCCCTTGACGAGAAACCCGCAACTTACTGGGTATTCATATTCTTCTTCTCCTTCATCATTCTCTTGTATGTATCTGTACCTGGTTTTGATTATTTTCATAACACCAATAATCTCGAATCCTTTTTCGTTAATTACACAGCATCTGATTTTAACTAAAAAATGGGTAATTTTGGACAGCCTTCCTTATTCCATCCCAGTTTCTCTTCTCTTTGGTAATTCATCTCGTCTAGTTATTGTGCGCAGGTGCTCGATCCGATTGATGGGACGCGAGGATTTCTGAAGGGTAATGATGCGCTCTATGTGGTCTGTTCTTACACTTCTTTCTCAGGTTCTTGGATCGTGGCCATCGCTGTTCTTTAGTCTGAGATGGGATGAAAATAGCTCGATCGTGATGCCAAAAGTTCTCCAAAATATCGCACTTTATATAATTTCCCTCTGATTTTTCTTTCCGTTTCAATTCCATAGTTTCATTTTATCATGATTTCACCTATTTTACTGATATTTGCGAAGATTTACCCAAACTAATTTCTTGTAACTTTATTTCCGTTTAATGACCCAAATATTTTAGAATATTGATCACTTTCCCATCCAACAACCCCAAACTCTGAAGCTTCACCGTGATTCAACCCCAAATCTTCAGGTCGGCCTGGCCCTCGTTGTCGAAGGAGATGTCGCATTGGGGATCATGGGCTGCCCAAACTGGAAAAATAATCTCGGTGAAGAGAAAGAGGAGGAAAGATTTAAGTCATCGGGGCGAGGGATGATCATGGTTGCCCATGTTGGGTGTGGGACCTGGTCGCGTGAGTTCTTGGCTTCTTCGGGCATCATCGCTGGTGTTCTTGAGGGCTGGAAGAAATGCTCTGTCGACCCATGTTCGCTGATAAATCAGGCAAATTTCTGCATTCCTGAAAGTCAGACATGGAGATCGTTGCTACTATCGGCCTCCTCGTATGGTCTCCCGGATGATGCTGGCGGGGCAGGAAGTGAACATGAAGTTACTCTTTTGAAAGTATGTTGCGGGAGGTACTGCTCGATCTCATCGTAGTTATCCCAAATAAGATGTTTTTGTTTTGATGCATTATGGTCTGGTAAATTCTTTCTGCTGGCGATTTGATGATTTTTGTTTTGAGCCCATCTGAAATCTGCCCGAATGGATGAATAATCCGTAGATTTTTCTTATAAAATATGGAGATAATTTTTTTTTTTTGGGGGGCATGTGATTATGGTATATGAAAGAATTGTTTCACTTTAACCACTGAGGTAAACAATGAAGGGCATAATGATTTATTAGAATGGTGTCTCTGATTTCATGGAAAAACATTTTTTTCCAGAATATCCATGTAAAATTAATGTTAATTCGTAATTTATTGGAATACCCAAGTGATCTTACTCTTAATCTTGACGAGTTGTTAGTCGCTATGATTGGTGATTATGTTGGAAATAATATCTGGTTTATGATTGCTCTACGCAGCTTGTGCAAGTACCTGATGGTTGCGTCGGGGAGAGCCTCTGTGTTCGTTCTCCGGGCGAGGGTTCGGACAAGGATCAAGGTTTTCTGTTGATTTTCCATAATTGGACAGAGTTTTGAGTGTGATGATATTATTGGGCTCCTGGGGGCTAAAGTTTCTCGATGATGTAGGCTTGGGATCATGTAGCTGGCGTGGTATGTATTCATGAAGCTGGGGGGAAGGCATCTCTCTCTCTCTCTCTCTCTCTCTCTCTCTCTCTCTCTCTCTCTCTTATGGGCGTCACAGTGAAATGCGCACATTTCGTGCCAATTACAAAGTTTTCGAGCAAATTTTCACTAAGTTTGTGATCCTCATATGCTTGCATTGATTCAGTTCTCATTTTAAGAAAGAGTTCTTTGCTCTCCAGGTGACTGACTGGAAGGGCCACCACCTGGACCTCGCCGTTGACCGGTCAGAGCGGAGGATCATTTCCCCCTCTGGCGGCATTCTTGTGACCAACGGTCACCTCCACCAGCAGCTCCTCAGCCTGATTTCACCATCGGCTTCATCTCCCGTTTGAAGACGGGGAGCCCTCTCTCTCTCTCTCTCTGCTGCTCTCAAGCACCTGGGCCGTTGATGCCCCGGGTTGACTTTTTTAGTTCATGAAGTTTATTTTTGAATATTTCAGTACCGTTGTTGGTATCGACCGGACAATTATTTTATATGCATTCTTTGGTACCAGAATAAAGGTATGCAATTTTTTATTTTTATTTCCGAGCTCGAAGAACATGGCCACCGTTGACCATTCCCTGTCGGCTCATGGCGCCGACTAGTTCATGGCGTTGACTCCCTTTCCAAAAAAGTCCAATACCAGTCCCTAGCGAGAGAGCGCTGAACCTCGAATACCCACCTCTCTCTCTCTCTCTCTCCGACTAGGTTTCACCAGTAATCTCCGCAGGAGCAGCGGCCATCTCTGAAAATGTGGAACCTCGTCCTGTCCCTGACGACGATCTCCCTCCGGAAGACCTTGGACACGAGCTTGGTGGCGCGGTGGCAGTCCCCGCAGACCCTCAGATTCTTCATGATCCGCATCCTCTCCCCCTCGCCGGAGCGGAGCATCGCGAATCCCATGGCGATCTTCTCGCTGTGCCCTCCCACGGCGGCGTCCTTCTCCTCCTCCTCCACCTCCACCAGCACCTCCTCCCTCCCCGGCACGTACCCTTCCTCCTCCCTCAGCCTCCGCTCCACCGCCGCCCACTTGGCCCGCGCCGCAGCGGCGGCAGGATGAGACCCGCCGCCGGCCGTGAACTGGTGCACCTCCCCGCCCACCTCCACCGAGCTCCACCCGGGGGCTTTCCCCAGGCAACGCCGCCGCATTGCCCCCCTCACCCTCACCGCCTCTCCGTGCCGCCCCGCGGCGCCGTAGACGTTCGCTAGCAGCACGTACACGCCGCCGTTGTCCGGTTCCAGCGCCACCAGCCGCTCCGCCACGCGCTCCGCGAGCTTTGCGTCGCCGTGGAACCTGCAGCCCGCCATGAGGGCACTCCATATCCGCCCGTCGGGGCTCACCGGCATCTCCTCCACCGCCGCCATGGCCTCCGTCAGCCGCCCGCCGCGCGCCAGCAAGTCCACAAGACAGCCGTAGTGCTCCAGTTTGGGCTCCACGCCGTAGCGCCGCCGCATGGCGGCGAAGATCCGGCGACCGTCGTCGAGGAGGCCGGCGTGAGAGCAGGCGGAGAGCGCGGCGACGAAGGCGACGTCGTCGGGGGCCACGCCGGAGGTCTCCATCTGCTCGAACAGCCGCAGGGCCGCCGTCCCGCGGCCGTGCACGGCGAGGCCGCCGATGAGGGTCGTCCACGAGAGGAGGTTCCTCTCCGGCATGGCCTCGAAGACGGCCACGGCAGCGTCCACCTCGCCGCACTTGGCGTACATGTCGATCAGGGCGGTACCCAGGAAGACGTTGATGGTGGCGGCGCCGCCGCCGCTGACGCGGAGGTGGCGGTGGACCCACCTCCCCTGCTCCAGCGCCCCTAGCTGGGCGCACGCGGAGAGGACGCTGACCAGGGTGGCCGCCATGGGAGGGACTCCCGAGCTCTGCATGGCGGAGAAGAGAGAGAGGGCTTCTCTCTCCTCGCCGCAGTGGACGTGGCCGGAGATCATGGCGGTCCAGGAGATGCCATTTCTCTGGGGCATTTCGTCAAACAACTTTCGAGCGGCGGCGGAGTTCCCGGATCTGCAGTAACCGGTGATGAGGGTGTTGAAGGAGACAACGTCCGTTGTGGCGGAGGTCTCGAGGAGACGGCGGGCGGCGGGGAGGTCGCCAGCGAGGGAGTAGAAGTGGATGAGGGCGTTAGTGGCGTGGAGCTGGCCGGAGAAACCGAGGCGAACTATTTGGGCATGGGCAGCCCCGCCCTGGGCGGCGGCAATGGCGGAGCCAGGGAGGGCGGCGGCGGAGGCCTTGAGGAGGAAGGGGAAGGTGTGTGTGTCGGGGGGGAGCGCGGAGCGGAGCAGGTGGCGGTAGACGAGAATGGCTTCGAGGTGGGCGGCGCCGCCAGTCCGCGCATATGCCCGGATGAGGGTGTTGTGGAGGAAGACGGCGGCGGCGACAGGGGAGGAGACGAGCTCGCCGGTGACCATGAGGCTCGCGTGGGCCTCCCTGACCTGCGCCCCCGTGGCGCACCGGAGCAGGAGCCGGTGCGCGACGGAGCAAGAAGGCTCGCTCATCGGCGCCACCCGCCGGCGACCTTTCCGGCGGCGCCGCCGCTGGGCAACGACGATTTGGTGCCTCTTATGGGCTTTAGCTCCGGCAAAACCGATCTAAGGCCCAAAGAGAGGAAATTCGGCTGCCGCATAAAATTCCACACAAAAATTATGTTTTTCACATATAAAATAATACATAAACCCCCGCCTCTCTCTCTCTCTCTACTGTATCTAGAGAGAGGTATAGAGAGAGAGAGAGAGAGAGAGAGAGAGAGAGAGAGAGAGAGGAGAGGAGACTGTATACAGTGATGTTGGTGGTAGCGAGTTTAGTCATCAAGGTTAGGTATAATACTACTCCCAGAGGCCATCAAGGTTAGCTCTGGTGGTCGGCAGTAGTCTTCCTGTTCCTCGGAGCTTGGGAAATCGCCTGCCTGCATTGACGAAAAGAGCTCTGTGAGTGACGCTCGATTAGGGTTTGCCAAGAACAGCAAGAAGCACAAAAAAGAAATCTGTTCCATGATGGCGACCAGGAATGAGCCAGAGTAAAGAAAGTAAAGGTGGAAGCTTCTAAGCGTAGTAAAGAAAGTTCCAGTGACCCAAGGCCCAACACAGTCTCTCGCCCCCAGAATAACAAAGGAGGAAACATGGTACAGAGAGAGAAAGAGAGAGAGGGTGGGGCTTTGGTCAAAAGGTCGGCCGACAGTGGGGCCTTTGCGGAAAGAAGATAGTAGATTAACAACAGGAGGACGGAGACCTAAAGCTTTCTGTAAAGGCCACCAAGGAGAGTTTTCTCTATTCGGAGGACCCCATTGCGTGTGAGATGAAGCATCTATCTCCTGTTCATCGGCGGAAGAATCCAGCCCGGAGACGCATTCCAGCCACATGAAACACGGATTTAATGGCACCAACATTATTCAAACCTCCGGCATCCCCCCACCTGCGGAAGATTCTGAGGCTCATGGGAATGGTGAGGAGGAAATCAGGGGGACGATTCGGGGGGGCGGGTGGACCCTCCAAGGAGCTCCGAGATCAATAGCTATGGCGGAGGAGGAGCCACGTGGGCGAACGGCGACCAAGCGCGGGAAATTGAAATCATAGTTTCATTGCTGGAAATGGGAAATTTCGGTACCTAGATCGGAGCGGAGGCCGGAGAAGAGGCCTCGGCGCCGCCGGAGGCTCGGCTGTGACGCACCCGACGGCGGCGGGAGGCGACGGCTGGAGGCGGCGCTGGCCTCTTGCGGCCGTTGAAGTGCTGCTGGAATAAGCCACCAGAGGAAGAGATCTCGTCCTCGCTTTCCTCCGTCGACCGATCGTAATGGCCAGCCGATGCCGGCGAAGATGAAGGCCGGCGGCGGTCAGATTGTGAATGGGAGCCTCGCAGGTCCTCCTGCCAATGGACCAGAAACAAAGGACATCCGTCAAGTTGGGAGATACAGATTAGGGGGAAAACCTTGAGTGGGAGGAAGAAACGATGAGATCTGCCATAGCTAGGGTTTTGAGGATACTGATAGGGGAGGAAGATTTGGAACGGAAGCAGCAGCGAAGAAAAGTAGCACGAAAAAATCTCGATATCTAGGGCTTGGAAGGAGATAACGCTGAAATGGGCGCAAGATGATTTCCGCAGGTATTTTAATCTCCCTAATGAATTCATTCTTTAATGGAGGGGCGGAGGAAAGATCCGAGGCGCTCAGAGGAAGAGGATGTTTCTTACTTGTGAGGAAGACGAATTAGCAGTCTCCGCCGCCCGCTTGGAGAATCCACATCGGAGAGGATTCGCCGCCCGTCCCGAAGAGGATTCGCCGCTACTCGAGCAGCTCGGTATCGGCGGCGGTGTCGTCGCTCTGCAGGTCGTATCCGGCTCCGTGGACCACGGAACCACCTGGTTATCCCCCTCTCCCTCCTCCTCCTCCTCCTCTTCATCATCCGACTCCTCCTCCTCATCGTCGTCTTCACCGTTGCTCTCCTCGCCATCCACTTCCTCCTCTTCGCCGGAGCCACCGATGCGATCTCCACCGCATCCGTTCCCCATCTTCTCCCCGCCGGAGACGCAACTGCAGGCCGAGCACCGCTCGCAGACGGAGACGGTGTGCCCTAGGCGCGACCCCGAGGCCTTCCACGGCGTCGGCGCCTGGCACGACCTACACAGGAGGCTCCGCGAGTGCCGAGCCACCAGGAAGTTCGCCCCGTGAACCTTCCCGTCGCACTCCCAGCATAAGCTCGCCTGGTCCGCCTCGCAGTACATCCTCGCCGCCCTGTCGCAGAGCTCGCATTGCTTCATCACCTCCTCCCTCCACGGTATCTCTCTCTCTCTTCTGGTTTCTCCCTGGTTTCTCTCTTCTCTCTCTATCTCTAGCTTCTGCCTTCTTGCTTGCTTCCTTCTCTCTATCTCTCTTCTCTTCTCTCTCTATATCTCTATCTCCCATCTCCTCTGCCATTGAAATACCCAGCAGGACCTCCTCCCGCATCTGGTCATTCGAGGTGATCTTACGTTCAGACACCTCCTGGCAAGTCTCATCCCACGTGGCATTCCATTGGGGGCTGCCGATGGCGGTGAGGATAGTGCGGTGAGTGGATCTCTCGCGGTGTTTCCATCATCGAGCTGGCATCCCGATCCACAGGGACGGTTCCGCAACTCCGAGTCAACTCGGTTGGGGTCCTAGGAACGTGGCGCGACGGAGGAGCTGGTCAAGGTCATAATATCGGCCAGTCAGAATTCGATACGTTCCTCAGCTATCTAATCGGTGGACACCAGCTGGTTTACTCATTCCCTTCCTCCACGTGGCGACAAATGTATGGCCAGAGCTCGCCGCAGCACGTGATGGGAACCTCTCGATGCGTAGAAATCCCCTGCGAGGGAGATTTTCCGAGGCACGGTGACGTGGCGCGGCGGGTGCCACGAGTGCTAGCCGCCATTGGGGCCTTGCTTGACCACGTGAATCTCCACGTGGCGGAATCCCCAGGCAGTCGTCCACGTAGGCCGTATCTACAACGGATTGAGATCTGTTTCTTGGTCATAACGTCCCCCCAGCATGGGCACCATAAAAATCCGACACGTGGAGATGGAGCGGAGAATATCCCCTTGGGGCCCAGAGAGCTCTTGGTCCTCCTCGGCCTGCACGTCGCTTCCGTCGGATGTGTGGGCCCCACTTGTAGGTTCCATTTCCCACCGTAGGATCGATCACCGGCAGATTCTCTCTCTCTCTCTCTCTCTCTCTCTCTCTCTCCCTATCTATTTATATCTATAGCAGCTATATATCTCTTCTGTCAGTTTTTCCAAGGCCTGGAAATGGGCTTTCTAATGGGCCTTCCGTGGGGAAACTAAATCGATTTTATTTTAGATATATATTTATAAAGTTTGAGAGTTGTGTGACTAACTGGGTTAAATTCCTGAGGGTACAGCATGAGGCTATTTTGGTCATTTCACCATGCCCGGTACATGTTGTCAATGGGCTGTGAGAGTTAAAAGCCCAGCCCATTGTATTTGGCGCGGGCCTAATAAAAAACCCATGAACCTAGTGGGAGTGGAAGAGGATGGATGGAACCTAGCATGAGCTTCTCGGTTTTTCTCGCTATTGGGCCGAGAAAAATAGAAAACAGATAGACGTTGACATTTGTTAACGTTTAGTTGTGGAATTGGATTATTAGCTCCGTCTATTTTGACACACGTATGCAGTTGACCTGGGGCGCCGTGGCCAGGTCAGCAGCGACTTCGGCCCTCGCGGACATGACTGGAAGAGCACCACCGACTGGGAGGAGAGAGACCCGTGGACTCGACATCAGCGGAATGTGACTCCGTCGGTCAAACTAGGAGACACGTCGACGGTAGGCCCTTCCCATCACATTTAGGATGAGACAAACGGAGTCAACTGGGTGCGAAGAAGAAGTGCAAGAAATATCCACCAAAATTCGGACTGGTCTGATATAAATATTTTAGTTATTTTTTTGAAACCATGGTGTCGACGGTATGTATAATGAATCCATATTTGAGCCATCACCATTTTTGGCAAAAAATTCAGGAGGACATATACACAATATTTAAGAAATTTTCATTGGTATTTCGTTTTAGAGATCATGATCATATTATAAATGTTATTTATCGTTGGACCAATAATAATAATAATAATAACAGTGGTGATATGCCCGGTTGGTCAAAATGGACCCCACAGTCAAAACCAAACTGAGGCATGGTTGGATGGTCGTTCTGTCCTTATGGTTGACTATGGTATGCGTCGTATCCAAGAGTTTTGTCTCCAGCTTATCATATTTTTTTGGAATCAGCAAGTCAACGCACATCCAATAATCATATATTTCAAAGATTAAAGAAATGGGTTTTCTTACTTATAATGTTAAACTATGGCCACATTCTGCTCGACTCCTACTCCAATTTTCGAACCATCTTTTTTAATTTTTTAAAAAAGTAAATTTAAAATAGTTGATGAGCAATCAGGGAAAGAGTTTCTAGAATAGGAAAATATCGTGGTCTCACTTAATGGTCCCCACTAGTAAACGTGGGATGGGATTGGTTAGTCAATGATTATATTCAATATCATAGATAATGATTCTCGAAATATTTTTGTACTTTTTATTGATGTCGAAACCATTTTCTTGGCAGTTTTGAGGATTCTTTATCACCTGCCATGGAAACTTGATCAAGCCTCTGATGAAAGAGCCCACAAGATGGATTTCAACCAAAAAACCTCTATGTTTTCTCGGAGAGAGAAGAGAGAGAGAGTTAGAGAGAGATGGATAGATTGATAGAGAGATAGGGAGAGAGAGAGAGAGAGTTAGAGAGAGATGGATAGATTGATAGAGAGATAGGGAGAGAGAGAGAGAGAGTTAGAGAGAGATGGATAGATTGATAGAGAGATAGGGAGAGAGAGAGAGAGAGTTAGAGAGAGATGGATAGATTGATAGAGAGATAGGGAGAGAGAGAGTTAGAGAGAGATAGATTGATAGAGAGATAGGGCGAGAGAGAGAGACAGGGAGAGAGAGAGAGAGAGAGAGAGAGAGAGAGAGAGAGAGAGAGAGAGAGAGAGAGAGAGAGAGAGAGAGAGAGAGAGAATAGGGTATCTCATGGATTTGGATTTGATACCTAGGAGCAAGCTCATCACGTGTACTTGGGACGATTGAAAACCCAGATTATAAAATTATCGGAGTTATTTTATTAGGTTATCATGGAAGGTGATGAGGATCATACGGACAGGAATGAGTTGTTTTTGACCGGTGGGCCCTCCCATGAACGTGACTGACTCGATGCTTGTGTCTCAACTATTCTCTCCACGGGCTACGTCTCGACGTCTACGCCATCTATCAAGTGGACCCCCACCCACTTCTCCATCTAGCCGAAGCCCGTATGTAGCAAGTACCCAGAAGTATACTGCAGTTTTCGTAGAGGCCCATTGTATTTCAGCTATTTGATTTTTACCCCTCAAATTGAATGAATTATTGGAAGGTCCCTTTTATGCATTTCGGCCATACAAAACTTACCACAATCCTAACTTGTAACAAAATAAATTTAGCATCCGAAAATTTATGTAAAAATACGAAAATACTCATGATTTTACCCTCTCTCTCTCTCTCTCTCTCTCTCTCTTCGCCAATGAAAGAGGGAGAGAGAAAATGGATGAGGGTAGTTGACCAAGACAGATTTGGATGTTAATCGTGCTTAAATATATGGGGGAGTGAGGGGTTGTTAAAAAGATAGTAAGGGTAACAGCTTTGGCGGACCAGAGCAGCTCGAGCAAGACATTTGGGCGAAGCTTTTGACCAACTCCACTAGTAGCTGAAGTCAAATAACCAAAGTTTAAAAGAAATTAAAAAAAATTGGTGTAGGTTTAGAGCATATAGGACAGATAAAACTGGTAAGGGTCTAGGGTCAAAACACCAGGTCAGAACCTGGTCGCCTACCAGAGAAAAGCTTCTAGAGCTTCTCTGGTCAACCCACGAACCCTTCGTCGTCAAAATAAGGCGGATGGGGGTATCTCTCTGTCCCTCGTATTTCTCCTCCGGGGGAAGAAAACGGAAGAGCGAGAGTTCGCAGAGAGGTGAGTAGGACGAAGATGCTCTCCATGGCCTGCAGGATTCGAGGAATTCGCTCCATCAGCGCTGTCTTCATCCTCTTCTCCTTCCTCCACTTGGCCTGCGAGCTTTCTGAGGCGGCGGACACTCTGATCCAGGGCGAGTCCCTCAGGGACGGAGAGACCCTGATATCCTCGAACCAGGTCTTCGAGCTCGGATTCTTCACCCCCGCCGGCGGTAACTCCTCAGCGCGCTACGTCGGGATATGGTACTACGGCCTCCCTTCCCTGACCGTGGTGTGGGTGGGGAACAGGAACCACCCCATCTCCGGCAACTCCAGCCGGCTGACCTTCGCCGACGACGGCAACCTGGTCATTGCCTCCGGCGCCGGGGACCCGATCCGGATCACCAACTCCAGCGCCGCCACGGGTAATTCCACCCTCCAGCTGGCCCACTCCGGCAACCTCTTCCTCAACACCAGCGTGGGGGACACCGTCCTCTGGCAGTGGTTCGACCACCCCACCGACACCTTCCTCCCGGGGATGAAGCTCACCGCGGACCTGAACAATCGGAGGAGCCTCCTCCTCCGGTCGTGGAAGACTGCCGGCGATCCGGCGGAGGGGGAGTACTCTCTCGGGCTCGACCCGGAGGGCTCCGGGCAGGTGTTCATCTGGAGAGGAGAGACGCCTCACTGGCGCTCGGGGCAGTGGAACGGGAGGATCTTCATCGGAGTGAACGTGAGGCCGCTCAGCCTCTACGGCTTCAATCTGATCCCTAACGACGAAGGGACTATGGTGCTGACCTTCACCGAGTACAACAGCTCCCTTTTCCGCTTCGTGCTCAAGCCGGAGGGGAGGCTGAACGTCTCCCACCTGGTGAACGGCACGAAGTATTGGACCCCGGCCTTCTCGCTGCCTTCCAGCGAGTGCGAGTTCTACAACAAATGCGGGAACAACGCGCAGTGCGTCCTCTCCACCGACGCCAGCGGCGGCGCCGCCTGCGAGTGCCTACGGGGCTTCCGCCCGCTGGCAGAGGCGGAGTGGGCGGCGGGGAATTGGACCGGCGGGTGCGTGAGGAGGACGCCGCTGAGGTGCGGGTTGAACGCCACCGAACAGGAGGCGGCGGCGGAAGACGGCTTCACGGCTGTCAACGGGTTGAACCTGCCGGACTTCTCCACGTGGGAGAGGAGCTCCACCGAAGCCAGCAGCTGCGCCGACATCTGCCTGAGCAACTGCTCCTGCACGGCGTACGCCTTCGTGAATCAACTTGGCTGCCTCGTCTGGTCAACTCCTCTCGCCGACATCCACCAATTCACCAGCACCCAATACGTCCTCTATCTCAAGCTCGCCGGATCAGAACTTCGTGAGTCCATCTTTTCACCCATTCCCCTCTTCCTTGTTTTCTTTCGCTGTTCTTGCGCTCTCCCTGTCTCGGCATCGATCGGATCGATTTCTTTAATATTTCTGGTCATCGTCCAGCGAAGATCCGTGCTTATCGTCGACCTATTCATAGCATTAAAATGGCCGGCATATCATCTCGCCGATGGGGTTTGCTTAACCTTTCCGTGATCGCATCCGGCCGAGAACGTGCTCCTCGCAGAAGACCCGACCCACCCACCTCCGAAATCATCACATTTATTCGATATTATCATCAAATAATCTACTTTCGAAATATTTACCGATTAATTTTCATTTTAGCCGAATAGTATATTTTTAAGAGGTGCGTGCTGCTTTCATGTGACCCCCCGCGTGTCCACGTCCTGGCCCCAGAGTACCAACCCACCGATCACACGTCCCCTGCGAACCACACAGATCAATTACCTCATTCGTTTTCCTCGATATGGATCCGAACCCGATTGATTCCCACGTGGGGTGCCGTAAAGAGCTATCTTGGCGGATGAGACGTCGAAATTGAATTCTCCTCCGTCAACCTGGCCGGCAGCTTCCGTGGGATTCTTTCTTCCCCGGTTTCTAGTTTGACCGGACCCGGTTCACCGGCCCACTTTCTATAGAGACCCGCTTACACTCATTTAACAAAATAATATACGAAGAGGTAGGTAACCTTTTTAGTTCGTTCGGTAATTCCCGGCTCTGATTGAATCCTATTTTATGGGCACCGACTGGTTCGTCTGACTTGCAGTCACCTGAGCAGTTTTCTTTCCTTTTCCAGTCATTTGGTCCATCTCATCGTTTATCAAACCTTTCGCTGGCTAAATTATCATAAAATTCGCAATGATCGTAGCTTAAGCTCAAGTGGGCTCAGCGTATGATCATACGGCCCATCGAATTTGTAGCGATTAGAACATCATACTGATGAATTTGAAAAGTTTCGGTCTTATTCTCTTATAGGAAATTATAAAAAATATCCAGACGTATTTGGGTTCTTGCGAAAATGAACAAGTCATTTTTGGGCATAATATTTTATCGGAGATGTCTCTCACTCCATCGGCAATTGGATGATCAGAAACCAGCGTCCAAACTCAACATGTTCGTCTTTTGACCCCCTTGGACAATGCTTATACTTTGAGCAAGGAGAAAGGGCCTAAATTGATTTAGGCTCGATCGGATTGTAGTTTCTATTTCTCCAGATAACTGTTTATATCCGTTTTTCATCAAGAAGGACAGGACTTGGGCCATCACTTTTTTTTTCTATGCCGCTGTCTTTCATCTGATTGTCATTAAGAAACCACGTCAGTCTTCTAATCTATGCTTTAATTAGAAGAGAACAGCACAGTATTCCTCTGGTTGACCGACCAAGTGACCGCTCCCTCTAGCTGCAGGAGCGAAGGACATGACGTGGGTGGTCATCCTCATCGTTTGTCTTCTGTCGGTGGTTGCCTTCCTTCTCTCCCTCTACCTCTGGTGGTGCCAGCGGACGAGGATCAAAGGTGACGAAAACCTAGACCGGGGTACATATACAGACTCGAATCAGGGCTGCTCTTAGCATCTTCTTCTCTGCGCAGGGTGGTGGAGGAAGATAGTGAAGAGAGAGATGTCACTGCCCCGTCTGTGGAATGGGGGAGGAGCTGAGGCGGAGACCGTGATCTCGACCATGTTCATCGACAACGATAAGAGTGGGAAGAGCTTGGAGCTCCCCTTATTCAGCTTCGACTGCATCTCCAAAGCAACAGGCAAATTCAACGAGTCGAATAAGCTCGGGGAAGGTGGATTTGGCCTCGTCTATAAGGTAGTTTGCATTGCACATTACATCTATAATATACATTATGGATAGAATTCTACTTCATAGCTCAAAGGATGTTAGAGCTGTGGGTTGTCTGGGCCGGCTAGGGTTTTGGGAAAGAGAGTGATTATGGTTTTGGTCTCTGTAGGGAACGCTGCCGGACGGGAGAGTAGTAGCTGTGAAGAGACTCTCGGAGACGTCAGGGCAGGGAGTGGAGGAGTTCAAGAACGAGGTGAGACTGATAGCCAAGCTTCAGCACAGGAACCTCGTGCGGCTGATCGGATGCTGCGTCCAGGCAGACGAGAAGATTCTTGTCTACGAGTACCTGCCGAACAAGAGTTTGGACGCCTTCATCTTCAGTGAGTCATCCCGTTCCTCTGGCTAATTAGGGTTGCCGTAGCTGTCGATGTACATTTGATGGCTGAGAGAACTCCACATTCAAAAGCATGGGCATTTAATCATATATATTTAAATATTTTGTTGGAAATTGATTTTTAGTTGAATGATACGATTCTCGAACACCGAGTGAAAAGTATGAGAGTCCCACATTAGAGATGTAAACGTATAATCCTCTTTATATATACTTGAACATTCTTTACGGGATTGATTTTGAGTTGAATGGTCCAATTCTTTAACAAGGAGGGCTTATGGCGATGCAGATCCTTCAATGGGCGTTCAGCTGGACTGGAGGAACAGATTCAACATCATTGAGGGCATCGCCCGAGGCCTCCTCTACCTCCACAGAGATTCGCGATTGAGAATAATCCATAGAGATCTGAAGGCCAGCAACATCCTACTCGACGAAGAGATGAACCCTAAGATCTCCGACTTTGGAATGGCGAGGATCTTCGGAGGCAACCAGAACCAGGCCAACACAAACCGGGTGGTGGGCACCTTGTGAGTTCTTATATCCATCTCTCTCTTTGTCGCCTTCCTTCCTTCTCACGCAGGAATTCCTCATCTCCCCTCACCTTTGTCAACTTGTTTGATCAAATGCCGCAGCGGGTACATGTCTCCGGAGTACGCCATGGAAGGGCTCTTCTCTATTAAGTCCGACGTCTACAGCTTCGGTGTTCTGATGCTGGAGATCATCAGCGGCCAGCGGAATAACAGCTTCCGCCCCGAGAAGTGCCCCAACCTCGTCGGACGGGTGAGTACCCTTCAAAAGTTTGACAAGAAGTCTCATCCTGCACCAGAAAAAATCAGAACCCTTTAAGCCAAACCTCTTTTTTTCCTGTGGACATCTCGAAATGGTGTTCATTACCAGATATAAAAAAATTTAAAATGGAAGCCCTAGAATCCTTATGACCCACCAAAGCCAACCCGGACATGTTGACGCTAGAATTCTTGACCCCCAGGAAAGCCTCAGACATAGAGGCCATAGACACCCTAAAAACTTGACCCAGTAGTTTGCAATCTCCAGACATGGCAGTCTGGAAACCTTGAGTTTCTTTATCCCGTAAACCTATCCCTGGTTTCTCCCTTCGTCCCCAAGCACGGCCCCGTGACCCTAAAATTCTCCGAACTCGTCAATGTAACCCTGTTTTTCCCACTCATATCCAGGCATGGCAGCTGTGGAACGAAGACAAGTCTCTAGAGCTGGTGGATCCCTCCATAAAGAACTCCATCTCCGCGAGAGAGGTGGCCCGATGCATACAGGTTGGGCTTCTGTGCGTCCAAGACCGGGCCAACGAAAGACCCACCATGGCCTCCGTCGTCTTTATGCTGGACAGCGACGGCGTTCTGCAACCCGTCCCCAAGCCCCCCACTTTCACCTTGGACAGTAGCCCGAATGAGACCGATTCTATCCCTCATGAATACTGCGAGTCCTTATCCAGCAGCGATATCACTGTAAGTGTCGTCAATGGACGATGACACACCCTCACATAGATCTACGAGTTTTTATTTCTTTATGTCTAGATACATATATTAATACTCAGGGTTCAGGAGATTGTTAGTGTATTCTTTATACGGTCATTTACTCCGGTAATCTCAACTTTATGCTCTCTCTCTCTCTCTCTCTCAGATAGATACACACGTAGCACCTGGCTTCAGCGAGTACCCTCCGGCACGATGACACAATCGAATTAGGGCGATTTGTTATCAATTTTTTCTAGTAAGTTATGAACAAATAAGCATTTTTTCACAAGGGAATGCCTATCCAACTCTTGAACATGAGAGGTAATCAGAACCTAACACCAGGCAATTCTGACCATAGTTCAGGGTGGAATGGGCTCCTTCGACCGTCCGTTAGCACCCATTTAGAGCCTTCCAACGCAATGGATTCTTTTATTCAAAAGATGTACAGATTGCCCCTCATTCCCCTAGAGAGAGGTTGGATCTCAAGAGTTGGATGCGGCCTCATTCCGATTTGAGGACCCAATATCTCTCAAGGTGGAAGCTTCCTGAGTCTAATCTCATCAAAATCTTGAAATCAAATATCCCCCAGGACTAGCTCTACCAAGACGGATGGCTTGCCTATCGCTATTATTAAGATGGTCGATCTCCAGAGATTCAACCAAGGCAGACAATATGCATAGAATCTTCACCATGGATCCTCCATATTCAATCAAGAACTATGAGAAACGTGAAGGATGGTTCCTCATAGGACGAAGCGTCAGTGGATGGGATGCCTAATTAACCACTAACCTCTGGTTGTGCAGTAAAAATGCGATTACGTCGATCAGGTCTATTAATATATTTTATGGATGTAATTATATTACATTTATTCTAGACACCATGGCCACAACATGCAGTGCAACACTGGCAGTAACTATACCCTAACTGGGCCCAAAGAAAGGCCTATGCCATACGTAGTTATGCACCCTCCCTTGGGGGCTTAGTTTCTGGAGTTGCAGAGAATTATTTGATGGGCTCCAATAGGCTCTTCGAGGAGAAGCCAATTTTATATGAAGGGCAGGATTCTCCTATGTCTTCATGCATTCTCCTTAACCCCGTAATAAGTGGGAGGGAAGCCACCACCTATGGTATGTGCGTGGGCACTGTGTGCTGCCGCACCGAGGGCTGTCTGTTAAGCTGTAAGACTACTCTCTCTCAAGAATCAAGAACGACAACCTGTTTGACCGCGGAAGTAGTAGGATTCTCCGAATCACGTATATCATGCGTGTCCTCTTCTCTTGCCCCTCTCTCCCTCTACCTCCCTCGTCGTACGCCAAACACTAGCGTGAGGGAGAGAGACCTTTGTGAAGATAATTCATACGAGAGGAGAAATGAGCTTTATAATTTGAGAGATGATCCTGCTGAAGCAAAATCCCCAGTCAAATAGGAAGTCGGGCTCGTTTTGACTCCTATACTTAGTTTTGAAGCGAAAGCAAGGAAAATTAGACCGAGTCGGGCGTTCAGAATTGTGCCGCTCGCTGGCACCGATTATGTCGGTTAATAGAACATAAAGTATACTTTAATTTATTTGATTAAATAAATTAAGATACAATGATTTATGGAAGAGTTGTTCTAGCCTTCGGCATATGACAGCGTGCCCCTTGATCGATTCCCCCTGTTCACCGGCAGGCCGATATATCGATCTCGATGAGGTTGTCCTCCTCGAGAGGTATCTCGATCATCCCGTCCTCCTCCTCAACCTCGCTCTGGAACAATAATCTCTCCGGCCACTCAAACGCCGGCCACGAACCCCAGGCCGAATCACACCTCGAGTCTTCATCGTCGGAGCCCATCAAGCTGTCTTCTTCTTCTTCTTCCTCATCCTCTTCATACTCCTCGTAGATGACTTCCAGCGGGCCGAACCGGGGCCACTCAAAGTAAACGGTCCTCTGGTGGAAGGCTGTAGCAGTGGATGGAGGCTCCGGATGATGGTCGGCCGGAGATGGGTGGCGCTGGAGGTGCGCCTCCTCCGCCGGGGTTTTCGTTTCGTGAGGGGAAGAGGATGAAGAGGATGAAGAGGATGAACAAGAGCGGAGGAGAACGGCGAGGAGAATGAGAGTGGAGATTGGGATGGGGGAGACAATGAGTGCGAGGAGGCGGCGAGGTAGGTAGAGGACGCAGAGGACGTAAGCTGCTGCGGCGGCGGAGATGAGAGGGTGAGTGGAGAGGGAGGCGAGGAGTGTGGATGCCTCTGTTGGGATCATTGCGAGTGGAGAGGATGGTCTTCTCCTTGGGCAATGGTGTAAAGGAATGTGACACCAGAATTTGGTGGGCTTTGAGAGAGAGAGAGAGAGAGAGAGAGAGAGAGAGAGAACTAGCTTCTTCACCATGATTACTTGGGATGACTGGGTTTTTATTCATGATGCTGGTTGATCAGTCTGAATATTCATAGTCTGGCCCATCCTTGAATTCGATGGGCTTCTTTATCTTGGTTATTCTCATCATAGGATCATATCGATTCATGAATCATATATCAATAAGTGAGATAGAATCAAGCGCCCCAGCTTCAGGGCCATCTTAGATCCTTCAGATTAGAGAGAGAAAGAGAGAGAGAGAGAGAGAGAGAGAGAGAGAGAGAGAGAGAGAGAGAGAGAGAGGGCTCTTCAAACTCTACGTCGCGAAGAAGCTGAGAGAATCAGGTCTGAGGGAGCAATGGTGGGAGCGATGGAACCTCTAGAAAGCGATCCCGCACCTCTCTTCTTCTTCAAGCTTTCATCCGACAAAGCGCACCTCCTTTTCCCTGGCTGCTGCTTCTCCACTAGTCCGCCCTTTCCATCTGTCCAGGGCCCCGGCGAGCACCTCCTGTCTAGGGTTTCACTTACCCCACGCGTCCCACCGGTGCGCTGGGGTTCAATGCACCTACCTCCAGGAGAGAGAGAGAGATAGAGATATATAGAGAGAGATAAAAGGGTCCATCAGCTGTAGGTTGCCAAATGGATGTGGGCACTCGCTCTATATCCATCTCATAGAGAGAGCGAGAGCGCGCTCGCGCGCGCGAGAGAGAGAGAGAGAGAGAGAGAGAGAGGAAGGAAAGGAAGGGAGCAGCTACCCTCTCCTTTTCTCAGTCTCGCGCGTCCGTAGGGAACGTAGAAGAATGAGAGAGAGATCGTTTAGAGAGAGAGCGAGACAACACCACGCCGCCGCCGATGCTTCACGACGTAGGCATGGGAGCAGCCGAAGTCCTCATGGGACCCACCCAACGACTTGCTTTGATCGGCCCGCCGCCTATTTTAGTAAAGGAATGCGGAAAGAGCATGGCATGCCATGGGCTGGCAGCCTTATCCTGCTGTCTGCGCCCACCACGAAGGATCCAATAATATCACGTGTCCGCCCAGCTATCCCCGCCGGGAGAGGGCCCCTGACATCGTCAATCTCGGCCCGGCCCTCTTCTGTTATATACTTACGCACGTACTCTGAGAAAAGCCCAGAAAACATACTCTGGGTCGAACTCATTTTTGACGAATAGGCCCATCCTGGCATATCTAGAGAGAGAGAGAGAGAGAGAGAGTGAGTGAGTCGAGCTGCCACATGGATGATCTTGAAATTGCCATGTGGAATTAAACCGGGCTGGGCTTATGACTATAGCCCACCGGGCCAAGCTCCGGTCTTGTCTAAGTAAATATGATTTCTCCACATTAACTACATTTTTTATGCCAAATAAACACATAGGGCATATTATTAATAATATTTTGATCAAGGTGGTCCATTACTTCAGGAATAAATCGCATTAATAAACATATATTTTTCTCCAGAGTGAAACGTAAGGTCAAGCCGAAAGAAATATTGGGACCATTTAGACCTCCATCTAGCTTGGGCCCTGACCAAGAAAAGCCCAAAGCCCATGTTCGCCATATGGCTCTCTCTCTCTCTCTCTCTCTCTCTAGATAAATATGTATCAACATATATGTTTGGTGCATATAAAGTAATGGGCCTTTATAAGAAGAGTCCGGCTCAGAGCTCACTTCCCAGGTTTTTCTTTTCATTAGATCAATAATTTTAGTAATTAGAATGAAAATCCATCACATTCTATATAATAATCGACCCCAGACTATACCGAGATGCTTATCATATTGATTTACCCTTTTTTTCTGTGAAAATCCCATAGATTACACGAAGCATGGCTTCTTTTTCGACTTTTATAAATATTAAATAATAGAAAAATCATTTTTTAATATACCTTATTTTTAAAAAGAAAATCCGATGGATTACACAAAGCTCGTTTTATATTTTTTAGCAACATAAAATTATAGAAATAACTCGTAAAAGGAAAGACGGTTGACTGAAAAATATTACGGATATTAGGTTTTCTATTAATTAATTAATATACAAATTTCCTGTCAGAAAATCCAGCAAATTAAAGGCACATATTGCTGCTGATCTTTCTCGAAATTCTCTAAATAGTAAAAATATCACAATTAACATATTAAACATATGACAATTATTCTCAGATCATCAACTCCGAAGATCTTTTCCAAACCTGGCAGCCGGAGGCAACAACCACAGATGATCCATTCGTGTCACAACAATCTTTAAACCAAGGATTTTGTTATGAACACAGAGATCACCTTATCTCCTCTCTCTCTCTCTCTCTCTCTAGCTTTTTCTCCTGTTTATATACAACTCTCTCTCTACAGATATTATGAGCAGAACCTTGTGAATTCCCAGCCCATCTGATGAGATTATTATATACATGGACGGACATCAAGAAGATGCCCCACACAATCTATAAATATAGAGATTAAAAGGTTCATTTTTGTCAGTCACTCCCCGGGGCCTGAGAACAGGGCGACGGTGATGGCGGTCAGGTCTTTGCGGCTGGTTCGGGTCCGAGAAACCCTCCTTGGCGCCCCCGGAGCTTCGCGGTCATCGTCTCCGGCCTGATCTCCGCCATGCTCGTCTTCACTGTCCAGAAGATCTCCTCCTCGAAATGCAGGCCTCGAGAGGGGAGTCTTGAAGTCAAAATGGGACTCTTTAGAGATTATGGCCTGTATAGAGAGAGAAAGAGGAATCGGGGGTTGACTTAGAAGGGTGGCGATCCGCGGCGCATGTATATAAAAAAAAGGGTTCTTGCTCTCGATGTAGCGAGAGAGAGAGAGAGAGAGAGAGAGAGAGAGAGAGAGAGAGAGAGAGAGAGAGAGCTTACAGCATCTCGGACGGACTTGGACACGAGAAGGAGATGCCTGAGGTCGCCATGGTCCACCCGGGAGATGATGCTGACCTTAAATAACCAAGGAAGAAACTAATTTAGACCCTGAGGAGTCATAATTCCAGGAGTGATGGAGCTTTTAATCCAAGGGAAAGTATATTTCTTTAGGGTCAATGATCTCGGAGATTCTCCAGAAATCGTACTCAGAATTCAATATTTATACCCCAAAAAGTCAAAACTACTTTCGGAATTAATAATCAGAATCCCATTTGTCGAGAAACTCATCAGAGAAAAATAATATGTTCATGACCCAACCCATTAAATATTTCCCCCGGGCAACGAAAAATTTGGGCAAAACTTTATAAAAGATTTAGAAACTAAGACTTCCCATGAAATAATACTCAAGAATTCCCCAAGAAATGAAACTACAACCAGCAGCATTTTTCGTTGACATTTTGAACCGACAGTTGAAATTTCTAAGGGAATGGATAATAGTCTAGAACTCGATGAATAAATAAAATTCAAGGGAAAAAATATATTATATCCTACATCACTGGAATTTCTAGAGAAATAATTATCGGAATATCATGAGTACTGAAGCTGTTGAGGAATTTTATTTTTATAACCTGCTGCATTGCAATGTATGGCGAAACAATAATCGGAATGAACTGAAAAATAATGAAACAGATAGATACCATAAGATCTTCCGGCAAATGATCGAGATGACCGGAAGATTCTGCACGAGGCAGCATCCTGTTAAGAGGCTTTTGAGTTGGGTCATCCAATGGCGAACAGCAAGTCCTCTTGAACAGCGACTCTTCCGGCGTTTTCGGGAGGACCCTCTTCCTTCCAATTATCCGGGTATAGCAGACCGTCTTCTGAGCATCTCTAGAACAGCCGTTGTGCTTCGTTTCATGAGAACAATTCTGATTCATCCCGAGTCCCATCATCCTTGGCAGTTTTCAAGAACCCACCTGGCGATTAGCTGAGATCTCAAATATCTGCAACCAAAAATCGGGAAAATTAGATTGACGCTAGATTTGGGAGATTTTAAGGCAGGGGTTCCAAGAACATGTATGAATATGAACAGGAAATTAGTTCGTTTGATAGGAAACCGATAGAGTTTAGAAAATCTTAGGAGATGGATCATTAGTTCTAGGGCTTTAGTAGAGAGTTGAAACCTGCAAGAAATCGATTCCCATAAGGGACTAATTGACTTCGGAAATCTAAGCCATAGTAGTCGGGCAGATCGGAATTGAAACGGAAGCTCAACGATCTCGTTCACAGAAAAGGGCATTGCAATGAGGAGCCCAAAGAACATCAAATCTGACCAAGCGCAGGCGCCCCAAGCCAAAGCTCACGACGCAGCAATTGATCACGAGAAAGAAATCTAGCCGACCAGTACCAAGCACAAGGAACGCTAAGAATAACAAATCCACCATTGCTGGAGACGCCTGCATCTAAGGCTCACGAGCACCAATCCACAACAATAAACAAAACCCTAATCGAGTAGCGCCCCAAACTCCCCAAACTCCTCATCCCTAAAACTCCATCACGAAAAAGGAAACCCGCCTCCCCCACCAGAAAACCCCTCCAATAATCGCCATTTGAGAAATAGGGAAGAAGTGGGAAACCTTCCAAAACCTCTCCCCATCATCCCTCCCCCACTCTCCCCTCTCTCTCTCTCTCTCTCTCTCTCTCTCTCTCTCTCTCTCTCTCTCTCTCTCTCTCTCTCTCTCTCTCTCTCTCTCTCTCTCTCTCTCTCTCGCTCGAAGAGCAACTTGTCGGACCCACAATGTCGAAAGGATACTCAGAAGAGCAGATGACGCACCTCGAACATGATCTTCCCTCCTCTGTCTTCCCCGCGCCCGCCACCTCTGTTAAACCCTCGTGATGATGGCGACTTGCTCTCACCCGACCTTTTTATCCGCTCTTTTTCCTTTTCTTTTAGAGCCTCCACCGGAATTAAATAGATGCCCGTTGGAAGAGAGATATTTTCAGGTTTTTCTAGTAGCTTCTAGAAACGGGCGTTTTCCCGCCATTTCCGATCCAAAAGCGCAGCAAGCCGTGGAAAATAGCCGTTGAGTATTCGTGCGACAAGGGCGGTTACAGTCGAGATATTTTCGGCCGCCCATTGGCAACGATTCGGCAGCAGCCAGGACTGCGGCTCGGGTTTTGCCGCCGCCGCCGACTTTGTCCTCTTTTGCCTTTGTGACGTCATATCATGGAGGCCGCTTATATCCCCATTTAAAGTAAGTTTTTCGTAAATAATTTTTCACCCATTATTGCGTAAATTGGGCCTAAGGCCCAAAATAATAACCACCTCTCTCTCTGTGTCTCTCTCTCTGTTTCTCTCTGTTTCTCTCTCTCTCTCTCTGCCTCTCGCTCTCTCTCTCTCTCTCTCTCTCTCTCTACCTCTCTCCCTCCCTCTCTCTCTCTCTCTCTCTCTCTCTCTCTCTCTCTTGCTCTCTGTATACTTAGCTATATAAAGAGAAGGGGGCTGTAAGCAGGTTATTGGCCCATCTGAAAATCGGGCGTTTCCAACTTTTAATATTCAATCTTTAACGATTTAAAGACGTCACTTATTAAGTAAAAGAAAATGGAAAAATTATTGGATAGATTGCCTGAAAATGGAAGCCCTAATCGGACTCTACTGAAGCTCAGCGCCCGTGCAAGGCGGAGATCGTGACGTCGTTGACGGTGCAGGTGGGCCCCTTGCTCGACGAGGAGGAGTCCTCAGATCGCCCCCTCGCCGCTACGAACTCCGGCTGCTTGGGGTGCGGTGGCGGTGCCCTGTCGCCACCGAGCATAAGAACCACCGCCGCCATCTCCGGCTGGTCCTCTGGCCGGTCCTGCACGCAAAGTTTCCGAGCACCATTGTAAAATAAAATAGTACGAGACTGTGATTATTTATCCATGTCGCGAGAGAGGGAGGGGGAGAAGGAGAGAGAGATAGAGAGAGATAGAGAGATAGAGAGATAGAGAGCTGAGAAAAGGGCTCTAACCTGTATTACTACTTTTCCGCCTCTGCCTGATAAACCTGGCGACCAGCCCAGCCAGGAGAATCCCTACGAGGACCGCCGCCACAGCCGAGACTGCCGTTACTATCCGTCTTCTCTTCCGCTTGCTCGACGACAAAGCTGCAGAGAGAGTGGACGCCCTTAACTCCAAGCTCAATTCATATTAATTAAATAAACAGCACGCGGGGACCGTTGTTTCCCTCCGCTGACGATGGTAGAAAACTCTTCGAAATAGTTGCTGGGGGTTGTTGGTGAGTCCGCGTTAGAGCTATTTTGGGGTGGTCAAAACTGCCGGCTCTGAAAACCCTAGAAGACGACCTTTGCCCAGGCTTAAGCTAAAGGTAGTTTTCTCCGGTCGTACCTAGATCGGCACGTGCGAGACGGACGAACAGATTCTGCCCGCCATCGGCGTAGACCCGGAGGTCCGGCAACGCGGTACTCCACTGAATGCAGCGGCTCCTGCCGCCGTCGATCATCTCCGCAGTGGCGTAGGCCGTGCAGGAGCAATTCCTGAGGCACGCTTCCCAGCACTCCTCAGTCCCCATATTCTCGTTCACTACCGCCGCCGAGGTGTCGGGAAGCTTCGTGTTAGCCACCAAGACGAACCCATCGGTGCCATTTTGGCAGTCCACCGCCGTCCTCCGCCTCCTACACACCGGAGACTCGTTGTCGTCGCAGACGCTGAAGATGCCGCAGTGGCCAAAGAAGTCACAGTTGTCGCTGGGCCAGGACCAGAAGACGGTCCAGTTGCCTCTGCTCTGTATCCAAACCCGCCGTTCTATCAGACCTTTCGGCTGCACCACCAGCCTTGACTGGACGGACTTATTCCGGCTGTTGAACAGGTAGTAGGCTTCTTCGGTGCCTGGGACGAAGGAGAAATTGTACATGTCGTTGTTCCACATCTCCGGGATGCCGCTGAATCCTTCTCCTACCCAGGGCCCCGACTTCCAGAGCAGCTTTGTGCCCTTAAGTAAGAAGATCTGCGGATCCCCATTAGTGTCCAAGAAGGATGTGTAGTCCCCAGTGCCAGGGTCGTCGTCGGACTTCCATGAAGTGGCGTTTCTGGCAAACCCGGTCCGGGGGTCGGTCCACAACTTCATACCGGGGAGGAGGGAGTCCGTGGGGTGGTCAAAGCTCTGCCAGGCGTATCCACCTTCGCCCGCCGGCCACGACGAAGTTGGCGTTGTCCAGAAGCTTCGCAACTGGCCCAGCAAGTCTCGTCATCGGCGTCGACCAGTAGATTATTCCCTTTGAGTCGGAGAGAAAGAGACTGCCGTTGGTGGGGATGGAGAGGACGCCCGTATTTTCCCGTAGGGGGCTGTCACGGTTGGCCACCCAGACCACCGTCTGGTCAGAGATCTGGCTGTACCAGATACCAAGGTACCTGAACTTCGACTTCCCTGGCGCGAAGAATCCCAGCTTGAAGCTCCCATCGGAGGAGATTAGGGAACTGCCGTCTTCCAAGCGGCCACCGGGAACCAACGTGACTCTGGCCATGGAGAGGGCGATGAGGGTAGGGAAGAGGGCGGCGAGGAACAACACCTCCCGTCTGGCTTTAATTCCCCCCATGTTGATGCCCGTTCGGGCCGGCGGGCAGTCGGATCTTCCCCCTCCCTGTCTGACCGATTGAAGTATAAGAAGAGCAAAGTATTCTTCGGGATGGGTCAAACGGCGCCAGCGTTTGTCTCCCAACGTTGGCCTCCTGAGGTAGACGACAACCAAGAGCCACACATCTGTTTCCCTCTCCGTTCATCGTGCCCCTCTCGGAAAGTCCCTCTCAAAAAACCGCAGTTTGACTAGTAATATCTTCTACCTCGTTAATGTCTTTTAATGTCATTGGTGACAAGTCAGAATCGGGGGCCACATTAGTGGTGCTGGGCCAGCCTATTGAACCCAAGCTCCACTGATGGGGGGTGGATAAATGAAGAAGAAAATAGCAATTAAAGCCTATAAACAATGACGAGATTAACGAAAGATTTAAAAGAGAATAATAAAGAAACAGTGAGGATCGATGACTTCCCTAGTAATAATTCTCTGAATTATCTTACCAAGATGTCAAGTTTTGTCTTTGTTTATGCTTTAGTTTTGTTAAAAAATAGACATATTGATAACTTTCATAAAACGAAGTTATATACATTTGCATCGATTTTTTGATATTTTTTGAAAATAAAAGTTAAATGTGATTGTGAGTTACGATGGTTAGATAAGAAATTTTAATATATAGAATTCTGGGATGATTTGAGGTGTTTTCAAAATTTTCTGCAATTTTTAGGATTTTTCTCCGAATATTAGGAATTTCTCAGAATTTTAGCATTTTTTTGGATTTTTCAGAAGTTTATTATGATAAACATAAATAAAAAAAATAAAAAAATACATCCACGTACCATGCATTCAATGCATAGTCTCCACCATGGCTAGGCTTTGGTTTATTTGGTGGAATATCGTCCTAATATATATATGCCCGCAGTTTTCAAAAGGATTAAATGTTTGTAAGCTTTAGCTTGAATAGTTGACTATTAACCAACTTAGTTATGTGGAACCCAGTGAATCAAATGCTCAAAAAATGCAAGAAATGCCTGGAACCGACAGAAATTAATCAAAAAGTAGGAAAAATAAGGAAAAAAAGAGGAAAATGAAGAACAAAATGAATATTGATCCGAAAATTGTGATTTCCCTATGGATCCTTGTCCAATTGATCCAAAATTTGAAAGAAGCTTCATTACTTATTAATGCATGATTCTACATACTAATAATGTAAGTTTTAGTAGCATGCAAAGCCAAAAAAGAAAGACAAATAGGAAGGAGGAAGAAGAGGTGAAATGATGAATTGACAGTCGAATCAAGACAAGAGACTGTATTTTTAGATATGAGAAAGGATAGGAGATTCTGCTCCTCCTCTGGCAGATCTAAGGGAGCAATGGCAGGTGGGAAGGATGCACTGAAGGCAAGGAAGAAGGTTGGAGAACAAGGGAAGGGGAAGGAGGATTTTAGAACTAATTAGCTATGATCAATAGAGTTCTTTGTAATTTTAGTTTTTATTATTATTTTTATTTGATTGGGTGACAGACATTGATTAGAAAGAAGTTGTTCTTATTTTTTTTAATCTATGTGATGTGTTCTTCTCATTTTCTTGGGCAATAACAAGGAAAGAAGAAACCTTTACTTTTGTTACAACTTTTCATCATTAAAAAATTAATTAAAATTTGATTATAATTATTTGAGCTCTCATTTCTTGTCCTTAGTGACAAACAAGGAAAAAATTTTTTCAATTCAAAATTATAAGATTTAATTAAAATTTCATATTTTTATCAAAAGCTTTCTAAGTCTAATAGGACTACTATGTGACAAAGAGTTGAGTTTGATTTTTGTTTTATAATTTATTATTGATCAGAATTTTAATTATTTTAGTTTTAACCTTGATTGAAAACCAAGGTAATTTTGTAGTTCATTTTTCTATTTTATTTTGGATTTTCACATTAAACATTTCAAAATATTTCCCACATCAGTAGAAGTTATTCTATTTATAACCACCCTTCTCATCTTTTTGTGTCATAGTTTATGAACTATTTTTCTCTATTTATGATTTAATCATCTCATTAGTACAATCCTCCTTCATACTATCTAAAGATGTTAAGAGAAATAAATATACAAAATTAATTGGAGAAGGAGGTTAATAAGTAATAAAGAGAAGGATTTATTGCTTATCTCATCCCATTTCATTTTATTCTTTTAAATTATATTTTATGTCAGAAAAATTAGAAATTCATTCAAAATAATTCTCACCATCCTCAAGGATCAACTCGAACTTTGATTGATAGTGATAATTCATTTAGAAGATTCAACTAAGGAATTTCTATGAATTTTTAAAAAAATCAACTAGAAGATTGATACTATGAATATTTTAAAAAATTTCTATGCATAAAGAAAATGATTGACACAAGATAAAATTTTTGATGCCATTCTAGGGAAGGTAGTGATTAGTTTGATGCTAATTTCTACTTTTTAATGGGTAGTAAAGTTCTAATCATCTTTTTATTTTTTTATTTTTTCAGAAAAAAGAAAAAAAGAAAAGAAGAAGGTGCGACAAGAACAGCTAGTACAAGAAGTGTAGTGGATGGGAAACTCAATGCATCAATATCATCATCTAATCTAATTTATTTAATTTTCTTTGAGTTATTTAATTTATTTTTTATTACCATTGGTTTTACGTGCAAGATAGGAAATTGGTGATTCATGAATCTATTCCTAAAATAGACAAATGTCTACATCATAAGTTTAAAAATAGTATGTTAGAAATGGATCATATTGGTGAAAAAGGATTGGTAGACGCACCTAAGAAATCAAAATATTATTTTAATCCTTCATCTTTTGTAGATTTTCTACGAAGTCCAGGATGTAAAGAAGATACTAGATCTAATATCTTCTAAATGCTGCATACTTTTTTATGAAAATTCAAATGAAGATCCATGTCAACACTTGAAAATTTTCATTAGAGTTTGGAATATAGTTCAAAGGGTTGATGATGATTTGAAACGTGTTCTATTCCCATTTTCATTAAAAAAGAGGCTAGTTATTGGCAATCTATATAAGAAAATGAGCTCAAAACATGGGTAGAAATTCAAGATGAATCTTTGAAGAAATATTATCCTAGAGGTAAAACTAATGAGATGAGAAAAGCAATTATGAGTTTTTATCAAGGTCCAAATGAAATTTTGCATAAGGCTTGGGAAAGATTAAAAAGTTTAATTAGAAAATGCTCTGGTTATGGAATCCCAATATGGTAGATAGCTCAAACATTTTATTATGGATTAACAGAATCTAATAGGCATATAGTAGATGCATCTTGCAATGGAACTTTTATGGAGTTAGAGGAAGATGAAGTTCATCAAATTTTATGGAGTTATGTCAAATTTTTGAACCATGCATCAGCATCTTCTCATGATAGAGGCATAGGCCTTCTTAAGAAAAATGAAATTTATGAAGTAGGAATACAAGATGAGATAAAAATAGAAATGAATGCTCTAAATAGGAAGTTAGAGAAATAAATGCTGGTTTTGTCTCAATAAAAAAATCAATTAATTGAAAATCATAAATATAACTAACTAATTTATCTTCCTTGTGTTCTCTTAGAAAACTCCTATAAAATTAAATATTTCTAAATTGGCTTGTCTTTCGGAATTTATAAATTTTAAATTTGTTTAACTTTCTCAACAACGACAAAAAAAAATTCAGACACCCTCTCTCTCTCTCTCTCTCTCCTTCTCTCCCTCTCTCCCTCCCTCTCTCTCATGCTCTCTGCATCTTAGCTGTATAGAGAGAGAGGGAGGTTGTAAGCAGGTTTACAGGTCACTTAAATTTGGGCGCTTCCAACTTTTAACATTAAACCTTCAACGATTTTAGGACCTCACTGATTGAATAAATACAAACTCGAAAAATTCTCGAACAAGCTGGATGAAAATGGAAGCCAAAATCAGACTACCGAAGCTCAGCGGCCGTGCACAGCGGAGATCGTGACGTCGTTGACGGTGCAGGTGGGCCCCTTGCTCGACGAGGAGTCCTCAGATCGCCCCCTCGCCGCTACGAACTCCGGCTGCTTGGGGTGCGGTGGCGGCGCCCTGTCGCCACCGAGCATAAGAACCACCGCCGCCATCTCCGGCCGGTCCTCTGGCAGGTCCTGCACGCAAAGGAGGGCGATCTCTATGCCCTTGAGAACCTCCGCCATGGAAATGGGGTACCCCAGCGAGGAGTCCACCAGCTCCAGCCCTTTGCCTTCTTCCCACAGTCTCCATGCCTGCGAAGAACACCCACCCATGGTGAGATTAAAACTTATCGTCAAGCTCCTCCATGGCTGTTGGATAGATTTCCTTTCTCTCTCACTCTCTCTCTAGCTCGGTCGCTCACTTGATTTATACTTACATATGCCAGGAGGTTGAGATTGGGATCGGAGTGTAAGATGCCTCTGTTTTTCCTGCCGCTGATGATCTCGAGAACGAGGACACCGAAGCTGAAGACGTCGGACTTCACCGAGAAGGTCCCGTCCATGGCGTACTCGGGGGACATGTACCCGCTACAACAAGTAGATCAGTAAGTTAGAGAGGAGAGAGAGAGAGAGAGAGAGAGAAATAAAGGGCTGGCATGAACAGAAAGAGAGAGAGAAAGAGAGAGAGAAAGAGAGAGAGAGAGAGAGGCGGGTGGGGAGTCATTCAGAGGAGACTAACTAGGTGCCGACGACCCTTCGAGTTTTACCCTCGATCTCGTCTCCGGGGATGATGTGGGCCATGCCGAAGTCGGAGATCTTGGGGTTCATGCTGTCATCGAGGAGGACGTTGCCAGCCTTGAGATCCCGGTGGATGATCCTTAAGCGCGAGTCCTGGTGGAGGTAGAGCAGCCCCCGCGCAACCCCCATTATTATCCGCCACCGCGTCGCCCAGTCCAGTAGTGCCCCCTTGTTTTTGTCTGACACCATACGGGAGGGGGAGAGGGAGAGAGGGAGAGGGAAAGCGATAGATAACAAATCAAGAGATCAGGACATAAAGAGAGGGTGGGAAAAGGGAGGAGATTGGGTTTAGAGAGGGAGAGAGGGAAAAAGCGAGCGAGGGAGAAGGAAGCAGAGGGTGAGAGACTGACTGAAAATGAAGGAGTCCAGGCTTCCGTTGGGCATGTACTCGTAGACGAGCATCCTCTCTTCGCCATCGACGCAACATCCGAGGAGGCGGACGAGGTTCCGGTGCTGAAGCTTCGCTATCAACCTCACCTCGTTCATGAATTGTTCCACGCCCTGCGAGGAGCTCTTCGCCAGTCTCTTCACCGCCACCTCCTGCTTTCCTTCCAGCCTCCCCTGCCGGCCCAGAATTAGAAAGTTAGAAAGATTGAAACTTCAAGTTCAACGAGGGGTTAGTCAGTCGAAGAGGCGAGTTGGTTGACCTTGTAAACGGGACCGAAGCCGCCCTCGCCGAGCAGATTGTCGTTGGAAAAGTGGTTGGTGGCCACGGCGATGGCTGCAAGTTCGAACAAGGGGAGATCCAGCTCCCTCGACCTGCTCATCTCCTCCTTCCAGGCGTTACTCTTCACTATAGGGAAGTTTCCGAGCACCACTGTAAAATAAAATAGTACGAGACTGTGATTATTTATCCATGTCGCGAGAGAGGGAGGGGGAGAAGGAGAGAGAGATAGAGAGAGATAGAGAGATAGAGAGATAGAGAGCTGAGAAAAGGGCTCTAACCTGTATTACTACTTTTCCGCCTCTGCCTGATAAACCTGGCGACCAGCCCAGCCAGGAGAATCCCTACGAGGACCGCCGCCGCAGCCGAGACTGCCGTTACTATCCGTCTTCTCTTCCGCTTGCTCGACGACAAAGCTGCAGAGAGAGTGGACGCCCTTAACTCCAAGCTCAATTCATATTAATTAAATAAACAGCACGCGGGGACCGTTGTTTCCCTCCGCTGACGATGGTAGAAAACTCTTCGAAATAGTTGCTGGGGGTTGTTGGTGAGTCCGCGTTAGAGCTATTTTGGGGTGGTCAAAACTGCCGGCTCTGAAAACCCTAGAAGACGACCTTTGCCCAGGCTTAAGCTAAAGGTAGTTTTCTCCGGTCGTACCTAGATCGGCACGTGCGAGGCGGACGAACAGATTCTGCCCGCCATCGGCGTAGACCCGGAGGTCCGTCAACGCGGTACTCCACTGAATGCAGCGGCTCCTGCCGCCGTCGATAATCGCCGCAATGGCGTAGGCCGTGCAGGAGCAATTCCTGAGGCACGCTTCCCAGCACTCCTCAGTCCCCATATTCTCGTTCACCAGCGCCATCGATGTGTCGGGAAGGTTCGTGTTAGCCACCAAGACGAACCCGTCGGTGCCATTTTGGCAGTCCAACGCCGTCCTCCGTCTGCAACCGTCCGTGCCATCCCTGAGTTTCCAGTTATCCGGCGAGTTGGGTTCGAAACCTTGAAGACAGCTGCACAGCGGAGTCTCATTAGCGTCACATACGCCGAAGCTCCCGCAGTAGCCAAATTCGTCGCAGCGGTCCCTGGGACCGGACCAGAAAACATTCCAATCGCCTTTGCTCTCTATCCAAACCCGGTGTTCTGTCACACCTTTGGGCTGAACCACCAGCCTTGACAGGACGGACTTAGACCGCCTGCTGAACAGGTAGTAGGCTTCGTCGGCGTTTGAGACGAAGGAGGAGTTGAACTCGACGTTGATCCACATCTCCGGGATGCCGCTGAATCCTTTTCCTATCCAGGGCCCCGACCTCCAGACCAGCTTTGTGCCCTTGAGTAAGAAGATCTGCGGATCCCCGTTAGTGTCCAAGAAGGATGTGTAGTCCCCAGTGCCAGGGTCGTCGTCGGACTTCCATGAAGTGGCGTTTCTGGCAAACCCGGTCCGGGGGTCGGTCCACAACTTCATACCGGGGAGGAGGGAGTCCGTGGGGTGGTCAAAGCTCTGCCAGGCGTATCCACCTTCGCCAGTACCGGCCACGACGAAGTTGCCGTCGTCCAGAAGCTTGGCAACTGGCCCGGCAAGCCTCGTCGACGACGTCGACCAGTAGATTATTCCTTTTGAGTCGGAGAGGAAGAGGCTGCCGTTGGTGGAGATGGAGAGGACGCCCGTCTTGTCCGGCAGGGGAGTATCACGGTTGGACACCCAGACCACCGTCTGGTCGGCAGTCTGGTTGTAGGAGATACCCAAGTACCTGAAATTCGACTTCCCCGGCGTGAAGAATCCTAGTTTGAAGCTCCCATCGGAGGAGACTAGGGAACTGCCGTCCTCCAAGCGGTCGCCGGGAGCGAGGGTGTCGACGGCGGCGGAGAGGACGACGAGGGTGGGCAAGAGCGCGGCGAAGGCGAATGGCTGTCGTCTGGCTTTCCAGCCCGCCATGTTTTTCCCGCTCAGGCGGACGGGCAGCCGAAACTTTCCCCTCCGTCTGACCGATTGAAGGATAAGAAGAGCAAATTATTCTTCTTGATGGGTCAAAGGGCGCGGCGGCGTTCGTCTCACGACGCTTGCGTCTCGAGGTAGACGACCACCGAGAATCACGCGTCTATTTCCCTCTTCCTTTGTGGTGCCCCTCTCGGAAACTCCTGTGAGACACGCGGTTGACTCGTAGTATCTTACACCTCCTCATTGTCTTCGATGACAACTCAGAATAGTGCCAGGCCGGCATATTACAAAGAATAAAGAATTATAGCAATTGATGCCGATAATAAACGAGAATAACAAAGAATTTCGTTAACTTGATGCCGGTGTTAGATAGTCGCTTAACACCTTTTACGGTCAACCGATCATATAAGATGGCGATCTTATGATCTCTCACGCGAGCGAGCGACCGTAGCGAGAAAATATATTGAAAGAACAAATGAAATAGATGAAGTGGTGAAGACATGCAGGAAGGAGCCTTGAGCTCCCGTTCTATCTATCTAGCTAACTATTTTTCAAATTAAAAAGCATTCAAGAAGTCAATGAAATTAAAATTTTCAAATTAGGTGGTAGGCAAACTCCTGTAACCTCTAATGTCGTGCCCACTTTTTTTCTCATGGTGTCATCTTTCACTACAATTGTGGCCACCTCTGTTGCTTTCACTTAGGGATCTAGAAAGGAGGAATGTGAGCTCAATGAAATCGACCTAAAGTTGTAAAGTGTGACATCATAAGCAAAGCTATAAAGAAAACATTATCAAAATTCTAATCTACAACATTATCCTAGCAAGTGCTTTGCTACTATCCTAGCTTCCTTTGAGTAAACCAACACTCTACACCAAAATCCGTCTAATCTTATTGATAATTATAGATTAGTAGTTACATCTATGTATTAATATCTTATATTTAAATGCTAATTAATAGGTAGAGAACGTAATTATACATGTGTTATCGACTCATTATGACATTCATAATGTTTTATCATTAAAGTCTTAATGAATATTATTTTATTTATATTATGAGACTAACCCCACTTTACATTTATGAAGTCAAGTGGTGATTCTCTAACATTTTCTTGATAACTATTTGATTGTAAAGACTTAGGTGAGCTTTTATTATGAGTTGAAAGTAATGGAAGAAGTCTTATGGTGAAGCTTGACTTAAGTCTCCCCTCATCCTACTTCAGCACCAGAACCTCGTCCGCCTCCTCAGATGTTGCGTCAATCAACGCACGAAGACGAAGAGCCTGACTTTCACTACACAGCCTAGCCCTTCAGGACGACAACATTCCACCTCCACGACGACAACAAGCTCGAGCTCACCCTTATCTTTCTTTGTATTTTCACGTTGAATTGTTGGGCCTCACGTTTGTGTGTTAGCAGGCCCAATTCTATGTGTGTGTGTTGTTGTTTGTGTCTCCCTTTCTTTAGGGTTTTATTGGGTCTCTCTTTTGAGGCCCAATTTAAACCCTTAGGGGGGGGGGGCCTATGCTTCTTTCCTTTTGGGCCTCTTTTGGGGCTTATTTGGGTCTTCATTTGAGGCCCACTTAAGCACCGTACGAGTCGAACTAGGAGTCTCTTGACTCCTAGTTCGACTGCCACCTCTTCCTTCGGAACTCCACCATAAACTCGCCGGAGCCGCCATCTGCCGCTCCGCTCAGTCGCTGGCCGTTCACCGACGAACGCCTACCTGCTGCCGACGTCGGGAGAGACTCTGCAGCCGTGCCGACGAGCCAGATCCAGTCCAAGCTCCGCACAGGCCCCCGCCGGAGTTTCCCGACGATCCGCCGCTGTCGCGCCATTTCCGGCGTCGCCTAGACCAGGAGGGCTCAACCCTCCCTGGTATCATCGACCGGGATCATCTCCTTCCTCTGCTCCGCTTCCCGGTGCCGCTAGAGAAGGCTGATCCTTCCGGCAACGGTTGGGGCTTCCACCCAACCGCTGACGCTCGGCATTCCTGCCGAAGCGCTGCTGACCCTCGGCATTCCCGCCGAAGCGCCGCTGACGCTTGGCATTCCCGCCGAAGCGCCGCTGACACTCGGCATTTCCGCCAAAGCGCCGCTGACACTCGGCATCCCACCGAAGCGCCGCCGCCGCGCGTCGGCTCCTGCGGCCCGCGCGCCCACCAGGCGCCGCCGCCCATGTGCCCTGAGACACGCCGCGCGGCTTGCTGCGCACGTTTGCTAGCGTGCCCTTCGGCCCACCAGCGGGCCCACTCCCGATCTGACCGTGCCACGCCTTACGACGACGACTACGGCGACTCTCGACCAGGACCGACTGTCGACGCTGAGCATCGCTCTTCACCAGACGTCTCTGCTTACATCAAGTCTCCGCTCCGTCACGACCCGCCGGGCTATGCAGCCCCGAAGCGATCAACTCAAGGCCTCCAGCAAGTGATCAACTCTTCCCTTCTCCCCCCAAATAATAGTGATATCATGATCGACCCCTCTTTTTGGTGGATCTCTTCAGCAAGCAGTGTAGTATTTTCAGACGATACTTCTATGACTTTCAGCATGGTGTGGCATGTCTGAACGAAATCAAACCGAACGAAATCAATGTCTCCAATTGCTCGGGAAGCGGACTACACTTGGGTAATGATTTATTTCCTAATTTTGTCATTATTTGTGTTTTTAATATTTATTTATATTTTATGATAAGTTATTTCTATTTCATACATGTTTCGATTGAAATGAATAGAATTAATTCAAATCCTAATGAATGATCTTTGTTTCTTTGCTGAATCTTCCAAAACTCATTTAAGATCAAGCTAAGATTTTGTCCAACTTATTTTTTATTGATTTTCATAGTTGAATCTCAAAATATTCGTGTTCTTGACATTTTGCAAATAATGAGTATTTTTTTATTATTGAACGCAAAATCAATGAGACTAAAGGTTGATTAATGAACCTTGAACTGTTACTACAAGGTGGAGATATTCATGGCTGACCTCATGTCATGTGTGTGAATTCTCGAACACACATTCGTCTGATAAATGTGGTCAACTCTAGTTACGCATGCAAATAAATGTGACCATTGTTTCTCTCTCCTGATTATTCGTATGTATTTCTCTCTTCCTCTCTCTTTTCCTCCTTTCTTTTCTCCACTTCCCTTTCTTTATTCTTCTCACCTCATCCCTCTATTTTATTATTTCTATAAAATAGTGATAAAATATTAAAATCATTTTATATAAAAACTAAATTATTTTTCACAAAAAATTAATGATCTCTATATATTTGACTTGAAACTTACATCTATACTAATATTTATTAAGTCTTAGTTATAAATATTATTAAATAATGGGCATTTAAGCACAACGACAAATGTACATCACAAAGCTAAGACTTGATCTGCAAAGTTTTCTATAGGCTGACTTATGTAATGTTCATTTTTACAATGAATATCACTAGAACACATAATAAAATGACTGGTAACGAATTTCAAGTTTTTATTGAGATAAAACCAATGTTAATTTCTCTAACTCCTATTTAGAGCATTCATTTCTATTTTTAGCTCATCTTGTGTTCCTACTTCATAAATTTCATTTTTCTTCATAATGCCTATGTTCCTGTCATGAGAAGATGCGGATGCACAGTTTAAAGAATTTTGACATAAATTTTCTAAACCTTGATGAACTTCATCTTCCTCTAACTCCATAAATGTTCCTTTGCAAGATACATTTACTATATGTTTATTAGCTTATGTTAATCTATCATAAAATGTTGAGGCATTTGCCATATTGGGATTCCATGATGAGGGCATTTTCTAATTCAACCTTTTAATCTTTCCCAAGCCCCATGCAAAAGATCATTTGGACCTGAGAAAAACTCATTGCTTTTCTCATCTCATTAGTTTTACCTCTAGGATAAAATTTCTTCAAAGATTCATCTTGAGTTTCTACCTCTATTTTGAGCTCATTTTCTTTTGTAGATTGCTAATAACTAACCTCTTTTTTTAATGAAAATGAAAATAAGACAAGTCTCAAATCATCATCAACCTCTTGAACTAGGATGAAATTCATACCAATGAGTCAAATCATATTTTTCTTGAATTAGCCTCCGAACCATACTCTTTTCTATGAATTAACCTAAAAATTATAAAAGATATAATATGGATTAACACATAAAAATATAATATTATCAATATTCAAGGGCAAAGGAAGAAAGTTTTGTAGATGATAAAAAGTAGAATATTGGAAGAATTTGGAAACTTTTGAAGCTGAGTTATCTTCAGGTGAGAAGTAGGGACAAGTGGAGTGATGTTTGGGCACATGCGAGTTTGATTTCTCTTTTTACAATACTTTATTTTCGGTCTTGTTTAATCCATCATCTAGATGGTATGAAGACAACAAGATTAAGGCTTTCAATCCATTTTTTTATCATTTTTTAGACGATTCTGTTCATTCTCTAGTACTCTAATTTCAAGTTACAGACGAGCAGATCTGTAGGTAGGGTTTGCCAATTAGATTTCCATGATGATTTGATTTTGTTTTCATTTTAGCCATCTCTTGGGTCATCCTCTATTAAGGTAAGTATCTAAAAGTTGCAACTTAATTTCCAAACAATACAAAAAGTAACACAAATTACAAATTCATGGCTCAATGATGTGTTGAGAGTATCAACACCATTGGACATGCGATTGGTGATAAAGTATCATCTTCATAAATTAGAATGAAGAGTTATGAGTTGCTTGACTAATGATATAACAAGATGGAAATGTCTTCAGAGTAGAGAAATGGGGGGACCCCGACAGTAGGGCATGGGTGCTGCCCAGCCTCATTCTGTGTGAGAGGTGGAGACAGTGGCAGCGGGCATGGTGGCTACGAAGACATTGACGGCAGCGGCATCGACGGACTCTTCTCCTAAGTGACAGGCGGAGGTGAGTGCGGCGATGACAGCGGCGGCTGCAGCGAATGGAGCACATTTCTCACGAGCTGAGTAAAGAAGAAGAGATAAAGAGATAGAAGAAGAGTCTTTCAAGAAAGAGGATAGAGAGAGGTAGAGAGAGAGGGCTAGCCCTCATCGATCGTATTTCGAAAAACCAAGAATTACAAAGAGTTATGTGGTTTATATAGTCTACAAAATAGTTCTATTTTGGCACTCCATCGAACATATAATGGGCATCTTTCTGAATAATCGTCCATTAATAAACGCCCGTTACTGATAACGTTAGTGTCTAATTGGCTGAGATGAGCCAACGGTTGTGCCGTTTCAGAATTCTTTCCTTATTTTGTCTTTAAGAAAAACCGGTCCGTTTATATCAGTCACGAACCGTTGCATAAGTTTGTGCTTGAAACTGTTTGACGAAATTTCTCTTCTTGATCTTGAAGTGCTTCAATACTCCCCCGCAAGCTGAGGGTTGGGAGAACATTCAGCTTGGATTTCAGAAAAAGAAACCTGTGCTTAGGTAAGCCTTTTGTAAGAATACCGACAAGTTGATCCTTTGTGGACAGAAAATTAATTTTTAGTTGACCTGAGTTGACTTGTTCATGCACGAAATGATAATCGATTTCAATATGTTTCGTGCGTGCATGAAACACAGGGTATGCCACCAGATATGTAGCTCCAAGATTATTGCACCATAAAATAGGGGTAGAGATCAATTTAAATTGAAGTTCATGAAGAAGAGATTTGATCCAAATGAATTCAGCAGTGTTGTTGGCAATAGACTTGTATTCTTGACCTAGCAACATTTGGTTGCTTTCTTGAGCTCCATGAAACAAGATTTTTACCAAGAAATATTAAAACCACTAGTCGATCGTCAATCAATGGGTGAGCCTACCCAATCAGCATCGCTAAATATCAAGACTGAAAGATCAGAGGATTTATGAAATTGAAGACCTTCCATAATCGTGCCCTTTAAATACCGAAGAAGCTGCTTGACTTTAATCCAATCTTCTTGTGTTGGGTTATGCATCATTTGAAAAGCCCTGGTGCTGGGCAAGGGGCTTGACTCTCCACTCGTCTTTCCTTAATGCTCGCTTTGCGCCGCTCGGTGTGCGATGTCTGGTCGGGTGATAGTAAGATATTGGAGAGCCCCCACCGTGCTTCAGTATAGTATCAGATCAACAAGTTCTGTTGGAGTGTTTTTGATCGTAGAAAAGGTGCAAGAGTTTGACACGGGTTTGGTATTTCTCATTTAGTTTTTCTTAAGATAGATGTGATATATTTTGATTGTGATAAAAAACAACCAGATCAATTATGAATTAATTCCATACCTAAAAAGAAATGAGCAGGTCCTAAATCACGCATAGAAAATTTGAAATTAAAAGAACAAATAGTATTATGAATGAATCAGGGCTAATTAATAAGATGTCATCAACATATATAAGCAAGAAATATGGGATGGTGTTTATATATTTGAAAAATAATGAGGAGTCAGTTTTAGAACTAGTAAATCCAAGAGAAGTTAAAAAATTAGAGAGTTTCTTAAATCATTCGCAAGGGGGTTATTTTAGCCCATGTAATGATTTTTGAAGTTTACACACGTAATCAGGATAATTAGGATGACTAAAACCAGGGGGTTGATTCATATAAATTGTTTCAGAAAGATCACAATGTAAGAAAGCATTCAAGACATCCAATTGGTGAATATGCCAATTATGCCTGATCGCTAGAGAAAATAGAATGCGGATAGTAGTAATTTTAATTACAAGACTAAAAGTTTCATGATAATCTAATCCCTCCTCTTGAGTATAATATCCCTTGACAACTAATCTCGTTTTATAGCGATCAATAGAACCATCATGTTTGAGTTTCAATTTAAATATCCAACGACAACCTATAATATGCATGTCTGTAGTTCGAGGAACGAGAGACCAAGTTTGATTTTGAAGAAGTGCATTAAATTATGAATTCATTGCTTTGTTCTAGTTAGAATCTTTTGATGCTATAGTGTAACACGTAGGTTTAGTAGGAAGACTAGGTGAAGTAAGAAGACACGTTGGAAGAGGATGTTTAGTGGTAATTAAAGAGATAGGTTGGGTTTGAACATAGATTTCAGCGAGAGATTTTTCTTTTATTGGTGGATTGAGAGAGGGAGAGTGGATGTCTAGACTAATGGAATCCTGAGGCATCGGTTGGCTGGGACTATTTTTGAAATGATGCGATGGTGAAGTACCATGACTGGTGTCCAAATTTTGAAATATCACATTAGTATGATTGGTATGTCCAGCAGAAATGTCAGGAGCTGAATTATTAGAAGAGATGATGGAAGAATCATGAGAAGAATTAACTGTGGGAGGTGGCCAATGAGTTGTGTGAATAATGTGAGTTTAAGGGAACAAGGAGGACATGAGAGTGTCCTAAGATGCCTAGGGAGGATTTATCATTATTAGAGAAGTTCTTGTCTAAAAATTCAGGATGAGCATAAGGAAAATTTGTTTCATCAAATAAAACATCACGAGATATAAAATGTTTTCCAGAAACCAACGAAAAACACCTATAACCTAAGTGCATTGAACTATAACCAAAGATAACACATCTTTTAAATCGAGAATTAAGTTTGTTAGATGCATAAGCTCGTAAATTAGGAAAACATAAACAACCAAAGGTTTTTAAGATAGAAAAATTAGGAGTTTTATTAAGTAACAATTCGTAAAGTGATTTTATGTTTTAAAATAAGTGATGTCATGAAATTTATAAGAAACGTGGCTGTGGAGATGGCTTCATCCCAGAATTTCTTTGGCATAGAAACATTGTGTAGTAATGGCAACGCCATTTCTATTATATGCCTATGTTTTCGTTTTGCTGTACCATTCTGTCCAGGGGTCTAGGGACATAACATGCGGTGATGAATTCCATGGGATTTTTTGAATATTTTTGTAGGGATTGAAATTCACCCCCCCCCCCTCGAGTCTGATTGGAAGGAGATAACTTTTTTTAGAAAATTGTCGTTCTGCCTTAACGTGATATTCAGAGAATATTGACAAGACATCACTTTTTCTTTTCATAGGAAATAGACACGTATATTTGCTGAAATCATCCACAAATATCACATAATAGGTAAAACCAAAATGAGATATCACCGGGGCAGGTCCCCCACACATCGGAATGAATTAGTTATAAAGCTTTAGATGATCTATGTAATGAGATTTTAAAGGGTAATTTATGTGATTTTGACAAACTTAACAGTAGAAAGTAAGATTATGTTCATCAATAGGATGACCATTGGCCATTAGTTCATCTCCTATGGTTCGAATGCTTTGGATGTAGGTGTCCAAAACCATATTTTCTTTTTGAAAATTGTGAAGTTGAGTCTGCAATTCCATCAGTCGAGATCTTGACCTTCTTGCAAAAAAATTATTTATTGCATCTCATGCTTCCTTAGCAGTCCTTTTGCCAACTACGATTGGTAAGATTGCTTCTGATAGAGAAGAGGTAATAATTGACAGAATGATTTGATCATTTTTCTAACATCTTTTGTATTTTGAATTGGACTGATTATGTCCATTTTCATCATTTGAGCAGACCATCGGTGGATCTTGCTGTAAAATATCAACTAAATCATAAGCAGTTAAGATGGGTAACAACTACGTTTTTCACAGTAGAAAATTCTCCCTAGATAGTTTGAGAGAAATCATCAAACCTGCGGGATTCAGGTTTGCCATAGTAACCTGATGTATCGTGACAGCTCCATTGTCGGAAGATTTGTAGAGAGTTTTTCCCGCATAATCTGTCATGCTTTTGAAGAGATTCAGACTGGATCTTGTTGTCGTGTGGCTGATGGCTCTGATACCATAAAGAAGAAGAGATAAAGAGATAGAAGAAGAGTCTTTCAAGAAGGAGGATAGAGAGAGAGAGGGTGAGCCCTCATCACTCGTATTTCGAAAAACCAAGAATTACAAAGAGTTCTCTGGTTTATATATTCTGTTTTGGCACTTCGTCGAACACATAATGGGCGTCTTTCTGAAGAACCGTCCATTAATAAACGCCCGTTACTGATAACGTTAGTGTCCTCTAATTGGCTGAGATGAGCCGGCGGTTGTGCCAGTTCAGAACTCTTTCCTTATTTTGTCTTTAAGAAAAACCGGTCCGTTTATATCTGTCGTGAACCGTCGCACAAGTCTGTGCGTGAAACTGTTTGACGGAATTCCTCTTCTTGATCTTGAATTGCTTCAATACTGAGGACGGCGGTGACCTGAATTCTCGCCTCCAGCGTTCGGGCTCTCCCTCTGAGTGACAGGTGGAGAGGGGTTCGACGGAGGGTTAGGGCAAGATGGCGGCAGCAGCGGCGGCAAGGACGGCATTCACCGTAGTGACTTGACCTTCTTCTCCCTATCTCAACCTCTCTGGAGTGACAGACGGAGAGCTGGGAGAATACTGTAGATTAGGATTTTTACCACTTTCTTTTCCGCTTTCCTTACGATTTCTCACTTTACAGCTTTAGGTCGATTTCACTGAGCTCGCGTTCTTCCTCTCTAGATCTCTGAGTAAACGAATCGGAGTTGGTCACAGTTGTAGTGAAAGATGGCACCATTAGAAAAAAGAGGAGGCGGCAGCAGAGGTGAGGAGGGGTTGCCTACCACCCAATTTGGAAAAATTGTCTCCTGTTCTTCTGGAATGCTTTTCTGTTCATAGATACATAGATACATTCAGGCTGCAGCTGAGACTGAAGATTTAGAGAGAGAAAGAGAGCATTTCTTTAGGGTCTGGCCCCCCCGGCACCACTAATGTCCCACTCAACTAGTCTAAATTCTGACCCGATTCAGACTCGTCACCGGAGACCTTGACGAGGGGGTACCACTAGTCCGGGAGTGACATTCCCAGAGGGGCATCCCGAAGGGAGAGAGAAACCGACGTGGCTCTCGGTGGTCGTCTACTCCGGGAGGCCAACGTCGTGAGACAAACGCCAGCGCCCTTTGACCCATCCCGAAGAATGTTTTGCTCTTCTTATCCTACAATCGGTCAGACAGGGAAGGAGGGGAAGATTCGACTGCCTGTCCGGATGAGCGGGGAGCAACATGGCGGGATGGCAAGCCAGACGGGAGCCGTTGGTCTTCGCCGCCCTCTTGCCCACCCTCATCGCCCTCTCCACCGCCGGAGACACCCTCGCTCCCGGCTACCGCTTGGAAGACGGCAGTTCCTTAGTCTCCTCCGATGGGAGCTTCAAACTGGGATTCTTCACGTCGGGGAAGTCGAATTTGAGGTACCTTGGTATCTCGTACAACCAGATTTCCGACCAGACGGTGGTCTGGGTGGCCAACCGAAATAGCCCCCTGCCGGACAGGACCGGCGTCCTCTCCTTCTCCAGCAACGGCAGCCTCTCTCTCTCCGACTCAAAGGGGGTGGTCTACTGGTCGACGCCGTCGACGACACCTGCCTGGCCAGTTGCCAAGCTTCTGGACGACGCCAACTTCGTTGTGGTCGGCGCTGGCGAAGGTGGATACGCGTGGCAGAGCTTTGACGACCCCACGGACACCCTCCTTCCCGGGATGAAGTTGCGGGTCGACCGCCGGACTGGGTTTACGAGAAACTTCACTTCATGGAAGTCCGATGACGATCCTGGCACGGGGGACTACACCTTATTCATGGACTCTAATGGGGATCCGCAGATCTTCTTACTCCAGGGCACAAAGCTGGTCTGGAGGTCGGGGCCCTGGGTAGGAGAAGGATTCAGCGGCATCCCGGAGATGTGGAACAACGACATGTTCAATTTCTCCTTCGTCCCAGGCACCGAAGAAGCCTACTACCTGTTCAACAGCCGGAATAAGTCCGTCCAGTCAAGGCTGGTGGTGCAGCCGAAAGGTCTGATAGAACGGCGGGTTTGGATACAGAGCAGAGGCAACTGGACCGTCTTCTGGTCCTGGCCCAGCGACGAATGTGACTCCTTTGGCCACTGCGGCAACTTCAGCGTCTGCGACGACAACGAGTCTCCGGCGTGTAGCTGCCTCCAAGGTTTCGAACCCAAGTCGCCGGATAACTGGAATCTCAGGGACGCCAAGGACGGTTGCAGGCGGAGGACGGCGGTGGACTGCCAAAATGGCACCGATGGGTTCGTCTTGGTGGCTAACACGAACCTTCCCGACACCTCGGCGGCGGTAGTGAACGAAAATATGGGGACGAAGGAGTGCTGGGAGGCGTGCCTCAGGAATTGCTCCTGCACGGCCTACGCCACTGCGGAGATGATCGACGGCGGCAGGAGCCGCTGCATACTGTGGAGTACCGCGTTAACGGACCTCCGGGTCTACGCCGAAGGCGGGCAGAATCTGTTTGTCCGTCTCGCACGTGCCGATCTAGGTACGACCGGAGAAAACTACCTTTAGCTTAAGACTGGGCAAAGGTCGTCTTCTAGGGTTTTCAGAGCCGGCGGTTTTGACCACCCCAAAATAGCTCTGATGCGGACTCACCAACAACCCCCAGCAACTATTTCGAAGAGTTTTCTACCATCGTCCGAGGAGGGAAACAACGGTCCCCGCGTGCTGTTTATTTAATTAATATGAATTGAGCTTGGAGGTAAGGGCGTCCACTCTCTCTGCAGCTTTGTCGTCGAGCAAGCGGAAGAGAAGACGGATAGTGACGGCAGTCTCGGCTGCGGCGGCGGTCCTCGTAGGGATTCTCCTGGCTGGGTTGGTCGCCAGGTTTATCAGGCAGAGGCGGAAAAGTAGTAATACAGGTTATAGCCCTTTTCTCAGTTCTCTATCTCTCTATCTCTCTCTATCTCTCTCTCCTTCTCCCCCTCCCTCTCTCGCGACATGGATAAATAATCACAGTCCCGTACTATTTTATTTTACAATGGTGCTCGGAAACTTCCCTATAGTGAAGAGTAACGCCTGGAACGAGGAGATGGGCAGGT